TAGCTTACCTAGCCTAGGCTAGGGAGGGGATGAACCGACGTACGTACCGTAGCTTAACCTAGCCTAGGCTAGGGAGGGGATGACCGACGTCGACCGTAGCTTAACCTAGCCTAGGCTAGGGGAGGGGATGACCGACGTCGACCGTAGCTTAACCTAGCCTAAAATTGTTCATATACAGCCTTTTCTGATTTTGAGGTCAATAGAAAACATTCAAACCTTGATATTAGAGTAAGAGATGCATGAAAAGTACATAAGACCATGTAAAAAATTGTCAAAAAGTTGCTAAAATGACTGAAAACGGCTCCGCGTAAGGTCAGGACAGTTCACATTTAAGGACCCCCCGGACCCCCCTCCCCCCTACCCCCGGTTTTTTATTTTATTTATGCCTCCCCCTTGGCCATAACCGTAGTGAATATCACAGATGGATAGCTCATCAGACGTCTGATATTCGATCTTTACGTTCTCATGTTTCTGCGATATATGAGACGTCAATGGAGTGATGCCTCCAATGGGAGCCTCCAGAAAGGAAACCTCAAACTACTCCTCGAGAAAAGATGTGACGTACGTTTGACGCCTACACCATCTCGGGCCCTTACTTCAGACGTCCGGGTCCTTGAATTTCTTCGATGCTAGAGTCAGCGGTCTTTATAACCCATCAATACAGTCTAATGCACTTTCCTAATCTCCAATGTCTTACCCGGAACTGAAACTGATTGCACTTGCTCTGGGCGCGATATCCTACTACGTCGCTCTCACTCCCCCTACTCCGCCAGCAACTTCAAATGATATGATATACTCTGGTCAACTTTTCGAGAAATTGGTTCGGAAGATATCGTTTTCATCGAAGGTAGCTACATTTATTGATGTACGCCAGAATCTTACTCAAGACTCCTCTTCCAGATGTTCGTCACTGCGGCATTCATGTCGGAGATCACAATGCTCGTCTCCACCGCCTACCCAATCTCTATCCCACCACCATTATTTCGCGCGATATGTCCGCGGTTGGAACTTGATGCCGAGAACGTATTATCTACACCACCGCAGTTTCTAGCAGGACTCGCGCTTCTCATTGTGGGTGGAGGGATACGGATGTGGTGCTATAGGGAGCTAGGATCGCTGCACACTTTCGAGGTGGCTGTTCGTCCTGAACATCGTCTTGTAACCAGCGGTCCATACGCGTGGGTTAGACATCCGAGCTATACTGCCGTTTCACTGAGCATCCTCGGACTCATTCTCCTTCATTTCTCGCGAGGAGGGTGGAATGCGGAGTGCGGCATCATGGACTCTGGCAATGGTGCTTGGGTGAAACTCTACATGTTTTTGGCGTTATTCTCGGTCGCCTCATTGTGGAGGAGGGGTATTGTGGAGGATGATATGCTGAAACACCGGTTTGGAGCGGAATGGGAAGGATATAGACAGAGAGTACCGCATCGCTTCATGATAGGGTTCTACTAAGCCTCCGATTCGGTCGTATCTACGCTCGCCTGAGCTATCTCCGGTAGTAACACATATTTAGGTCCAGAATGTATATCGTCCAGATGATTTGAACTTCAAGAATTGTCACACTGGAAAATCGGAAACTCGAGATGAGTATAAGCAGTGGCATATATAGCCAAGAACCGCGGACATCTCCTTGTCTGCCTCGCCACAGTGTGCCGGCAGCCGGAGCGGATTCGGCGATCGGGGTCTGAACTTTAATGCGCCACTGAGAGCGAGCCAACGCGCTATTCGCTTTCCTTGCGCTGTGTCCTAAGGATAACGACTGGGACCATCACTTAGTCCGGCATATGTCAACCTTCCAACCTGACTCCATCCATGTTAGTCTTTCTTGTACCGCAGTAGCCACTGGCATTGTCGCCATTTTGGCTACTCTGGTCTTTCGGTATTATATGAGACGGACTGCCGTCTTCCTACGTGTATATCAATCTAGTTCTATCACAGGCGACGCAATCTGCTCTCTAGGCCATAGTGTTGCTGGGAATACCACGCATGCAATGTCACTCAGAGATATCGTTAAGTCTAGAGTGCCATCGCTTTTTGGTGAACAGGCCGCATTTATACCTAATTTCTGGCTAAGATCGTGAGCGATCCCTTATTGTCTACCACAAGCTCAAGAACTCACTTTCTCTAGTGGACATATACAGACCCTCTACGCATGTCTGCCAGACATTGGTCCCGAAGGCATCATTTATGAACGGTATGTTCGATGGTTCAAGTACCGATGGTTCTTGCGTGGCTGATCAGACTCCTTCGCCACAGCAAGTATCTCAAGACTCAGGATGGAGGTCCGCAACATTTTCTCATATTGATAGAAACATGATGAGGTCAGGTTTTCATATAATCTGCAGGAATTATATCTATAGATTTATACCCTTCAACGATCGTGTTACCGCCGCAGAAAGGGGAGACTCTTCTTATCCTCATGCACGGGCTGGCGGGAGGCTCTCGCGAGCCGTACATCCTTGATTTCGTATCCGACCTGATGAGCTCTCATCGTGTTTGCGTAGCTAAATTTAGAGTTGCCGTGTGCAACGCGCGAGGCTGTAAGTGCATTGCCCTTATCGCCCGCATTTCTACTCACTCCTTGACGAAAGGTTCTCAAACCCCTGTTAGCAGCCCACGACTATATCATGTTAGCTCAGATCACCTTGCTTGCAAGGTCTCTGGACATCCACAAATCGTGGGAAGAACAACGCAGCATCAACCGGCGTTCCCCGGTACTCCCGGCGTTTGCCGTCATTTTATGCTTCGTGCTTGCGTTGAACGCACATTCTTGTCCTCTGTGTTTTTTTGATCCAAAGGCAGCCTCGAGAATGTTTGCTCTCTGAAGATATTATCACCATATGCGTGAAATTTCCGGTTGCGATTTTGTTGCCCACTATCTTCACTGCTTGGTGTACCGCATCAGCATGTCCAGAGTCTGCCAGAGTCCAAAACTCTGCACGGTGTCTGTTCAAGAAGGGTTTGTCGTCAAAACCACAAAGTAACCGAACAATTAGACTCGTTCCCATTCCGCTCGCAAGAGGTTATGACAATATCACATTCTAGTTGATGTGGCTGATAATTTGTGTGGCCCAATACTGTACTTTTTCGACCAAGTGTTCGTGGGAGAATTATGTCAGCCGTGACCTCCGCTGGGCCACGGTTCGTTCAGGTGGGCCACGCGTGACGAACAGGCGAAATTGCTCGCATTTGGCCCAAAAATTGCATTTTTGATGATTTTGTGCGCAAATCGGTCACGATTTTCTGTTCGTGAATCCCTTTGTATGCGTGACGCTGGGACCAAATCTGTTCGTCGACGCAGTCGGCGTGACGCGTGACGAACTGTCACGACCGGGCGATCAGGGAGTGAAGTAAACCCCACAGTTCACGACGAGTTGGAGAGAGGTTGAGGCGGAAAAAGGGTAAGAATATATTGAGTTAAATCGAAAGCCAGGGAATTGACGATCTGGAAACTGGGGAAATACATGCGAGACTTCTAGACTATTTATACTAACTATTCTGTACTGTAGCAAAGGGACTCGAGACTTGGGGAGAATATTTGGAACAATATCTCTAAGTGATGAGTAAGTCAAAAGTGTCCATCATTGTACACTACTAGAACGCCAAGGAAAATAGTGAAGAAAGTCGTAGCGTGTTGCGAGAGGTACACCAAACGAGTTAATCAAGCAGAGCACCAATGCGTAGAGAAACAGTAGGTAAAACAATCAACAGAACAATGGGCCAGTTGGCTGAGTAAGTGGATGAGTAAGAAAACTCGTGAATCAACGCTAAGAGGGTCCCGAATAATCGTACGCCTTTGCAAATGTATAGTACGATCCAATACCTCACTCCCGATACCCAATACTCCTTATTCGAGTGGGGGATGGTCGAGTTGAAAGACCAATTCCCTTATCAGATGGCCCTGACACGAGTTGTGCCTGAAACTCGTCGTTGTCGAGCAAGACGTTGTTGAGATATTCCGTTCTGTACCCAGGACTATTGCGACGAGTCTATAGCGCATGTACGTATTTTATTTGGACTGAAAATACGCTCTGTGGAATATCCTAGAGGCGTTGCAAGGAGGAGGAGAACTGGCGGGTCGGAGTTTGAATCGTTCTACAGGACCGGCAGCTCGGTGCGGCCTCCCATGGTCGAGTTCGAGCGTTCCGCGACTCTTCAACAAAATCATAGAATGTTCAAATAAATTGGGGAAGTGTCCTTGACCGCTTGGCTCCAATCTATCCTTCAGCAGATTTTAGTTCGTGAGGGAAGATGTCACTAGACATAATCCCTACGTCGGGGGAGGATAGGGACTTGGGTCGACGCGCGTGCGGGTACTTCCGAAGAGCTTCTCACGCTGGGTTTCTAGCGACTGGAAGGGGTTGAGAAGACGAAGAAAAACAATAGAATTGTCGAGGAAAATCTGGGGGTGTCGTGAAGCATGTGCGTTCGTGTGTGGGTGGTAATCGGGGGCAGAAATGTACGTAGAAAGTTAAAGAAATAGGAGGAATGTATATGGAATATAGTTCGGACGGCGCTAGGTGGCGTGTCATGGCGGCGGTCATGACACGAACAGTTGGTCGAAAAACTACAGTACAACGAGCACACACGTTTGCATTTGATTTGCATGTATAACGAAGCACGGCCGCCAATGGTATCGGTAATGTTATTTAACAACTCGGATAATAGTTGACTGAAGTACTTCGTTTTACTTCAGAAATGAGAAATTGTACACGTGCCAAAGTAAATATTTCAAGCAAGGTGTCCGGCGACGAAGTCGACACTTCCCCCAGTTAGACGTTTCAGAGAATGCGTCATAATGATTCTATTTGAAATTTCATAGGCGGGGACCACTGATGACCTGCGATGTGCCATTCTGTACTTATCGCATGCATTCCCTTCAAGTCAGTTTTTTGGAATTGGTAAGATGGTCCCTCCTCATATTTGTATCATGACATCATTTACAGTAAATGTTTAGGGTTCTCATTAGGCGCAAATGCTTTGGTCAAATATGCCGGGGAGGAAGGGGCTGAGTGTCCGTTGCAAGCTATAATCAGTGTCGCAAACCTTTGGTACGTCGTCAATTTATTGGTAACAGTGATTCAGGCCAATCTCAAGTTCGTCTAGGGACTATGTCGCAGGAGCCAAATATCTGAAGGGTGGCACCATTCTCAACAAACTCGTATACAACCCAGTCTTGGGACATTACTATCGATCAATTCTCAGAAGAAACCGTCACGCATTCCTTTCTGGGAGGGATTACATCCATAATGAACATCAAGTCGATGAATCCTTGACGCCGCTCCTCTCCGCTCACGAGATTGAGAGGGTCCTAAATTCCCCACTCATGACTCTGACGCGGTTCATTGATCATTTCATCGCACCAATCTCGGGATATTCGTCCAGCACAGAGCTGTATTCGAAGTCAAGTTCTTGCCATTTTATACAGTCATTGAGGATTCCTTGTTTGGCATTGAACAGCGCCGACGATCCAATTACGCAGGCGACAATTCCTTACGTAGAGGTAAATACATCTGATCCTTATACATTTCATGCTGTCATTCTGATGTGAAAGCCTCGATAGAAGTCTCCCTGGTTGACGCTCGCTGTGACAAGCCACGGGGGCCATCTAGGTTGGTTCGATCAACGGTGGAAGCATGGGCACCACCAGCCAATTTTCGAGTTTTTGTCCGCTATCGTTGAGGTGAGCTCCTTGATCATATTGTTTGCTTTCAACGGGCTGTTATACATACATATATATATATATAGTGTAGTCCTCCACGACCGAGAGCTGTGTACTCGATCTCGAATACCGCGCACGGGGACACCTACTGTCAACTCGGGAATGACCGCATAGCCTTCGAGATACTTGGAGATATACACGATCTCCCCTCTACAAGCTCCGGTGGGGCTACTATATCGTCGTAAGGTGACCCTCTATCAATTACTGGAATGTATCCGTTATGCTCAATGCTTCACAGATATATACTGTCTCGGATAATTTATTATGTTTGAGATCTATAACGGCAGATAGCTCAGCATAGACTCGCAATCACTCCCGCGACGAGCGCGGGGAAATCAAATCTAAAGATAGAAATTGAGATCGGTACCCACCCCGCCGCGACGTGTTATCTTGCCGGATAGCGGGTATTCGGGCACGAGTCTAGGTTCCGCACCATTTTACAGCTCGTCCGCGGTGTTGTCGGTTCGTGAACGTCAGGTTCTTGTGATATATCTAATGTACATATGTGTGCTCATAGCTGATTGAGACGCCCAAGGATCAAGCACATAGTTAAAATAGCGACATCGCCTCGTTCCCAAAGGAGTGCCGGAACACAGAGCAAGATTTCGAGTTGAGCGCGGGGTTTACTAGGGTTTACAGGGCACCCAAGTCCACAACGTTGTACCCAATCTACTTGGCTTGGGAATAGCTTCCTTAATGTATCAAGGTGAGTTGTTTCCGCTTTCAAGATACCGGCGGCGGTAACTACGCCCGGAAAACGCTAACCCTGAAAAGCTTGGAGCGAGACGTTCGACAGATTTGGTATATTCATATCCATACGACATGCCCCGACTTGAAGTGCTGCATCTAGCACACCTGGATGCAAAGATGATCATCAGATGTGTGTTCTCGAATTCGAGACTCCAAGAACTGCTATCGCGGTGTAATTCTTCGGAAGACTCCGCAAAACTGTGACGGATGTGATCAAGTGAGAAGGAGTGATCCCAAAATTCCCCGGCGATGAAGACGATCTGTCTCGCTTAAATACAATTTTTACATGTCTTCGAGCTACACCCACATGACGATGGCCACCCGAATCTTTCTAGATGGGCCGGAATACGTGGAACGAACCCAGACAGAGTTTCATCCCCCCGACATCGACATGCAGGCCCTAAAGGATGCCATACCCAAGATCGCTTTCCAGCGCAGCACTCCAAAATCTTTGCTGTATACATCTCCTATCTTTACGGTGTCCGCCGTGCTCTTCTTCTTGAGCAGATTCATCGACTCTGCATATCTATCGGATGGTCTTGATCGGTATCCACCCTTCATTCTCCTCTTAATCCGCTGGACATTTTGGTTGTCGTACTGGGCTCTACAAGGGATAGCATGGGCAGGCTTGTGGACCATAGGTGAGTTTCTCTTATTTACTACTTATATTCAGACCTTGACGGTGATATTTATGTAGGTCACGAAGTATGTTCTCTTCCCTACGAGCGTGAACATTCACTGACACCGTCACCTTCAGTGTGATCATAACAACTTGTCACCGCATAGCGGGGTTAATCATGTGATCGGATTTTTGTGTCATACATGGTTGTTCCTACCGTACTTCTCGTGGCGCATAACCCATCTACGGCACCACAGCTATACTGGATCCTTGGAGAACGATGAGGTGTACGTTCCATACACGCGGTCAGCTTATAGACTTCCACCTCTAGGAAAAACCAGACGGGCACAGTATCGCGAGGCGTTTGAGGAAAGCCCAATATTTGAGCTCAGTCGCCTTGTCATTATGCAATTCTTCGGCATGCGTAAGTAAAAACACAAAGCATTTCTTCCTCGCTCGAAGCATTGTCCATTCTGAAACGTGATTGAATTTTGCAGATACATATTTGACGTGCGTTACTCATCAACATAGTATGTGGTCGATGATTTACTCAATAGCACCTAGGTGTAATACCACGGGTTCCAAGCGCTACCCAGCGGGTGCAAACGTTAGTCACGCTAGCACACATTTCAATCTTGATCTGTCCTTAGACTTCTCGCTGTGACTACATAGCACTGGATTCCCTCCTCGGGCCTCTTTAGCCCGGAGCAGCGATCACAAGTATTAGCATCTAATCTTGGTATCCTCGGAATGCTTGCATTCGTTTGGGTGTGGGCGTGCTACAGCTCCTTTTCGGAGGTCTGCAAAGTTTACATCGTTCCTTTTTTGTTTGCTAACCACTGGTGAGTTTTTCCCCACTTCATAAACTATTCCATGGCTTATGTGCTGGATCATAGGATTGTGGCAATGACCTTCGTGAGAATAATCAGCCGGTCACATTTGGCTGTGTCACTCATGGTCTCAATAGTTACAACACTCTTGCCCGACCGTTCCATTCTACCGCAAAGAGGCTTGGAACAAAGCGAGAGGATCTCTCTCTACTATCGACAGGGTAAGAGCCTTCATATTTCGGCTTTACGTTTTGTTGACACGCCAACCATGTCAGCCATTCCTCGGGTGGGTTGGGCTCATCTTCTTCCTCGGACTCAACCATTACCATACAACGCATCATCTTTTCTCAACGGTGAGGAATAATTCCAAAATATATACAATCTGACTGACAATGCCCCTGTAAACTGGTTTTTGTACAGATACCATTTTGTTCGTAACGTCTTCCTTCTACTCCATATTAGGTTATCTGACAACCATGCAACACAGACAACTTGCCGATGGCGCACAAGGCCATTCGACCTCTTCTTGGAGATATGTATAACTACGACTCAACCGGCGTTTTCTGGGCTTTGAAGCGGTCATTCACAGAGTGCATATTTGTGGAGGACGAAGGAAGCGTCCTATTCTACAAGAACAAGTTGGGCATGCACAAACGTTCTATGGTTATCGGAACGGCTGGAGGTCAAGCGCAGAGCTCATGAGGACATGAGGGATGTTCCTGCTTCGTCCCCTTCACAAATTTCTATACTGCTTCACAATTGCCTTTGATTATATATATATCTCTTAGTGCCACGTCTACGCTCCAGAATGATACATCGTTGTTGCAGTATTCGGGTGGCGGGACATGGACGTGGCTATAGTAGCTTCGCCATTCTCAAGCCGTAGCACTCCCACAGGTAGAACAAAAACCGAAAAACATTGTTGCGGAAACTTCATTCCAATACGAATTTCATAGGGGAGAAACTAAGCGAGGACAGTTGAAGTGTCTGATACTGCTCACATTATAGTACTACAAGTGTAAGTGTGAGAGTGAGTACGGTGTCTTTTCGTACACTACGTATTCGTAGACTTTGAGTTTCCTACCCCCGTTGGCGTCCCACTTTGTGAGCTTCCGATAAAAGTCAGCTCACGCTGGGAATGGCCACGCCTATCCTTGTAGAAGACGATACCTCCCTCGTCCTCTACAAACCAACATTGCGTGAACGAGCGGTAGAGAGCATAGAACGTATTCTGTTCACGGTTACTTAGTATTTGTATGTGAAAGACGAATTAGAGGCCCCACCGTTGAGTCATAATTGTGATGTTCCTTCAATATGCTACGCAGGACTCGAGTTACTTCAGGTAGATTGTCTAAAGACCACGAGATTATCCATCAAATCATTCCGTTTTCTGGGGAAGTACGAATGTACTCACAGAATGGAACTGTCGAAAACAAATGGTGGGCGACATGGTCGTGCGATAACTGCGACACCAAGTATAAAGGTTAGTATGAATAAGGAGTGGAACATTTCAACGTCTTGAAGCGCCTGAAGGACTTACATTATGGAAGAAAAATCGGCCGAACCTCCCCATCACAGGACGATCCACGGTTGCCAATGCTCCTCTGAGAAAAGTCCACTGATCTCCTCTGTAGTGCGGCACCGTAGGATCCGAATGCTGAAGAAAGACAAAGAGGACTACCCAATGATTCGCAAGCTGGCGTGGAATGAACATGGTCAGGAACACGGTAATTGTAAGTGAATGACACGTACAATATACGGGACTATGTAGTATTTGCCAAGCGCGGTAAATCCGTGATGCATGGCATAACGGAACAGAAATATGAGGATTACCGCAATACCTGCATCAGATATGACGATGCTGCTGTACTCTGCAGATTTAAACAACGCTGAGGACGGATAAAAATGCTACTCCTACTACGTTAGTTACAAGTTATTCGCGATATCTTGTTGAGATAGACAGCCATTGTGCTTACGTTCGTTCCTGGGGGATACGATGGGAGTCCCATTGAGTTAAAAAGCAAGTATGCCTGCAGCCCTCCTAACTGCATCAGAAGCAAGCTGATAATAGTATATAAAGGGGCGTCCTCAAAAAAGTCGCTGTATACAATTCTTTCCTGATCCTTCGGGAGACCATAATCACTGCGTGTGCGAGGAACGAAGTTCTCGTCACGCTCCATAGAGCCCGCCGCTTTCTGATGATTATATAGGCAGAAATAAGCCAAGTCCTTCATCGGGTGTCAGGACATAGACTAAGACTGACATGGTGTGCTCTATGCGTGCTGCGCCAGGCGAAATACGGCGTCAAAATCATCTGAGAGAAGTAGAGGGGCTGTAATGCTTTACTGTAAGGCGTAAAATGTTCGTGGCTCACAGAATGGAGGGTGAATCCCACTATATTGTTCACAATCTTATACTGTGAGAGATTTCCGTGGCCCGCTTCGTGAGCTAGAATGTTGCCTTAGTCAGTTCGGTACGAAGAAGGAAGGGTGAAAGACGATACCTAAAGTCCACCAACCCGCTAGTGCAATGCCTTGGAACAACCAATAGGCCGCCCACAATGCGCATCTAATAAATAGCACACCGACACGATGCTCAATTCGAGCTAGCCTTGAAGGCACATCATCGATATGCACGGCAAGAGAGTACAGCAGCCACACTAAGACCAAATGACAGGACACATAATACAGTCCTTTCCATGTCGATTTTCGATACACCGCCTGCGGAATAGCTGCATGTATCTGTGAGAGGCCGACCTATGAATGCATCGTTGATGACGTTGATAAATATCACGAGCATCATGGATTCCAGTAATAAATCAATGCCACATACATCGGGAGGAGTGAAAGGCGTATTCTTGCGCTCCAGATATTCTGGCGAGTCGTTGAATATCATTCCTACGTCGGACGGGGGTCAAGTTTCGAGAGAGGACGGCTGAAGATTGATCAAGCGCAGCGGGAGAGAAAGAAGGGGTGAAAACTACCTACCGAACTCGAGCCACTTATACTATTTGGCACCAGAGATAACGTCGAGATCCGACAGAAATCAGAAGCTACGAATCACGAACGGAATCGGTGTGGGAGATCACACAGTCCACAATTGCCCCGGACACCGCTCGGACACGATGGAGGCGCGATGCTTTCGACATTAGAAGGAAGGAAGGAACTGGTTATGACAGCCATCTTCTTGATGACCAATGGTTTGCCGATGTGGCACACGGACGCGCACCTGAATATACTGGATCGATGCGTCTTCGGCAGTCCGGATCTGGTTTGAAGGTTTTATTATTAAGGGCTTGTGGGATGTATTTGGCTGCCGGAGAAAGGAAAATGGGACACCCCTAGCTTAGGGTTTAAAAGTTGATTCAGTCGCGCCGGGAGAACTGTGTTTGGTTCGACCAAATACTACGTGACTGGCTATCCCCGGCCCGACGTCGTTGAACGAGTCCGGCTACTTGCGAGTAAGTACGCCGGCTTGAGAGCGACGCTGGTTGTCTGTCTCCGCTTATACCTCACATGAATGCCTAGATATTTTTGATATCTCAGGCCTTTTCAAGTTACAAGTCAATTACAAAGGCTCGTGTGTGATCCAACTGCAGACGCAGAAACTTCAAAAAAGAAAATACACAAAGCAAAGGCGGAAAGAAAGATTCATTCACCGAACAGGGCACTGCCATTAAGACACGCGCGAGTCGAAAAAAAGACCGACATACTACGACGGAAGAAACGGACACATGTTCAGTACCGACGAGTCGTTCACAAGTCGGCAGAGCGTATCTTATAGTTGGAAGAGGAGTCAGTGGATTGGAGCGACACGAGCAGTAAAATATTGAGTGAAGTTAACCTACATTAAAGGTTGTCTACCCCATGAGCATTGCCGGAAGGCGTAATTCAATAGCGTCGAAGATGATTGACCAAGGGCCCCAAAGCATGATGTTCATCCTGTCCAAGACTGCCTGGAAGGCCTTCACCGCTATTATAGTCGTATTTACCAATCCGACTATACAGGCGGAGCGGGTCCCGAGGAATGAATTGGATGGCTGGGACGCCCGCGGGTGTGATTTTTGCAAGGCTCTGGACCGTGAATGGGGAACGGCTCTGGGTGACGGTGCGACCATCATTGCGAAGACCGGTACGTTCAGAGGACGTGAGCTGCTGAATGTTCTTTCCGGGATACATTTCGCGAGCTGTGTGAAGAGCAGAGTATGCGGCCCCTAATAATATTCGAGGTTCAACATACATATGTGCGAAGCAATATTGCTGAGAATGAATGAGATGCTTACCCGATATCCATGCATGATGAAACGAAAGGTGCTCCCCGGCGAAGAAAATTCGTCCATCGTTTTCAGAAGCCCGATAAGCGTCGAATCTATCCAGCCACTGCCCTGGGAGAAACATGGCGGCCCCCGTCGCTGTTGAACTTGACCAGACAACGTCAAACGTCTCGATGAGCAAGTCTGTGACGGTGAGATTGGGATTGGGAGGATCCTCGAGGTCGGCAAGACGCCCTTTGTAAACTTTCTCTAGAGCATCGAGGGCAAGGCTTCGGCGCTCGAGCGGGGTCAGAGGAAGCCAGGTAGCGGCGTCGGTCATCCTGACCAGTCGAAGAAAGTGTGAGTGTTTTCGCCAGACAGAGGAAACCGCGATCGCACGAACCATGCATATATGAGAAGCACACCCTCTGGTCCTTTGGAGCCGTCGTTCGCGGAAGACTGAATACCGTACGAAGGAAAGACAATCCAGCGGATGGGCAGGTCTGTCGTAGTCTGACCACCCCTTGACGGGTTTTCTACTAGTTCCCAGAACCGTTTCTTGAAACGCATGCCCATCTTGTACAGCAGCTCGATGTGCATGGATCGAATCGCCATCTCCTTCGCCGGCGTCCAGATCGGACGAGCGATGATCATCTTGAGTGCGGCGGGAGGAATGGCGAGCACGACCTTGTCGAAAGCTGCTACGATCTTCCCGTTGTACCCTGTCGCGGTGATCTCAACAAAGTCGACACCTCTACACGTCTTCGGCTGCACCGAGTTGACGCGGGCCCCAAACGTTACGTGTTCGTTGCCGATCATAGCGAGCATTGCCTCAGGGAGACAGGTCATACCGTTGGCGATGGTCTTCCAGTTCTCCTCTCCGAAGTCGAGATTCTGCATGATCATCTCGGGGACGCTGAGGGCGAACTCGTTCGTTTGAGACTCCATGGTTTCGATGAAGTCGATAACAGAGGGTGGATAGTTTGCGACGTGTTGCAGGTAGGCGCGGAATGGGAAGGTGTCCCATTTCTGGGCTAAGGCACGGAAAACGGATTCGAACTTCTCTAACCCATCGTCAAGGGCCCTCTTGAGAGGAAAATCGTCCATCAACTTTTGGATCGCGTTTTTGAGGAGGTCTGCTGCGGTGGAGGTTGCGTAGAAAGCGGGAACATCCCAGCCTATCGCTTTGGCCGACAGGCTCTCGCCCCCTGAAGCGCTGACACCACGGTCTATGATCTTCCCATTGACGTAGGTCTGGTTACCCTGCGACTTGAGGACGTACTTGATGAGTTCAACGTGCCTGTCGTCCTTGGGGCGGTCGCGGTCGTTGTGCTCGTTGAGATAGGCGACGAGATCAGTGGTGATACGGTGCGCTGCAGAATCAGGGATGCGCATCGCGCCCGCTTCGAAATACTGATCCTTCTCGTGCGAGAAGTAGTGCGTAAGGACGCGACCACCGACACGTTCAGTACCTTCGAAGATATGAAAGCTGATGTCCGGGTCGGCCCTCTTCAAGAGCAGAGCAGTGTAGAGGCCAGCGATTCCGCCGCCGACGATGCCGACAGCTATGCGTTCTCCGCAGGGGCAGCTGCAATCTATGCACAAAACAAACGCATGTAAGTACATCATAGCGAGAAAATCATGATAAACAGTAGAACTGGCGTACGACAACCGTTTGCGGGATGGGTGCTAGAGGTCAGATTTTCTGGTGTAGGCATGTTTTAGTCGAGGGTAGGAAAGACTTGGGCAGAAAGATTGAGCTAGGGCGTATGGCGTTTATGGAAAAAGATGTCAGAGAATGTCGTTACTTGGAAGAACGCGGAGACCTACATATACTCATGCGTTCGCCCAAGACCCTGAAGTATATGAGTCTAAGTCGGCCCACAAGTATCATCATGTGGAGCGCACGAAAATCTCGAGAAACCTAAGTTCAGACGGAGGCTGAGCGCAACTTCTTCATGTGCTGCTAAAGAATCCGAGTATCATCCAGTGTAGGAATGAAAATCTCGAAAGAATCCGGGTTTAGACGCTGACTAGGCCCGGATCCTTCTTTCTATATTCCTCTAGAAGATGAGTATCGTCATGTGTAGCGCAGACATGCTCAAGAAACCCAGGTTCAGACAGTGGCTGAGCGTAAATTAAATACTTCACACTCTGCTGCCGGAAAACATGAGTGTCGTCAGGTGGAGCGGACGACAAGTTCGAAAGATCCGAATTTAGACGGTAGCTGAGCGCAGATACTTCATGTGCTGCTGGAGAACATGAGTATATTGTAACATTTTGAGTTTGCGCACCCTACCAGAGCCCAAGCAATAGGATGTAACGAGATGAGCCACAGTCCAGACGACTAGATAGTGGTGACCATGCTCGACTTAGAGCGATGAATGGTGAAAGCGCTGACGGGCCATCTTCGGACAGACTATGAATTATGACGATGCCGACACCACAGATACTTCTCGAAATCCTTTCGAAGGTCACTGTGGGGACTATTCTATTGAGGTTATAATTGCGGGGTATATTGGGAATCAAACCCAAACTGCCATGAACTGCGAGGTTGCTGCCTCTAGAACATAGACTGCTTGAGTGCTCCAGGCCCCACACTTACCATCTCAAGCACAGACTACCAAAGTAACTGATGACTGAGATGAGCGAAGACGTGCGAGGTCGCCTAGCACGGTGTCTTCGTTCTATCTTCATAGCGTTTGGGAGCAAGCGAAAGGTCTTTACGTCCTCGTTTAGGGAATAAACCACGTCGTGGCTTCCACCTAGATCAAATGTGAATGAGTGTAAGCTACATTCATGAGCATTGAGGCTCACGGAAGATGAGCACAGCGGGGAACGAGAGCTTCAACTCTCCCTGTCGAAGCCGCGACTTCGAAGACCAAAGTTAGCGGTTCCGTACATATCATGTAGACTTCAGAAGGTAAAGTATGACGTACCGCACGTCCACAGCCTGATTAGACTGATTTCTCGCCAGAATGTCTTCTCTAAGAGTGCGAGTTTGTCTGAATGAGTGTGCGCCACTTCAGAAGCAACCCTTGAGTCTATGGCTAGTAAGAAATGCGGACCCACTTCATGTTACAGTCTGAGACTCTGTTGTTCGATGTTGCAGACTTCGAACCGGGATGGAGCTTCGCCTGGTCTGTTGTGGTACAGTGCCGTGGTTGGAGATCCCACACGCGAACTCATTTCATGTAGGTCACTGACCTCTGGGCCGCGCTCGGACGCCTCGATTACGGCTGGACCTCAAAGTGGGCGATACGCAACGCAAGCCGTGATCTGGACGTGGAACCAACTAACTTGAATGAAGACGAAGATTCCGGCGATGCTATGAGGAGTATACCCCTAAAGAATAGTTCATCATATCGAAAACGCAACGCAGAGCATATGGTTATGGGAGTCCTCAAGTACGCCGAAGACCGAATAATTATCAGCTCACAGGGGAACGTGAAGACGACTGTATCAAGCCCTCCCTCGATCCAATTAAATAAATATCCTTGCCATCCCGACATCCTTGACCTATCCCGACACAGAATAAATCAATGAAGACGCACGATCCAAAAGAGAAATGTTCTCTCAGCGCTTAGAATTTCAAGTATCATCCGAAAACTGACAAGTGCTCCTCTCGTTTCACGATGCTTTCTTCCGATTTTGGACTTTCGCCGCTCGCGATCGAGTTCATCGTGCATTCAGATCAATGAGCTAAGACTGTCAAGGTCAAGTAAACGTCGAGTGACAGAGTCAGGTCCAGAGTGGGTATGGAGGCATATACTGCTCTCATGAGCGCTCTGCACTCGAACAGTGCCACTGTGGCGAGATATGGCTAGGACTAGATAGATCATAGGCATGCTGAGTTACATGGGTGAGGTGACTTGAGCGCTCAACGAACCCTGACCGCCATTCTCACTCAACAAAAGAATTGTTGCACAAAGCTTAGAGAGCACGAGCACAGGTCACTCAATCACAGAAAAAAATATGAATCGCAGCCCAAGCCAACCAGGAGAGACTGTCGAGGCCAGAACATCTTCTGAGAACTGTGACCTGCGGTACGATGCTTCTCTAATTGCTTGTGCGGGAGCGTTTCTGCGCACGAGAAAAGCGGGCAGGGGGTCTATTGTGAGGAGAGCAAGAGAACCCGGTAATGCTTTTGGAAGGAGGGGTCATATCGCAGAATTAGCGATACATGAGCCCGCCGAAGATGAGCATGGTTACGCCTGCTCTACATGTAACGCAGGATAGGACCAGCGCCAGCACAACAGCTGCTGAAAGCGGGCGTAGTTAAGTGAGCAGCACACCTGAACAGGCGGGCAACGTGTCTTCAACCTGCGGTAGGATGCTGGACAGCAGCAGATTGCGAGAGGCTACAAGGGACTCGAAGGAGGAAGCGACAACGAGAGGTGAATGAATCTATGGATTCATTGCACACCACACCTTCCGTGAGCCCAGATGGAAAAGCCATCAAAACGCTCTGCCATCCCCCCTCAACAATAAAATCATCGCGCAGAGCTAAGAGAGCATGAACATCTGATGTCAAAGTCCCGGAAAATATCTGTAGCCTAGGTCATGAAAAGACTGTTGTTGCCAGAACATTTTTCGAGATCCTTGACCTACGGCGCAATGCTTTTCTTTGACTGTGAGGGATCGTTCTGGCCCACGCGAAATGCGGAAAACGGCCTCAGAGAAAAGAGGAATAGGAAGAAAATGGCATGACGTTTGGAAGAAGCAAGGGCTCGCACCGCAGAACTAGCGCTGAATGCATGATCAAGAGGCATAGGTCGCAGGCAGGCCGTATCATAATCTAACCTGTGGGTGCTCGGTCAGCGCTGGGTAGACTGTAACAGCAGTAGATGACAAGAGCGTGCGAGGATTCAACAGGAGATATCCATACTAAAATACAGGGATTCATCTCCCTGTCACCGCGGAAGGAAAGCCACTAAAACGCATCTGTCGGCAAGGGTGTCAAAGATAAACGAGAGGTGGCTCAAGAACTGCACCACAACGTGAGAACATGGCGAGGAGCGTTGAGGAGCGTACGTGTCGTTCCAAAATGGTTCAGATAATCTGATGAAGGTGTGACTCGGGGTGAGTATGTATGAGGGCATACAAGGCCTCCAGGAGGTTGACTCTTTCCCCGATACTCAAACGATGGCGGTCTGCGCCAGGCGCTGCCCACGTTTAACATGACCGAAGTCTATCGCTTCCTCACCGTACCGTCTGGATCGTCAGAGCTAATACATAACGATGAGGTTTTCACAACACAGGAGGAGGCTTCCACAACAAAAGGAGCCCCGTAGATCATCGCCCAAAAACGTGTTTCGTGAATTCGCCTGAGCCTTGAGGCCTTGAGGCGGGCCACGCCGGAAGAAGAAAGAGGAAAACAAAGGGCGCCAACGTTCACGGTGACGTTCCAGGTGTTGGGGTAAGGTCTAGTCCACGCGGAGAAAGAAAAGCAAAAGTAAAAAGCCGCCACCCAGCTCACCTGTCGTCTCCTCTTTTTTTTTTCGCGACTTGTTTGAACTTTGCATCGTCCTCGAGGTTGGGGACAGGCGAATTCAAAAACTCGCAGGCTTCGCTGTTTCCTGATGTGGCCAGTGGCGGGCACACGCGCCGGCGGCTCGCAGGCGCAACGACAACCTCTCAACCACCAGCCCCATCCGCATCCCCCGCCGTCGCCGTCGCCTGCTCACTCGTCTCTGCAGGCTCCTCATCCACAGCATCCACCGCCGTATCAGAATCATCACCAATACCAACAATACCAACAACACCAGCAAAACCCGAACCCGCACCCGAACCCGGGCACGATCCGTATCCCCATGTTGGCCTCCGTCAACCAGCAGAACAAGAACCAGTTCCATCTCCAGCAACAGCAACAGCAGCAGCAGCAGCAACAACAACAACAACAGCAGCAGCAGCAGCAACAACAGCAGCAGCAACAACAGCAACAGGGAGGACCGCAGAACGGCAATGATATCCCACCGCCGCCGTTGAACGGACAGGACTTTACGCTGTCGAATGTGTTGCATTTCTTGCAGTCGGAGTGGAGGAGGTATGAGCGGGACAGAAATGAGTGGGAGATTGAACGTGCGGAGATGAGGGTGCGTTTCCTTCGTTCTTGTTCGCCAGGTTGGGTTGGGTGTTTTGTTGACGTTGTTGACGTTGGTGTCGTCGTGTGCAGGCACGGATCGCGCTGCTCGAGGGCGAGCGGAGGTCGTTTGAGAATATCAAGGTCGACCTTATGCGCCGTATCAAAATGCTCGAATACGCACTTCGCATCGAACGGTGCGTCTTTCGTTATACGTTCTCGTTATCTCTCGTCTTATGCAATCCACTGACTGACATGTTCCCCGTCCTCTTACGCGTCGACGTGTCCATCCGCCCATCCCACACTCTCACACTCTTATAACGTCTGCATTAACATTCAACCTTATCCACAAACACGTCCACAGTTCCAAACAACTCTCCCAACCCTCCCAAGCCCCGAAACACGCATCAGCACCCAACGCAACCGCCCAAAGCGCAGGCGCACAATCCCAAAAGGACGAGGTGTTGAGCCATAAAGAAGGCAGCAGCGGGAGTTCGCCACGCAGTGAAGGTCCGTCTCATCTTCTCTTCGCCAATTCTACTTCCACTACTAACCTTCCTCTTCAATTATTCGTCGCGCACACATGATTCAGATTCTCCCCTCCCCGAGCCCCGGATACCCAACGGTGCCACCACCGGCGGACCCGGCAGCGTAGGCGGCGGCGGCGGCGGCGGCGCTTCTGGTGCTGGTGCTGGTGGACCTGCAGGAGGCGGTCGACCCCTCACATGGGCAGGCACTGCGACCTCGAACTGGCAGGGCACCACAGGGACGGGCACAGGTGGACCCGCGGCTGCGATCGCTGCGTCTGCGTTGGGGAAGCCGCCGCCGGGGAGGGACCCGAAGAGTCGGGCGAGGAGTAGGGATTATTTGAAGCAGTGCGTTTTCCTCCTTTGACTTCCCATTATCCTTTCACTACTCTGCTCTGTACTACACCGCGCTGTCGACTGAAAATCACGAACTGACGAACTGATTGGAATGATGACGAATCGAACACAGATGCCTTCAAGAGATCTCATACCTCACCTCCCACCAAGCAATGAACCCCCTCCCGACCCGACAACTCCTCTCCAACCCAACATCCACCAACAACAACAATAACCCCAACGGTCCCCCTCCACCCCCTAATCCCACGCACCCCAACGCGTCGAACACGTCCCTCAGTCTTCCGAACGTTCCTTCGTTCGACTCGATTGGTGCTGCAGGGATGGGAGGCGCAGGGGGGATGGGTGGAGGAGCAGGTGCTGGAGGAATGGGAATGAATCCGTACGCGACGAGGCCAAGGAAGATCATGCCTGACGTCGGCGGTGGCGTCGGAAAAGAGTTCCCACTGATGAACGGCGCCAGTCTTCCCGGGCCTTTGGGCATCGGGGGAGGGCCGGGGAGTGTGGGGCCTGGACAGAGTATGATCCAACAGCAGCAGGGACCGGGGTCGGCGCCTGCGACGGGGGGACCGCAGATTCCGATGTTGGATAGGGGGTTGACGACGGGTGGGGCGAATCATCAGGGGGTGGTTCAGCAACAACAACAAGGACAGCAGCAGCAAGGACAACAACAAGGACAGGGACAGCCGGCGTCTGGGCCAGGTGCTGGACAGGAGGGTGGGGATTTGAGTGCGGCGAATACGACGATTTCGAGGGAAGGTGGGCCGGCAGGAGGAGGAGGAGGAGGGCAAGGAGTGGGCGCGGGAGCGTTCGATGCGCAGAGTGTCCCTACGGCTATTTTCCGCCCGGAGGGGAATTGGAAGGAACAGTTGAGGCTTTCGCATGAGGCGGATCAGGCAACGCGGGCGCGGGTGCGGGTGCAGGGGTGGGATTCGGGGAGTAGTGCCGGGATGGGTGAAGGCGAGGGTGAGGAGGGTGAAGGGGAGGGCGAGGAGGAGGAGGAGGAGGAAGGGGAGGGAGAGAGTGAGGTTGGGGTGGGGAGTGAGGCGGAGGAGGGAGAGGAGGTGCAGGATGGGAAGGTGTGGAAGGCGAAGAGGACGTTGAGGAAGTCAGTTTGAGTTTTTCTTTTCTTTTTTCTCTCTCCACTTTATTGGCCCGTTCGTCTTCTCCTTGTCGCTGTGCGCCGTTTGGAGAAGCGACTCTCATCACTCATGCTCATGAACCGAAACTGACCTATGCTTGCGCCCCCCCTTCGTCTGGTTGTATTCTATTCCTTTCTCCCTCTCTCGGTTTCTACAGTCACCTAGACGCCGTGCGCGCGATCGCGTTCCACCCGACCGAACTCTGCCTCGCAACAGGCGGTGACGACTGCACGGTCAAAATATGGCGCATGGACGTCGCCGGCCTCGCTTCTTCCGCGTGCGTCCACCTTCTCCTATTTTCTTTTGCATTATGCTCTTTCGTCGCTGATGGGTTTCCGCATGGTTTCCTCGTGGGTGGACATGCATTCACGGTGCTTCTTCTTCCTCGCTCGTTTTGCGCTCGAACGTGCGCCACTCACGGCTACGCCACAACATCACACTCAAAAATACACCCCCCATTCCAAAAATACAACACACAAAACGAAACACGAAAACAGCACCCGCGCCATAACCGAAGTCGAACCCCAACTGACCCTCCGCGGCCACTCCGCCGCCATAACCCGCCTGATCATCTCCCCCTCCAAACAGCTCCTCTACTCCGCCTCTCTCGACTCGACCGTCCGCGTCTGGGCGCTCCCCCCTCCGTCGCACACGACCTACGCGCCCTTCGACGTCTCGAGGCTCAGGGGAGAGTTGATCGGACATACGGACGCGGTGTGGGATTTGGCGCTCGTGAGGGATGAGAGTACGTTGATTAGTTGTGGGGCGGAGGGGAGTGTTAAGGTTTGGGATGTAGGGAGAGCGGGGGGGAGGGAGGGGGCGAGGTTGAGGGTTGGGTGGATGTATGGGGGGTTGAAGGAGGAGAGGGTGGAGGGTGAGGGCGAGGGCGCAGGGGAAGGGGAAGAAGAGGAGAAGGGCGAGACTGATGGGGATGAGGATGAGGATGTGGAGAAGGATGAGGGAGATGAGGTGCCGGGGGCGACGGCGGTGGAGGCGATCAAGGTGGATTTGAAGAAGGTGGCGGTGGCGTATACGAATGGGGTGATCAAGATATTCGATATCGAGGATGGGAGAGAGTTGATGAGGTTGTCGGGCGGGGCGAGTGAGGCGGATGGTGCGTTGCTTTTTTTTTTTCGTTACCAAACAAATTGTTGACTGAGTGGTTTGGTTTTGGTAGATGAAGCGTCGTGGGGACAAGCGAACAGTATCGTTTCGCATCCGACGATGCCGATACTCATCACTGCTCACGAAGACAAGCGCATCCGGATGTTCGACATCATCACCGGTAGGCTTCTCCTCTTCCTTTTTCTCCCTCTCTATTGAACTAATCAAACACAACTCCCCACTCCAGGTCAATGCACCCACTCCATGCCCGCCCACCTCGACGGCGTCACCTCGCTCTCCATCGACCCCTCCGGCTTCTCGCTCGTCTCCGGCGGCCACGACTGCTCCGTCCGCTTCTGGGACATCCTCGGCTCGCGCGCGTGCGTGCAGGAGATCTCGAGCCATCGGGAGAAGGCGGAGGAGGGCGTGTTGGACGTGATGTTCCATGCGAGTTTGCCGTTTATGGCGAGTGCGGGGGCGGATGGGGTGGTTAAGCTTTATGCGTCGTCGTGAGTTGTGAGGTGATGAGTGGGAGGGAAAAGGGAGAGATGAGAGGGCGGGATTTTTCTTGGAGTGGAGTGGAGTAGATACCTTTTTCTTTTTAATTATTTTTCTTGTGTTCTTACTCGGTCTGCTCTTGTTCGTCTTCGATATCCTATGTTCATCGTGTTACGCGGAACGTCGAAAATCACTCTTGGCTGACTTAGGATGCAGACCGAGGCCATTCCTTGTCGCTGAGTCTATAAGAAGGTAGACTGTGAAGAGTTGTCTGAAATCTGTGTCGGGCATCGCAAAAGGATTCCCGACGGACGACGAGCCAGCGCAATTTAACTTGTGGCGCGAACTTGTAACTTGACTTGCCTGCCAAATCGGGCATGACTTAATGGAACAAACTTGTGGCACTTGCGTACCTCTCACTTGTGGCGCACTTGTGCTCCTATAATCCTCGATAACCATGTAGCTCACCAGCGATGACACCCATAAGTATCACACCTGGTGTGCCCTACATGGTTATTCTCCCTCTTCCCGTGTTGACGCGTATCTCAACTACGAATCTTTGTTACTCCTGCTCCGACTCGCTCGTCGATCACTTAGTCTCGGTTATAGCGGGCTTAAACCTCCACTGCGTACACTCTTGCGTAATGATTTCTCGAGCTAGCGCTGTAGCTGGAACCTACCCTCGGAGATTTGATTTGTCTAGACGGGCTATAGATGTCCAGCATGGCGATACGGGCCATTGCAAAGATGGAATCCTTGGGACCAACTTGAGACTTCCATCGATGATATAACCCTCCCGTTGAGGTCAAACAGAGCGGTAAACTTCACGCGTACGGGTTATATCTGAGTGGAGTCCCGAAGTCATTATGACCTCTTTCGACCATGGCGAAACACTAGCCTTTTGTTATCTCGATCTCTTAACGTTCTCTTCACTCTAGTTTTCCCGGTCAGCATGTGTCTGAAATACCTTTTCCGCTGCTACATTCAGCACACTGATCAACTTATGACATGGTGTATGATTCACTTGCGTGTGCTTGTGTCAAACTTGTATGACTGCAGTAATGCAAACTTGAGCAAACTTGTAGGGCCAAGTTTCTCAAGCGAGCTTGTAAAGCACGCATGCTGACTTGCAAGTTAACTAAGGTAGCCTAGTCTGTCGAAGTAAATGTGATCATCCAGTATATATCTAGTCGCTATGAAAGTCTCGCTGTACTTGGATACTGGGGACGCCCAAGTCATCGCTATTGGCATGCTAAAAGTGATGCTTTAGTGGGCACCAGTAGTGGAAAGCTCAGCATCGGTCAAGGTACTTAGTAGGAGGCAGGCAATACATTGATGAGCTAGCGCTTCTGATAAATACGATGGTCTTTGACTACTGTGTCCGCGGAGGCATCATCTACAGTATCCGAGTCCTTACTTGTGATGCTTGTGGTACAGAGGCAAACGGCCAGCTACCCGTTGGCGATTGTGCACGCGAACTAGTCAAACGCGTGATTACATGTAGGTATGTCCGACAAGGCATGGTAAGTGTTATACCAGTGGTAGAAGGACATATTGATGCCTCATGATCTCAGAAGTTTCACAAGTGTGCCAAGCTATACAAGTTCGTAAACGCAAGTTTGACAGCCAAGTGAGCTTGCAAACTTGCAAGTTAACTGGGACAAATTAACTTGTACACCGACAAGTTTGCGCAAGTTAACTTTTGGGCGTCGCAAGTTCGTATTACAAGTTAAAATGTGAACCCTCACGGACGACCACGCAAGATGTGCGCTTGCGAGGTAACAACGGAATTGCAGTGCAGTGTATTGCGTGGAAGAATGGATGGATGGCTACATACAGTACTTAGGAGAAGTTAATCGTTCGGGGTCTACCAAATACACGATATCACGGGTACAAGGTAAGTGCTGGTTGCTAGAGTTGCGGGAACATACATACAAGGATGGATGGGGACGTAGTAGGGTACTGATTCAGGTTTGGGGATAGACGATGCGGTGAGAGAGATGGTTGAGTGGTATGTATGTATGTACTATATGTGGGCATGTATACAGGAGGAAGATGGGAACCGGGTGGGGTGAGATTGTTGGACGATAAATTATGTATGCGGGATGGGGTGGAGGGGTCATATGGAGTGAGATGAGTACGCGATAGAGACAAGGGGAGAGAAAGAAAGATAAACAATGTTGGATGAGAAAGGGGGAGCTTGAAGGCCAAGGAAAGGAAAAGAGACAGACGATGTGACTATGGAGATAGGAGGAGAAAGGTGGGATGGAGACGACGATAGCTGGGACGGGGATAGCAAGGGCAGAGCGAGAGGTCCAATAAGAAAGGAGGAAAGAGACAATGACGACGAGATGACGGGGGGAGGACGGCCGAGACGAATGCAATTAAAGAGAGCGATAGCTCAAATCACTGGATGAATCAAAAGAAGGATTCATCAGCCAAGGTCGTCTCCGGCACATCACTCGATAGACCGGCCAAAGGTACTCACCTATCCGCATCCCCTGGTCCGCATGCAACACCTCGCAGCCCAACCCACTACTCTCCACCAACGCCCTCACCTGCGCCGAGATGACATGTCCGATCGGCCTGCCAGGGTACCGCCCTTCCACATCCTCCTTACAATGCATCACATAGACCTTCAAACCCTGTAACACGCCTTTTATCGACTCGTCCGCCGGTAGGGATGATTGGGCTGGGACATCCACTGTAGGTACAGCGGCAGCGTTGGCGATGCTTTCCGAATCGCCGTTCGTTGTGCATGTCGTTGTAGGACTGGCAGGACGATGAGGTGGAGGTGGGGGTGGTGCTAATGAAGGCGACAAATGGTCAGTCTTGGCCTTCTTTGACCATCCTTTGGAGCCTGAGACATTGCCGTTCCCGTTTCCGTTCAACGCTTCACTCGACTTGCGTTTATGACCTTTGTTCGGCGAAAGGAGATTGAAGAAAGACGAAGCTCTGCGTTTCAGGGAGGCTCGTGTGGAATGGGTCGGCGAGGATGAACGAGAGGGTAGAGTCGTCACGGAGTCGGCATTGTGGTTCAGGTTCACTATGGGTGTTGTTACTGGCACGGGCACGGGTGTGGGATCTGAAAGTGGCGCTGCGAGAGAGGTCGGCATCGATGGGACGGTGGTGGTGCCGATTGTTAATACGTGCCGCCGGTGTTTTACAACTTCGGTGGCGAGGGCTACGAGTTCGTCGTGGAGGTGCTCTGGAGTCAAGTGTCCGTATAAATGCGAATCCGGACGTCCTGAGGGCCAAGAGCATTCGATGAATAGGGTGGACAGAGTTCCGTATGAGATATTTGGAGCGATGGTTCGCCAGAGGTTGATCGTCTGCGGACGTTTAGCCACCCTGCGCGTTCATTAATTATAGGTTAATTCGATGGTTAAGTTCTAAAGCATGAAAAGGAACGCACTTGTCTGGTTCGAGATCCCCGCAGAGGACGAATTCACTTCCCAAGATATCATGGCGGAAGAGAAAGGCGGAAGACTCGTATACACCTGCCTCGGTTTCTCCATGGGAGAGGGGGAACGCGCGCAAGGAGATATTTGGGTGGATATTGCGATAATCCTGGCTGAAATCTAGTCTGCAATTCCACCAACATAAATGAAACGAATGGCTGATGAGATCGACAAACTCGGTAGGAAAGGGGGAAAGACCGGTTAGGACGCACGAATCGTATAAGAGCATATGTGCTCCGTCCTTTGGATCGTCCGAAGCCAGCCTTGGCCATATCTTGCCCTCAAATGCTGTCTCGACCTTCTTCAGGATTGAGCGTTCTGCGTAGATGCGTCTTCGAGGGTTACATGTGAATTGCCCAGCAGAAAGAATGAGGCTGCTGATGTGGTCGAGATGGGCATGGGTTATAAGGAAGCACCTATAATGATGTGAGGTGAGCGGTCAGGGGTAGGGCAAAGTAGACTGGGGTCATGTGACCGGGAAGAAAGCAGACGAAATCAAATTATGTTGAGATGGAATAGAAACGCACTTTATCCTGGAATAAACCTCAAAAGCCGTCGGCCGTCGTCGAGCCTCTCCCTCCTGCGTGGATGCCGTCCGCGAATCCGTGTCCTGCTCGCTCGTGGTCGTGTCATGAAAATCGTTGAACAGCGTGGGGTCCAGCCTCATCAACCGGTTCAACGCGCCCATGCCAGAGCCTTGCCATAACCATAACGATTCAAGACGTGAGGCGTGGTCCGACATGGAGAGAAACGTACCTGCTTCCAAAGCTATGATCCCATCCCTCCACCGGGCGTCGTGTGCTTTGAGTAAATAACTGGACTCCCGACGAGTCAATATGCTTGTACTAGAATAGAATAGGGATGAACTATGACGCACGCAGATAAGTTAGTCTCGTCTGGTCCACCTCCGGATCCCACTACCACAACTTCGAATGCAGGCATGCGAACAGCGTCGAGTGCTTGTGGCAAGTCAAAGTTTTGGCCGTGGTCGGCTTTGGCGTAGGTTCGCGGAAGTTAATTGAGTGTCCTTGGATGATTCGAATGGGGCAGATAGGCAGACGAGGCGTTATTTTTATATGAAGGAAGGAAAGCAAAGAGTGTCGTCGAGAGAAGGTCGGTGGATTGTGTTGCACAGCGTCGCGGTACGAGTAACAGGGGCAGTGAGTGGAGTCGTGCGCGTGGGTTGTATAAATCAACTAAATGAACGAAGAGGGGCAGGGCAGAAATAAATGAAGCCTATGAGGGTTCAACAGAGAGCACTTGGCTGGATGAAGAGCACAAGAGCGGAACAGTGCAAGTCCTTATATAGGCGCGCCTGTGGGTGTCGGGTGTCAGTTGGAGGTGTTGATATTTCAATTCGCGATAGGCTTTTTCTATAGTGCGCCTAATGCGGCCTTGGTGACGGTAAGTACGCTGTCCAAGCTGATTGTCTGTCTGAGTCGGTTCGCAGCTGGCACCGGAGTGGCTGGTGATCAAAGAAAATTTCCAAGGGGTGCAAGACCGGATGGTAGCAAAAGGCGGGCAAGAGGCGGAGGCGGCGGTGTTGTGGCCAACGATCCTTTTGAGCGACCAAGTTATTTCTTGGCAAAATATTCAATTCCGAGAAGAAACACAAGGAGCAGAGAGTCATGGTCGGAGAACAACATATCTCATGTAGACGATCGGCCTGCTGCTCAGAGCGTCCTTGCAGGATGTCGAGGATAAACAGAGAGATATCCGTTTGAGGAACAAGAACAGAGAGGCGAGGCAGCGCTATCCGCCTGGTAGCGGTGCCGATCAGGCCTCAAGGCCTTTAGAACACATGTTGAAATCATGGAACAATCTCTCACTCGACTCACAGCGCACACACAGGAAGTGAGAAAAGACAAAAAGAGAAAAGACATAGGTGAAAACCACCGTTTCCCCGGACAGGAGTAGTCCGTCCGGCCAATTAGAAAATGTACTCGTAGAGACGTGGAGACATAAGAAAGGAGACGAACCATGGTAACCAAAAGGTAACTCGGTCGAGGGAGGACAAATCATTGGGGAATGTGAAAGGAGGGTGACGAGAGGGAATGCGAGTAGAGAGGGAGAGGGAGAGAGAAAAGGTCAAACGAGCGCCTGTTGAACGAACAAAGGGTGGTGTTCGTGTTCATTTGGATGTAGAAGGGTAAATGGAAGTGGCAAGGCAACACAAATGCAAAGGAGCGTTCCGGGACTCGGGGATGGTGAAAAGAGAAGAAAAAAATCTTAAAAGTGGGAGAGAAAGGAAACGACAAACGATAAGAAATAAACAGCATTACACATCGGCCTAGCGCCTGCTCATCGAAATCAGTCCATGGCAATCCTTTCGCCGCACATCTTCCATCCATCCATCCATCCATCCACCACCAATCACCTTCCTTCCCAGCCAGTGCTTATGCCGCCCATCTAACTTACCCGTCATAGTCATAGCGATCCTCACCGGCGAACCACGCCTTCCATTCCGCATTCCGCACTCATGATCCCAACAGACTGTTCAGCGCCTTCTGGAAATCGTACGCATTCGCCTCCAGCGCGGATACCGCCTGCGTCCGACTGAAGCCCATCCCGCAAAGCTGCTTCACCGGCTCGACATCATCCTCCACCGCCGGCGTCGCCGTCCCACCTGGAGCCACAGCACTCTCGTCCGCTACCGGCATGAGGTGATGTGAGAGCGACGATGGAGGTGGTGGGGGATGCGATGCCTCCGGTAAAGTCTTCTTCTTCTTTCCGAACGGGAGGCGAATCTGTAACGCAGTATCAGAATCAGATCCCAGTTCTGGACATGACTGAAAAGCAAAGCTTACACTGATCTTTGAATGCCTCGTCGGGATCGATTTCTCTGACCCATCCTTCTGGCTCCCTGCTGTCGAAGGCCTCTGCTTCGGGCTCGAGATCCTCGCCACAGGACTCTGGCTCCTCGGTGGCGGCGACATCGACCTCTTCGGGTTTCCATGCTTGCTGCTCACACTAGCACTCAGGGGTGGAGAGGTAGGAAACGGCGTGGATGTAGATTGCGTTGGGCTTTGTGGCACGCCCTGACCAGCGTGGCCTTGCAATGACGCTTGGTTGGGAAGTGCTGATCCTGCGGAGGAAGTCGATCCGAATGCGTTATCGAGGGCTAGGGCCTTACTTCCTCCCACACCGCCAAACGCATCGTCGAACGAGATACCGTGACTGTCTGCACTAGCGGAAGGTTGTCCTGAGTGCGTCGGAGCCTGAGTCGAAATCTGGGATGGAACAGATGTCACCGAGCCCATGCCAAATGCATCGTCAAACGAAGAGGCAGTCGCGGAATGTTGAGCAGATGCGGGTGCAGGTGCAGGAGGTGAACTCGTCCCGAAGAGACTATCGAACCCATCGTTCTTCGGGGTGGTCTGGAACGGGGACGTCGCGTTGCCGTTCGTAGTCGCCGAAGGAGCAGGAGGGAATGGCGAAGAACCAACCGGGGGGAAAGGAGACGACGTCGACGTAGCACCAGGCGCAGGAGGGAATGGGTTACTGCTGGCACCGTCGGCAATTGCACCAACGCTTGCACCAGCAGAGCCAAAGTCGAAATTATCCTCAAACGCCGAATCGAACGAAAATTCCGGTTTCTGATCCGTGCCCGAATTAGCAGTGGTAGGAATCTTGCCCATCGCCTCGTCGAAATCATTTACACCGGCCGAGACAGTCGTGTTATCACCGAGGGGGCTGCTGACCTGCGGGAAGGGCGAAGAAGGAGACGTAGACGCGGAACCCAGAGCTTGACCAAGTCCTGCAAGTCCTGAAGTTTGCGCGGACAAAGGCTCGGCCTTGTTTGACTCGGCGGGAAGAGCACCAGGCACGGTGGTCGTGGCAGGCTCCGCGAACGCGTCGTCGAACGAGAACGCGGGCACAGCGGGTGCAGCAGGTGCGTCGAAACCGTTCGTTGTGGGTGCCTGGGGTTCGGGAGATCCAGCGGACGGCTTGTTCGCCAAAGCACCGAGGGGAACCTCATCGTCACTGTCATCGCTGCTATCCGACTCATCTACTTCGAGATCCTTAACATGAGAGGTCAGGTCCGTCTCGCCCAGGATCTCGCCTTCTTCCTTCTGTTTGCCCTTGTCGGCGGTAGCGATGGGTTCTGGGGTCTTCGAAGACAGTTCTGCGATGTCAGTGGAGATTCCAGGTGGGGGTAGCGCCGAAAATCCGGTGGGAGGATGTTCTCCTGTCATCTGTGTGGCGATAGCCGTAGTCGGAGGCGTCGTGAACAAATCGTCGCTTTCGCTGGTCACACTCGACAATGGGCGGTCACTCTGGGTGAAGTTCGTGTGCTCCGGGCCACCAATTTTGGGAGTAGCAGAGGGCGTCTCTCCGTTAAGGTCAGGTGTGTCCAGCTGTTCCGTGAAGGAAGCTTCCTGCGACTCGGTGACGGTAGGGGTGAAAGGCTCGTTGAAACCAAACGGATCGTCGTGCGAGGAGTCCGCTGTAGCAGCTGTCGCCGCAGGGGTCTGTTGTCCGGGCGTACCGGGCGAAGGAGAATTCGCGAAAGGCTGGAAGGGAGACCCAGAGCGACTTTCTCCCTGCGCGAGCCTATCGAACGGATTGTTGCTCTTGCCCGTGTGCATAGGACTGATCATCGACATCGGACTGCCAGGCGTGCCAGGCAAAGGCTGCGCCGCCGCGAACGACAAACTATCCGGGGAGCTCATCCTCTCCAGCCCATTCCCATTTGCCAACGCCGTCGCGGGTATTGTCGATTCCGGTTCCTTCGCCAACTCCTCATCCACAGCCTCCCTCTCCTTCGTAACCTCCTCAGCCTCCTTCTTCGCCCCTTCGAGCTCCTTCGCAACTTTCGCCCTCTCCGCGTCGCGTGTGGCTAACTGTTTCTTCGCAATCGCCAACAAGCCCTTCTGATGCTTCGCGTCCTTCTTCGCCTTCTCAATCTCGCCCTTCATCTGCTCGATCGTCGACCCCGTCTCGGTCATCCTCCGCTGCAAATCCCTGATCTCCTCCTTATCCCTCAACACCGTCTGCTCAATCTCCGCCTTCTCGACCCTCACAGCGCTCAGATCGCTCTCCGCCCTGATCAGCTCCTCCCTCGTCTTCCCGATATCCGCAGACTGCCCGTTATGGCGCTCCCTCAGCGCAGATAGCAGACGCGTCTCGGTCTCGTAGGCGGCCTTGGCGGAGGCCAGTTGGGTCTGGAGAGCGGAGAGCTGGGCGGCTTGAGTCGCGATGGTCGCTTCGATGGTCGCCCGGTCCGTCTTTGTGTTTTCGAGAGAACGGTTCGTGGAATCGAGCTGGTTCTGCACGTTGCCGATTTCGACGGAGTGGTCGTGGATGGGAGGCGAGGGCGTAGCGACATCGTCGTCGTCACCAAGAAGGTCTTTCGCGGCCTGGCCTCCTTTTGGCGACGGAGGGCATTATTAGTACAACTTCTACCAAGCCAATTCGATGTGTATGGTATAAATGACTTACCGAACGGATCCTGAGGAGGTGGTGGCGCAAACTGATGCTGCTGCTGCTGCATCTGCGGTTGCTGGAACTGCGAAGGCCCACCAAACGGACTCCCACCCGTCATCTGCGGCGCGAACGGCCCCGTCTGCTGGGGCGTCTGCTGCATCGGCGCTGGCTGAGGCTGCGTCGCAGATGGGGGCGGGGTCTCGTCCCAAATGAGATCCCTCAACTCCGACTGCGGCTGGGGTGGGGCGAATGGCGAACCGGCCGTGATTCCATTGGTCGCGGCGGAACGCATGGATGGAGGGATGAGGCTGGTAGGGAGCGTCGCTGGGATATCGTTTCCGGCGAGTTTGCTTTGGATGAGGTGCATTGCGACGGCGAAGCCGTCACGGGTGAGGCGGCCGTCGTTGTTCAGGTCTGCTAGGTCCCTGTACATTAACAAATATCAAGGTCAGGATCGTTTCGTGGGCACAAACGGTCGTGTCGTATTCATGGGAATGAGCACGCACCAGATCTGGGCCAAAACGTCCTCAGGTAGCTTGGACTGCAACATGAACGGAACAGCCACATCTCCCTCGATGAACCCCCTCTTCTGCGCATCCAGCGTATCATAGAACTTATCCGAGTTCGCTTTCTCCGTCGGGGTCACATCCCACGCCTGTTGTTGTTGCTGCTGTTGAGCTACACCAGGGAACGGCGGTATATTCGCACTCGCCGGCGTAGGTCTCGGTGGAATCGCAGGCGCAGTCTTCATCCCGCTCCCTGTATACTGGGGCTGCAACGTCTGGCCGGTATATTGCTGCTGCACGGGTGGCCCCGAGTATTGCGGCTGGATGGTGCTGACGCGGTTGAATGTGCCGGTCATGTTGGGACTGAGGGGACGGCTGCCGATGGTGGCGCCGGTGGAGTGGGAGGCAACGCCGTCGACTTTGGCTTGGTCGTAGAGGCCTGGAGGGAGGGAGGTGGGTATGAAGGAGAGTTGACCGGACATGGAGAGTTGGATGAGGTACATTGCGATGCAGAAGTCGGTGGCGTCGAGAGAGCCGCGGCTTTGGGTATCTGAGAGGTTCCTGGAGGAGAGGAGGGTATTAGTTTGTTGGAGAGTTATTAGTTGAGATGCCGGTGGTCCACGGTCGTCGCGAGTCTATTGGGGCTTGCCCTAGGTGCGGGTAGAACGAATCATAACCGGCGTGATGATCAAGACTTCAGTGGAGGTGTCCCGCTACCTACTCCTTCACCAAGTGGGTGGTCGGACTAAAACAGTAGCAGATTGATGCTGTAACCAGATTCTTCTAGATGCAAGAAGAATATAGAAGAGCGCAGATCATGTTCGAGTAAACACTGTCCGGACCAACAAACATTTGAGCCGTTTGGACCCACTCTGGTCCGTAAGCGAACCAATGATTTCATGAACCAACCGAGTGCGAGAACTACGACAGATGCCAGATATCACACGGAATACGTGGTCTACGTACCATATCGAGGAGAGTTTGTCCACGGGAAGTTTCGACTTGACGAAGACGTCCCTCGCCTTGTCGCCTATATATAGCATGCTAGTCAATACCAGAGATAGTAGAAAGTCTACGAATACGTACCACTCAGCAGTCCATTGGCAGGGCCGCAACTGACGAATAGTCTGTGGAACTTTGCCTTATCCTGGGGGGTCAGGGGCGGTAGTGGAGAGCGAGGGGGCGGCGACTTTGGTGCTGCGGGACTGTGTGGTTGAGAACCTCCTGCCGACGAAGAATAACCATCGAGAGCAGGTAATGGTCCAGCTGAAGAGCACAATGCTTAGTACCAAAAGCTATCGAGAGCAGCGACGCATCCCGACTCACGTCTGTTGACCAAGTCCTCCGTAATGGGCTCTCCCTTCTGCGCCCAGCCCATCAACCTGACCGCGACCGAAACACCCTTTCTCGTCAAGAAACCATTATTGTCCGCGTCTGCGATAGCCCAAATCTCGCCAAGAACAGAGGAAGAGAGGTTCGCGCCGCCGAATATTTTGACGGCGACGTCGCCGGTGATGACGCCGAACTTCTGTGGGTCGTTTCTCGTAAATATTTGGTTGACCAGCGTGGTCTCGCCCGGTGTGGGGGTGAAGCTGAGCGTGGAAGACATCCTCCCTGCCCGCTAGATAGCTAGATGGTATCCGTGTGGGGGAGTTATAGGTACAGGTCTGAGTCGGTCCTCAGCAGTTGACGAAGACTTGTCCAAAGTCGTCAACACGCATTCGTCATGTCCGGCCCGTCCGGATTGATGCGCACTTGCGCAATTGACGGCGCAGCGCCGTCGCTCTCTCTCGCGAATTTCTGCTGTGGAATAACATATATAATACTTCGCAGGTTCGTGTGCCATTATACTTAAGCTCTTGATAACCAACAACCAGCACGCTTGCAAGAAACAGCAACGTTTCTATCGGCATCCGAGGTATTTCCCGGCTATTCCGGAAACGTCCGGGACTGCACGTGAGGCGCGTGATGCGCGCGCTTCAATACGCGTTCAAACTCGAACACATTTCAAGACAATCTTCTTCCTCGACGTCCACCATCACCACCCTTCCGTGTTCTCCATCGCGTTCCACGCTCTGCATACCCATCGATCTCATTGTACACTCACACAATTGCATTTGACACGAAATGGACCAGCTTACGACCTCACTTGCGCCCGCTCGCGCCTCTCCCTCAGCAAAGAACGCCGCATCCGGACCTGGAAAGGAGGGTGCTGGAAGCGTCACGAAGCGGTAAGACACTCATGTATCGGGCCGAAATGCGAGCCGTGCTCATCTGGACGGCTTTTACAGACTCAGTAATGAGCTGATGACTCTTATGGTCCGTCTTTGTTCAATCCTGAAAATCAAACGTGATAGCCTAATTTTTCCTACCATTCACCCAGATGTCCGCCTCTCCTGGCATCGTACGTTGTCTTTGATATACTGTAGACGGGTTCACTCTGATCTCACTCGTGATCTCCAACCAGTCTGCGTTCCCCAAATCAGACTCGAACCTCTACGAATGGGTCGGGACCCTCGAAGGCGCTCCAGCCACAGTACGCGTCCTTTTTCTCGATCAATCACAACATCCACCCCATCCCACCATCCTCCCAACCCACGCTCATCCACACCATCGCTTTCAACCAGATCTACGCCGACCTTGTCTTCCGCATCTCCATCAACTTCCCGCCGAATTACCCCTACGTGCCACCCCAGATCAAGTTCGACACTCCCTGTTTCCACCCGAATGTCGATCTCAACTCTGGCGCCATATGTCTCGATATTCTCCAGGTTCGTCACGCGTCTCTTGTTTCCGACGGATGCCTAGTGTGGCGTGATTGAGTGGCGGCTAATGTGGCCTGGACGTGTAGGACAAGTGGTCTGCGATCTACAGTGTGCAGACTATTTTGATTTCTTTGCAGTCGTTGCTTGGAGGTACGCTCTCTATTTCATCGTTGGTTTGGTATGCGTTTACCCATATTCTGTCACAGAGCCGAACAACGCCTCGCCACTGAACCCCGATGCCTCTCAGCTGTGGGCCAACCCAACAGGTGTGCCTATTCCCTGACTCTGTTCACATCAGCCATCCTTATTACTGTCCTCCTTTTTAGCCTTCAAACAGCAGCTGATGAAGAACTACCGGCCATTGTCTGACGACCCCTCCGCGTAGATGTGATTAGCCCAGTCACGCATCCCATTTCTATGCTCCTCCGCATCTTCCTCATTAAAGTCTGAATTGCATCGCTAGTTACACGACACTCTGCAGCCTTGCTACTGATTCCTCTCAAGCATACATGTAGTCCTATGCGCGTGCCCATACATCTCTGCCAGCACAGCACGCACTCATGATCATGATCCCCGCCGACCGTCCATCCACCGCCTTATCGCATGTACATATGTCTCTTATGTTTTTTCTCTTTTCCGTTCATATCCGTTTTACCTCGTTTCATCTTTTTCTTTTGTTCTTCTCCGTAGCAATTACATAAATCAGTACTGTTCCGGCTATCCTTACTCGGCGTGACTGTGTATAAGTACAGTACAGTACGGTATTGCGGATGTTTCTTCCTTTCTCTGATTCAGATTCAACTTTGATGGAGCGTGGTTACGTGGTTTGGCATTTTATATATGTATGGAATGGATTCTCTCTGACTTTATCTCCGGCGGCCTTGGAAGCTTAGACTCAGAGTAAGCGAGCGACAGCTCGGTGCGCGCCCAATGCACACCACCAGTGCATCACACTCCATGGAATGGGAAAACAAAGATATTTACAGTGGAATACACAAGACCTAGTAAGGATACAAAGCTTCTCATTTATCGTACAGAACTTCAGCGGTTCATGCTATATGTGGGCAACCAATGGCCATCAACAGCTCTACTCTGAGGCGGCTCTGATTCATACCGCCGGACTGAGGACCATCAGGAGGAACCAAACCATATCCGATACAATAATCTAGCAGTTCCCCAGGAGTCAAGTTATTCACGGTTTGAAAGCTTGTCAAAGCCGGTAACGCTGGACGGCCTGGAATATTTCCCTTCGATTCAGAGCCCTCAAAGATTGGATCATCAGCGTTGCATCAGCGGGTGAAATATTTGAACTTGAAAGAGACTTAATACTTCGGCTGGAACTGCCTGCGTCGGGAGTGTACCGTCGGGAAATGGTACTATGGCATACCGGGCAAGGACTCCTCCCCTCGAAGCTCTGCAAAATCCGCCTGAATCCCAGTAACAGTGGCGTGCACTGTACGCAGCTGGTTTATCAAGCCTTGTGCCCAGGCGGGTGCGACGTCTGAGCCATGGGGCGCCATTCGTCTCTCTATCACAGAGACGCGATACTGCCTAGCCTCCTCAACGTCTACAGCAGAGACACAACCCTGCCCTACATAGAAAAGGCCAATGTGAGCCCGAAGTCAGCCTTGTCGGTGGGTGGATTTCATATGACGTACGGTAGGCGTCGTTTGCAGTGCGGGATAAATAGAGGAATGTGGCCGCGAATTCTGACCCGGGGTTCGGAGGGTTGGCTGGGGCTTTTATAACATCGAGGGGATTTCCTTGGCTTATCAAAGGAGGAGAGAGGGCTGGTAGCTAGTTTTCTTCAGGAGTAAACGCTGCCATTGTGATGGATAGGCTTTCAAGGGTGGGCGAGATTTGAGCGAGAGGGTAGCAACCGGGTGGAAGACCTTGAACGCACAAGAGTTTAGAAATCAGAGAGATGTATTGACGATGATGTCTTGAGCCAGTTTGGAACCAACGGGCATCAGATTAGTACGGCGGGACACAAATGCTCCAAAGTCCAACCTTTGTGGGAGCCGCCGTGGTGACTCGGATGGCACGGTGATCGCCGTCTCGCGCCATGCGCCCGGGGTATGCCGGCCTTGACACAACCCTTGAACCTGCCGCCAGCTACGCGGTTCAAACTCCGCGCGTGCGTGTCACTGTGTCAGAACGATGGAACCCGGTTGTATCCGATCAGTTGGAACTTGACACTTGTCGAAGCGCTTTCAAATCTGCGCAGGTTCAATGTTCAACTCTTACTGCAACCCTTCACCAAGCACGATGGAAACACGACCGGAAAAGCCCTGCTTTTATTTAAGCAATAAGAACAAGCCAGATCCAAACCTGTTGCAATCCGAGTCACCGTTGCGGCAAGTCATCTAGGTACGCCTCCCGAGCTCAGATTCCTGAACTCCCTTTGGCGGGACGCCCCCCTTTTCGTTTTCGCTCTCACTCTGCTCCCCGACATAATCGTCGTGGCGCTGATTCGGATTGTCGGCACCCACGCGGTACATGGGGTGCAGCTTGCCGTCCACTGCGTTCTGGGTTTTGCCGAGGTAGAAGTTCGTGGTGCAGAGGGCGGCGAAGAGTGGAATGAAAGCATCAATTGAAATGATCTGGGGTAAGGAGAGAGTCGCAGATCGGCATAAATTGGGCGAAACAGGGAATGGAGTGAGGGAGAAGTTTTTACAGGCGTACACGTAGCGAGCGAGGCGATGATGAGAGGTCTGACGGTGTCGTCGTAAGCTTCGATGACTCCCGCTCTAATATCGTCGGTCTGATGTCTCGCGCTTGTGATGGAGCCGTAGCGTTGACACCGACAGGCGTGAGGTATTTGTCGAGATTGGCGGGCATGTCGTTGCTGATGCAAGGCAGAGCACGGTGATTAGTTTCTAATACTACAGGCAGTGGATCATGAGAGGAGAGGGAAGGACTGACGTCCAGACGGCACCGGCTATGAAGAACAATTTTTTTTTTTGGGGGGGGGGATAGATAGACCATCAGGATTAACGAAACAACTGACGTTGAACGAGGGAGAAGGGACACAATATGTCAATATTAGGATACTCGCCGACAGCGGTCGAGGTCGCACCGAACAGCTTGGTCCACAGCGCCAAGTTGGAGATGACGATACCCATGTCCTCGTGTGGTACGGAATTACCTTGACACAGACGACGGAGTTGCCACCACCAAGACCTTTGAGAATTTGCGTCCAGGCAAGAACGATAGCGCTGTACAGATGTGCACCCTTGGTTTCACTCAGTATTGAAGGCGGAAAAAACAGGAACATGACGCACGTTGCATGCTTTCCACGACCGCAGAGCATGACGACATAGCAAAGAATTGGAATGACCCACCCAATACAGAGCAACCACTATAAAGGATCCGTCTAAGTGACTACCTTTCTATAAGAATGAGAAGGAAGCTCGCGTAGTGTAAGGCCAGCGCCGAGACCGAAGACACAGAGACCGACGGTTCCAGTTTGTGAATAGATCGTCCAGTCGTAGAGATCCCAGTCACGACGTATGTTCAGCTGGAGTAGTAGGTGCCGGCGAACCTCCGGAGAGATAGTAGAACGCGTCTGATATATTCGTCGAGAGAAATGATCCCCTCAACGATGAGAATTATAAAAAGGCAACACAGATTCAACGAACCGATGATAATGCCACAGATGAATGCCCTAAGATATGACGCCAATGATCGTTAGTATAGGTACGCGCTCGGTAGCCAGAACTAACGACTCGGATGAAACGGAAGAGGCCAAACTCACCGATTGATGATCCGCCTTGGCAGAATGACAAACATAGCGATTAGAGAGACTGTGGCAGCGAATCACGTCAAGATGATGCCTACGTGCCAACGGTGAAGTGACAAAACGTGGAAGGGGCGTACGACTTTTGTAGCCATCACTGTTCGCACCCGCAGACAACGTAAAAGGTAGCAATACCAATGTCCCACGAGAAACGCAACAAAATCAACCCAAAGGCGTCGATTGCAGGCCATATGTTGAGGAGAATCCGCCACAGGGATCGACTCTCTCGCCTACGTCCGCTGGGGCCACCGTCTCATTGGTGTCAACGACAGCAGGCTCGCTGGGTGATGCATTTCGTTTGTCGCTAGCGAGAAGATGTAACATCACAGGGAAAGGCAGCACCGTGAGTGCGAAAGCAGAGCCTGAACGTCAGTCTGAGGGAATGGGCTCCGAGTCAGGTCAACACAGCGACTTGGAGGACGCTTTATATCGTCAAAGAACTCAGAGACTGTAGCACATCCCAGTGTATGTTATCAATGGTCGGGATCATAAACAGAATTGTACGCGCCTGCCATGACCCTGGAGAGCCTGAGGAAAAATGAAACTTGGCAGCGTTCAAAGCCAGTAGAATACCGTGTCACCCGGCGGGAGGAGCGTTTATGCCAAGCACACCATATTCAGTGCCTTGTCAAGAAGCGTGCAGGACTGCAGTTGCCTTCTCCTGCACCGGGGTGGTGTGGCACCCAGTGCGTTGAGATCCGAGAGAGTATATAGGGCCGACGTGCAAGTATGTACGTGCAGCCGTCCGACATCAACGTTCCAGGGGACCAGCGGTGGATCCAGTCACATTCTACCTTATAAGCCGCATTTTATGATTCGTGTATTTAAGGGCGTGAAGTATTCTGGGTGAAGCAGTAAGTACCTTGGAACAGAAAAAGAAAATGGTGTAAGGTGGAGGGTGAGAGAGCAATGACACTGACTGCGCAATGAATTCGAAACGTGCCACATGATGAGAGTGCTCGGCAATCATTCTCGCTTATGATCTTATCAGATTATTCGGGGGCCCTGCTATATTTATAATTAGCTTTTTCATGCTGTTCCTGAAGGGCCGTTTCGGGCCCATCGGTCTTATCAGATAAGGCGGAACTGCTCCTCTGACCGCCGCACGGACAGTACTCCGTCTTTGAACTCGATACCTTTCGAAATTCGCTTTCACCGGGCTCGTTTGGTTGTTTCTATCTAAAGCCTGCGCCCAGCATTCAGCATGGAGCGCGTTGCTGATACATGTGGCACGGTCTGTCAGAGACATCGAAGAGTCTTCCTTTCCAGCGACTCGCACGATACTCGGGAAACAGATGATCACAACTCCGAGTCTGTATAGGTCTGTACCAGTGAGTAGTACGCCAGTACAGTACAGGTGACCAGACCGGGCAGAAGGTTTACTTTCTCTCTTTTTATATCTTCCGCAGCCTTGTTCCTTAATGATCTTTTCTTCTCCTTCATGCTCCTTCATGTCACCATCACCCTCGTGAACCCACTGGGTCCGTCGTGGTTTGCAAGCTTCTTTCTTCCATCTCGCTGCATGTTGCTCCGGTCCCGAGTCCAGGCGTGACCTCAAGGAGCTTACCTTGAGGGTCCAGGGTTGGTCTCTCGACGGTATAAAACACCTCCGCTCTGTAGCGGGAGCTCTTCCGAGGCTGTTGACTGCTTTTCCGCTCCCCTCACCTCACGGATAGGCTAGGCTCTGCTTGTTAGTTCAAAGTAATGCCTCTCCCTGCGGTGTTCAAGTTTCTTACGGGAGAAAAGCTCCCAGGACCTACTCAGAATCCTACCGACACCGAAGTGGTGTTAGAAAAGGTGGTCCCGACGGACGTAGGCGAGCGCCGCCGTGGTATTGAAAAGATCGAAGCGCTCTACCGCGTCTTCCCGCCTGGCAGCAGGGCTCTGTGGGCTCTCTATGCCAGCCTGTTCTTGTATGTCTATGTATACACGTTGGCGAGTTCGACGGTATATAGCTTTTATGCGTTTGCGGTGTCGGCATTCGGTGAGCATGCGGTATTATCGACAATCAATATTATGGTGTCGGTCATTAGTGGTGTTGGTTAGTTCGTGGTTCTTCCACCCCGAACTTGAGACGCGCTTGTTGATTGTGCTGACGTCGATTTTAGGTCAACCTTTCGCTGCCCAGCTTGCAGACACGACCTCCCGCCCCACTGCCTATGCGATCTCGCTCACTCTCTACGTTGTCGGTTTCATTGTTGTGGCGTCTGCCAACGGCGTTGCCGCCATCGCTGCTGGTCAGCCGACCTCCAGATGCCTCTGACGCTCGCCGAGACTAACTACGTGACCGTTCAGGTTACCTGCTTTACACCATCGGTAGTGTGGGATTAAGCATGGTCACTTCGCTTCTCGTCGCTGACATCAGTCCTCTTTCCTGGAGGTTCGTTATTCACACCAGTGTAGACTTGTTTGTTTATTTACCTTCACGCCGTACAGAGGCTTTATCACGGCACTTCCTTCTGCGCCTTATATCATTAACGCGTACATCTCGTAAGGAAACTACTTCACCCATATTAACCCAACTTGACACAAACGTTTTGGCTTGACCTATCATAGTGGTTTCATCACGGAGGATCTGGGAGCGGCTGGATGGTATGTTATTTGAACTCTGTTTATATATATATATGTGATTTAACACACTTTTCCTGGTAACTAGGCGCTGGGGCTATGGCATGTTCGCTGTATGTCCACAAGCGTTTTCGAACCCCCTAACCAATACAGTTTCGCGCTGATGCTTAACTTGTCCCTTTCAAACAGATCATGGTCCCAGTGGTCATGTCTCCTGCCCTTATCGTTCTCTTCTACGCTGACCTGAAAGCCAAACGCCTTAATGTCCTTGAAGGCCCCACGTCAGCGACCTCCTCCGGTCCCGCTGCAACTATTGAAAGCCGATCCCCGTTGCAAATTTTCATTAAGATTTGTTCCGCGATCGATGCGTTTGGTCTGATACTGCTGGGTTTCTCATGGACCCTGATTCTGCTCCCATTCACGCTGTCGGCGAGTGCGGGCAATGGATACAAGAACCGTGAGTGCCTTGTACTAAGGATCACCGAACGTCACATTGACGAATATCACTTTCACAGCTTCGCTCATTGCCATGTTCGTTGTCGGAGGCGTTTTGTTGATTGCGTTTGCGGCGTATGAATGGTTTTACGCCGCAAACCCGATTCTTCCGCGACGGATTCTTAACCGGTGAGTGTGTTGTTGTATCACTCTAGTCATCTGCCTTTTCTCTCAGTGGGAAACGAACGGCTCACGTTCAGCCCTGTTGCTCTCACTCTGTAGGGCTTTCATTTGTGGTGTGATCATCGGTCAGTTCATCACATGGTATATTCCTTTTGCATGGTGCTGACGGATGTGACGTTGCAATGAATCTAAAGACACTTTCTACTACCTCTCCGGAGATTTCGCCGGAACATACTACTCCAGTTGGACATATGTAGTCACAAATTGGAGCCTGTACGACTGGACCATCTTCTCGCAAACCGAAACCGTAGGACTCTGTCTCTTTGGTCTCGCTGCTGGTCTAGCGATGAGGTATACACATAGATACAAGGTGCGCAGCAGTTCTTTGCATTCTTAGCCATTCCTGCTGATGAAAGCCTTACTTGATGCGTGATATCCAGTGGTTACTCTGTCTCGGCTGGGTGATCCGTATCCTTTGTTACGTCGTTATGTACCATGCTCGTGGCGCCAATGCTACGTTCGTACCCCCTTTCTGCCACCGTCTCTTCGTAGGCTAATGCATATTTTTTACGCCCTGGCATTTTAGTTCCGTTGGCCTTGCTTGGACTCAAATTCTTAATGGCCTCGGCGGTGGTATCTCCGTTGTTTGTGTCCAAGTTATGGTGCAGGCCTCTGTGCCACATGAGGACATGGGTATCGTTATCTCGAACTTGGCACTTTGGACACAGTTGTTTGGTGCGATCTCAACCGCTGTCGGTGCGTACATGCTTCTCGTGTCAAAGTGGCGAAAGGTAAGGCTGACTGATGACGTTTTATACTTCTAGCTGGTTCTGTCTGGACGTGCGTGATGCTCTCTCGATTGCTTGACCTATCCGACATTCATTTTATGATTTCCTTCCAGCAACAACATGCCCAAGAACCTCGAGAAGTACCTAACCCCTCTAGGTGTAAACGCCACAGAGATCGCGACGATCTATGGATCTATCACCATCGCAAGGTCCGAAACCGACGACGTGAGGGCTGGGGTCATCTCTGCCTACGATGATACTGTCAAGCCATTGATCATCGCCTCGCTCGCCACCTGTAAGTCTTCCATTTCGTACTTACACACGGCCCATTCTGATCACTACACCCTTAGCTTTCATTCCCCTCATCACTGCTCTTTTCACTACCAACTTCTACCTCGGCAACACTCAGAACGCCGTGGACGGTAAGCTGCACCCTATGTATCGTACGGGAGCCGAGGCTGTCCAACAGGAAGGTGGCAGTCAGAACGAAAAAGATTCTGTTCAGGAGAAGGTTCAAGAGCGGGAGTAGATATTCTTTATTCACGCCGATATTGCCTTGGTTTGGCCTTGGTTGATTTTTTGTGTTTGGTTTTTGTACTTATGTCGGGGATGATCTCGATATCCATTCCATTTCAGCGAGAGGGGGAGTTTCTATAGGCCATGTTCAGGGCTCTGTACTGATATGTGACTAGGTTTTATGTGTTGCTATGAGTTCCTGTTTTTTTCACCGGCGCCACCACGTGTCGTGCGACCTTCCTTGCCATCTCGCGTCTACTCTCGCGTACGTCCTGCACAACTGGGGTCTGAACGATTTCACAGTGAAAGGCGTCAAAGTGGCTTCGGACGTTACTGGTATAGCTCTGCTCATCTCTATCATCTCCACTTTGGTTTTGACATGTTCTTCTCAGTGCCGTCTCCCGAGCCGCTCAGCACTCTGCAGTGGAATAATAGTGCTATTCCAGGCTATTCCTCTCCCCACATTTTCAACCACCATCGCTCCGGACCACTAGGAAGGCGGCCGTCCCGAGCTCAGCTTTCTCTACACCGCCGGGCGTGCTAATCCTCGGCACGGCCCCCATCCGAAATACCCCGGGATAGGGACGCTGCGACCATGTGCGATCCCGGCACCGATACCATAACGAGGATTTTCGAAATTGATGTTCCAGGCTTGTCCGGCGGCCCGTGCAACAGGGCTTTTTGAAAAGGTTGTCCCAAGGTTGCAACGTCCTCCCCTCTACGTATCCGCTTAGTCAGCCGCTCCCTACCGCCTTCAGAAAGCTCTGACGACTGCATATGCCCAAGTCGCGTTCTCCTTGGGTAGCTCATCCTTCCCCGCCTCACTGAGTGTCATATACCACTCATGTAAGTACTATCCATTTAGTAGATACCTGCTATGTATTTATTTCGACCATCTGTCCGTCCAGTCCGTCTTCTATACCCTTGGAAAAAACAGCAGCTGATGAACGTATTCAAGGTGTCTCGCTAGTTGTGTACGCCTGCATGGTCTAGTGGTTTCGCTATAGGTTTGTTCTGTGCACGAACGTGGTTTTAGGTCGCGCGTTCAATTCTTGCCGCGGGCAACCAGCATTTTGGGTGTTTGGCGGCTTGGCGGGAACCCTCGCAGTGCCCCATGGACAACCTTGGTACAACCTTGGCCGGCAACATCGGATCAGGGTCCGTCCGAAAAACCCCGGAACAGTATCGTGTCTGGCCTGTGACAACGTGCCGCCCGGCCGACCCTGTTACAAGGCTTCCGCCCTCCGGCGGTGTAACAAGATGCCAAGCTTCCGAAACTTAACGGTGCCCAGGTTTTCGCCCCGACTCGGTGGCGCTTATTATTCACCGCAGTTCCATGTCAAATGATAGATGCGATTTCAGGTACACTAATCAGATAAGATCAGGGATTCATTCAAAGTCCCCGATCGCCTTTGACTTTGATTGGACAACTACTCCCCGAACCCATCCGTTATAGTTCCTTGCAATACAGCAAGGTACCCTATGCGTACCATTTCCAGTTTTCTTATGTCGCGATCTGTTTAGAGCCCTGACGAGAACAGCGACCGAACACATAATTCAGCCTTTAGGATCTTGCAGAAAGGTCCAAAGCTGCTGAAATTCGAATGTCGATAAAGGGCCAACAAACGGCCCCCCTCTACTGCCTGTTCGGAACTTCGAGCCAGCCTCCAGCTACATACTTCACCGCTTTCCCCAGTGTAAGAATGTATCTCTCTGGACCGCCGATCACATTCGCCGTATGGATCGCCCCATCTTCCCATCTCCCGACTTTGTCGCCCCTTGACCCTCCCGACTAACTAGTATAGCGCGTGGTCTCCATTGTCGTGGATCCAGGTCCCTCGCCGTCAAGCTTCTTCTTTTTCCCTCACCGCGTAATGCCCGGATCCGAAGTGAAATCAACAACTTTTCATATCGAAATGTGGTGTGGCGAGTGGATTTCTGTCACTCGTGGATAGTATAAAACGTCTTCGCTCTTCCGCATGATCTGGCCCAAGGCCGTCGACTAGTTCCCCGCTCGCCTCACCCTCGCACTCAGGCTCTGCTTTCCCTCCCATAGCGATGCCTCTTCCTGCGATTTTCAAGTCTCTCAAAGGCGGCAAGCTTGCCGTGCCGGATCAGGAGCCGCCCGTCGTCGACGAGAAGGCAGTCCCTGCAGACGTTGGCGAGCGCCGCCGTGGTATTGAAAAGATCGAAGCGCTCTACCGTGTCTTCCCCCCTGGCAGCAAGGCGCTCTGGGCCCTTTATGCCAGCTTGTTCTTCTATGTCTACGCGTATACGCTGGCGGGTTCGACCGTGTACAGTTTTTATGCTTTCGCGGTCTCAGCATTTGGGCAGCATGCGGTATTGTCGACAATCAATATCATGGTGTCAGTCATTAGCGGTGTCGGTGAGTTATTTCTTCCATTGCTATATCTCTCATGACTACTGTGGAAGATCTATGTGCTAAATTGTCTGATACCGGCCATAGGTCAACCTTTCGCGGCTCAGCTTGCTGATACCACCTCTCGTCCGACTGCCTATGCAATTTCGCTCACTCTTTACGTTATTGGTTTCATCATTGTGGCATCCGCCAACGGTGTGTCTGCCATTGCCGCTGGTGAGCATCCCCTGGAATGCAATAGCATTCTCGCCAGTGATGTCTGATCATTTTGGTACAGGTTATCTGCTCTATACCATCGGCGGGGTGGGATTGGACATGGTCACTAGTCTCCTTGTCGCTGACATTAGTCCCCTTGCTTGGAGGTGAGTTCCCCCTAACGGCTTGTGCGAATTTTTATTCATCCCGATTTGTACGCAGAGGCTTCATCACTGCACTTCCCTCTGCGCCGTACATTATCAACGCGTACATCTCGTAAGACAATTATCTCTTCAATCTCCCAATTTTGACTGTTGACTTACACTCTTCTGATTTACCTCTCACAGCGGTTTCATCACGGAAGATTTGGGAGAGGCCGGATGGTGCGTCTCTACCGCGACTGAACTGCGTCGTGGCCACATACTAATTCACTACTTTTAAACTCCAGGCGCTGGGGTTATGGCATGTTTGCTGTAAGTATACGGACTTTTTTCGAGCGTGCTCTCTTCGTCGTCTCCGATGATTGCTGTCATCGTTGTGCTCAACACTTATTCTTTCTAACAGATCATCGTCCCAGTTGTCATGTCTCCCGCCCTTATGGTCCTTTTCTACGCCGATATAAAAGCCAAACGACTCAACGTCCTCGAAGGCCCCTCAGCTGTTACCTCCGGTGCCGCTGCACACATCGAGGGCCGTTCACCCTTGAAGATCCTCCTCAAGATCTTCTCCGCGATTGACGCTTTCGGTCTGATATTATTGGGTTTTGCGTGGACGTTGCTTCTGCTCCCGTTTACGCTCTCGGCGAGTGCCAACAATGGCTACAACAATCGTGAGCAATTTCGATACTGCAAATTTCTAGACTGCAATGTTGACTAGAACGATATTCGTAGCCTCTCTGATTGCCATGTTCGTTGTCGGCGGTGTCTTGCTCATTGCGTTCGCTATATATGAATGGTTCTTTGCTGCGAACCCCATCCTGCCAAGGCGAATCCTTAACCGGTCAGTACAGTTTTACCCCTTCCAACTCAGTCATGATTGTCCTCTGAGCAAGAGACTTACAATCACCATCATTTGTCTCACTCCACAGAGCATTCATTTGTGGCGTGATCATCGGTGAGTTGATCATATGTTGTATCCCCATTTCATGGTACTGATGGAGTTATTCACAATCAATCAGACACATTCTACTACCTCTCCGGAGACTTTGCCGGCACATACTACTCCAGCTGGACGTATGTCGTCACCGACTGGAGCCTGTATGACTGGACTATCTTCTCGCAAACGGAGACCGTCGGCCTTTGTCTTTTCGGTCTTGCTGCTGGTCTGTTGATGAGGTGGACCCACCGTTACAAGGTACGTGACGGCGATACCATCGCTTGTTCTTGTCCTAGAGAACGCTGATGTCTCCGATTCCTTATGTCGTTCATAGTGGCTACTCTGCGTTGCTTGGGTCATTCGTATACTCTGCTACGTCGTCATGTACCACGCCCGTGGAGAGAACGCCACGTACGTCCCATCATCTCCTCGGCTTATGCTTTCCTTAGTACCCCAAATTCATGTCTTCGTTTGCAACTCCACCTTTCAGTGCTGCCGGTCTCGCTTGGACACAAATCTTAAATGGTCTCGGCGGTGGTATGTCCGTAGTTTGTGTCCAGGTGATGGTGCAAGCCTCCGTGCCCCATGAGGATATGGGTATCGTTATCTCGAACTTGGCGCTTTGGACATACTTGTTCGGTGGGATCGCCACTGCTGTTGGTGAGTATTGCCTTCAACTATATCTATTTCTGAGAACAGTCACTGAACAATGGCGCTTCTATGATCCCAGCTGGTTCTGTTTGGACGTGAGTCGTGCTCCTCTAACCGTTACCTTTGCCAGATACTCATAGTAACATCTCCTTCCAGTAACAACATGCCCAAGAACCTCGAGAAATACCTTTCACCTCTTGGCGTCAACGCCACTGAGATCGCGACGATATACGGGTCTATCACCATCGCGAGGTCCGAGACCGACGACGTGAGGGCTGGAGTCATCTCCGCTTACGATGATACCGTCAAGCCACTGATCATCGCCTCACTCGCCACCTGTGAGTCTTCTATTGTTGGAGCTTATCATCCTACCACATGCTTACTCCTCTTCGTTAGCCTTTATTCCCCTTATCACCGCTCTCTGCACCACCAACTTCTACCTTGGCAACACTCAAAATGCCGTGGACGGCAAAGTACATCCAATGTACGGTAAAAACGAAGCCGTCGAATCAGACTCTCAGTCTCAGAGCGAGGGTCATGATGAAAAGCAGCCTGTGCCGGAGAGCTTGAGCAGGGATTAGAGGTTTCATTTTCGTTTGTGGTGATTATTAGTAGGGGTTGGTTGGTCGCTTCTTGGGCTTTGTTGTAGTTTTTATCTCCACTCCTTTTCTTATACATCTGTGCTTGTTCTTCGACTGCTCTTGAGTGAGATTCTGGTCAGCTATCTGCCCTCCGTCAAGACAAACTTGTTTGTACCATACGAGATCTGGTCTCCTTGGTTTCATCGCAACAATGCGTTCTTTGTATGTTCCTGCCAAGTTAAAGTCTTCCTGCGCCGCAGCAGCTCAGGCAGAGATAATAATGTGTATCCATCGCCGAGAACAAGACGTTTTGACGACTTGATGCACCCATGTAGTACTTACTGTGTTAGGGGCGCCACACCAACCTGTGCCACCCGTAAGTCGGAGTTCGTGAGGAACCGAGGCTCGGTAGCAATTGGATGGCTTCTGCGAATGATCGCAACGAGCCAGAGTGAACGAGGCCTTTGCATCGTTCGTTCACGACGAGCTACAGCAGCTCGCATAATAGTGGTCAACGACGACGGGCCAGGTCTTCTTCCCTCTTCTTTCGCTCCACAACCATCTCTGTCGCTCGCTATTTTCTTTCTGGTGGTTGTAAATATCGAGCCGGACTCGAGTGCACAGATTTTTGCTGCTCTTCATCTGAAAAGTTGAAGACCGTATCTTTATTCCATTCAGTAACGAGTAACTATCGTATAGTTGCTTAGGAAGAAGACCTTTGGCATTGGTGCGTCGCTAGATCTATGTATCTTGATGTGCTGGACTGACCCGCTACGCTTGGAACACTAGATCTATACCCCATCAACCCCACAAAGTTCCATCCGATGCCCCGTCGCTCACCACCAACAGCGCTTCGCCTGCACGAAGGCCCACTCCCTACACGGGGAAAGCCCAAATTTACACTCCCCTCCGTCCCGCGTCCGATCTTCCACGCACCCTCCATCGCCCCGCGCGGTCCAGCTCCCCGTGCGCGCCAGGCTTCCGTTTCATCCCACTCACCCAACTCTTCCATTAATTCCTTCGACCCATCGACCCTTTCGCAAGTTAGGGCGTCTTCGGACTACTTTCCCACCACCATAAGCCCATCATCTTCGCAGGCTTCGAGTCCCTCCGCGTCTATCGGTTCAAATCATGGACACCGACAGAAGATGGTGAGAGGACCTTGGGACAGTGCGAATTCAATTGTGGTGCCTTTCGATGTGGGTTCGGTGTTACCTCCTCCGAAGAGAGCAGCTGTTAGTCCGGGAGGCGGGTTGGGAGGCCGTTGATGTGCGCTAAGATCGCCAGCGCCACTGGTGATGGTGTAATGGACACGGATAAGGTTGGGTTTGCATTCGCTGATGAAACGTTCGTTGCCTTACGAGGTCTGCTACACATCGGACTAGAGCTCCCCGCAGTTTGATGTTGAGACATGACAGGACGTCGTACTAGCTTTTGGTTGGGTCTGTGTTTGCAAGTGCGTCCATGTACCCGTTTGTCGCCTGTATCTTACTCAGTTCCGTCCGACACTGCGATGGGAGTGGTTGTTTTACCACTGCGTCGATGAACATAATGATGCTACGCATTTTGTTCCGCTTTGCGATATTCTCACAAGGAACCACACGTTTCGTTGTACTTGGCTACTGCTACTTGCGTCAGCTTAACTTCTCTAATACATTTGCCGGCGCCTCCTGTCTCTTGAATTAACACAGTGACACACTGGAATGCGGCCGTTGGTACGAGAAGTCCGAAGCGATGCTTCTTACAGAGTGGGTCACTCTATTCTGTCCATTTCAGAGATATACGCCGATCTTGAGGTACTCTTTAAACAGGCAATCGGTATTGTTAGAGACTGTAAAGGAAAGCCACAGCCTATCAACTGACCGACAATGACGGCTTGATTATTTTTCGTTCCTTGGGAGCTTTCACATGGGGGGGGTGGGGGGTGGGTCATGGAGCTTTCCCAACCATACCAAGTCCCGACAGTCTAGTACTTGTCAGCGTCAGCCTTCGATAAGCTACAGTAAGCTCGTCATGGGAACATACATACACACGTATATATACACCCCTGCCTCTCGATCTCCTGGCATCGATTTTTTCCATTGTAAACGACGGCCATGGACCACCCCGTACTCGACTTCGTCCACACCACCGGCGGCTTCAGGATTCTCCTCACATTTTCCCTCCTCTTCTCTGCCTATACCATAGCTCGCTACTATCGCAGTCCTTGGCGCAAAGTCCCTCACGGCCCAAGAGGCTACCCTCTCATAGGTAACGCTCTAGAGTTGGGTGGATCGAAGTTGTGGTTGAAGTTGACTAAGTGGCGAGATGTCTATGGTACGTACGCCACGAACCTCACCCCCCAGTCACTTCTTTCGACAATAACATCGTCGCTTCAACTGTTTGTCACAACTCTGACTCTAAAACATGGACTGTAGGAGACCTTGTATACCTCAACGCTGCCGGAAAACCTGTCATAATCATCAACTCTGTCAAAGCAGCCGTGGATCTCCTCGACAGACGCGCTGCGAACACGTCAAACCGGCCGAAGAATATTGTAGCCTCGGAGCTGCTCACCGGAGGAATGTTCATGACGTTGCAGAATCTCACCGACGAGTGCGGATTTTCCACCCTTACGCTTCTGTCAACTGCGACGAATGCAAATATTGATGCGCTATCGCTCTTCTGTGTTACAGGTGGCGCCGCATGCGCAAAGCTTCGCACGAACACCTATCAAAGTCGAACGCCACAGCGTACCATGCCTCCCAAGTCACCGAGTCTGTCCTCCTCGCGCTTGGTGTTCTCGCAGAACCGAAGGAATGGGAAGCGCAGTATAGACGTGCCAGTGCTTCATTCACGATGAACCTGATGTACGGCGCCGCTGAGGATTCCAAGCAGTACAAGGCAGCTGGGGTCAGCATAGAAGGTGTAGGGATGCAAAACGCGAAAGACAAGAGGATAGAGCAGATCAATGATTTTGTGGCGAGACTTACGAGTGCACTTCTGCCTGGAGCGTTTTTGGTGGAATTTTTCTCGTGGATGAGATACTTCCCTTCTTGGTACGTTCTTTATTCTCCTGCCTTTATGCTCCGCTGAGGTGAGGACGTCAAGCTGACGTGATTGCTTCTACGGGAAAAGGATGGCCAAGTGGAAACGCGATGCGGAAGACTCGTTCAGGAATGATTCAGCGATGTTTGAGGGATTGATGGACGGGGTTCAGAAACGACTCGTAAGCTCATTTCGAGCCCTCTATTACCCACTTTATTTTGCTTCCGATACTGATGACACGTATGGATTGTTGCAGGCTAGAGGAGAAGAACCGACCAGCGTCATGGGTAAGATCTCGAGAGACTCTTCCCGGTACGATCTCTCGCTTCGGGAGAACGCTTGGCTGGCTGCTGGGATGTAGTGCGTTTGTTTTCCTTCTTTATGCGCACCATTTGATCCCCGGCGTGCAGTATTGATTCTCTTTGACGTGTGTTAGTTCCGCGGGTGCAGAGACCACAGCAGGAGTCATGACTTGGTGGACGCTCGCCATGCTTCTCTACCCCGACGTTCAAGCTCGTGCGCAAGCAGAACTTGACAGTGTCGTTGGTAGGGAACGCGTACCTACCTTTAAGGATTATGACAATCTGCCATATCTGAGAGCTATGGTCAAGGAGGTACGTTATAGCGCCATTCTCTTTTTCAAGTCCATACCACTTTTCTCAAAACCGGTGTGTTCGTCTTCTGCAACATTTTTTTAATGACAATGTCTTGCTCCTGTTAGGCTCTTCGTTGGCATACCGTCGATCCGCTCGGTATGCCGCACAGGGCGGCAAAGGAAGATTGGTACGAGGGATACTACATCCCCGCTGGGTCATTGATCATTGCGAATGTCTGGTTGTTGAATCAAGATATAAACACCTGGGGTGAGGATGCCTTGGAATTCAGGCCTGAAAGGTATCTACGAAACGACACGAAGACAGACAAGGGCCTCAGTGGAAGCGGAAGGGAGGAGAGTGATTTCACGTATGGATTTGGGAGAAGAGTTTGTGTAGGTCGACATGTTGCGAATGTGAGTCGCGTTAGATTCTCGTCTGGCATGTGAATGATACTGACGGTCATATGCAAACAGAATTCGCTGTTCATCGAGATGGCGATGATTTTGTGGGCGATGAAGCTTGAGAGGCCGGTGGACGAGAAAGGCGTACCTGTCCCGATTGACATCGACGGGTGCATTGAGGCTGGAGTCGTGGTGTACGTACTTCTCTTCATAAATCGTGACCTCTCGACGATGAGGAGCTATTCTTTCAAGAGCAGTCAACTGATTGGAACATTATCTATCTTAGCCATCCGGTACCATTCAAGATCAGGGCCACCCCTCGTTTCCCCGAAGCCGTCACCGTCCTGGAGCACGAGAAAGACGCCTCCAAGCTGTAATGTACTATTTCTGCTTGGATTTCTTTCTTGATGACTGTCGCTACACTTCGCCTCATGCTCGGGATGGTCCTCGACTTAAATGCAGTATAGACGCTTCCTATTATCAGACTGTAGGTTATGGCTTCGTTGCACCGAAGGCACCGGTGGCCGCGGATAGCAGAGGACAGACTAGTGACCTACATAGTGTGACATGTATTATAATTGATAGAAAACCCGTAACGATATAGATCTCACGGCCGTCATGAACTTGGGCATAATACGGTCTCCTCATTTCTTTTGCATCTGGCTTTTGGAAGTGGGTGCTATCGAGCGTGAGGACCGAGTACCTGGAACGCGGTAGCCCTCAAACGCCTTTGAGCCGGAACATCGACGCGTACGGTGGCGCCTGTCTGGTGTCCAGTGGTCGACTTCGATAAATCCACAACAACTTCGCATTCTGTGAAGATTTGGGCTGCACTCTTCCTTCTCTATTGGATGACTTCCCATGACCATTTGGGAAGTTGCATAGACCAAATACTCAACCAACGCTGTTAGCTTAGACGTTAAATGACATTAACGACTCCTGCGTACGAATCTGAGGGGGACTTCCTTCAACGAGAAGGCAGTTCCCGCGAGGGATGCCTGTTTCATCACCCTCTCCGTGTACTGCCCTCTAGTCTCTCCAGGCCCCAGCAAGGGCTCTACCTTCCAATCAAGCAGCAGAGATGCCAGGAAACTCAGCACCTCTGTCTGCGCGAATTTTCTCCCTGTAAACGGTCTATATCAGCTGGGTGCGAGATCGAGCTGATCTCGGTAAAGACAGATATACCAATGCAAGCACGATGGCCGAGGCCGAACAATGCGATATCCTGCTCCGGAACGCCAGCCCACCTCTCGGGGCGGAATGTATCCGGGTCCTCAAAAACGTGCGGGTTTCGTGCTGGAAATCAATGGGGCTCTATCGCTTGCAAAACGTTTATAGGGTACAAATACTCACAGAGACCTATAAGGTCGATGATGATCAAGGTGCCTTTGCTCACGAAAACCGTGCCGGGTTCGGGGCGTACAACATGGAGCACAAGATCCTCCGTTGCCCTACGAGGAACCATCATCGGCGACGCTGGCGAGCAGGAAGAATGTCAGAATACCGTTAAAGTCCCGGAGGATGATGGCAACTCACGGACAAGTCTGAGGGCTTCAAGGAAGCAGAAGAACGTGTACGCTAGCTTGCTGGGGTCAACATATTGCTGTATGTAGTGATGTATTTAGTAAAAATAGAAGAGGTACGGAAGCAGATGCAAACCGCACAGAGAGACCCAATTCACTCGTAGTCTGCGAAATTTCGGTGAAGACGGTCTGCTGGATGTCTGGATTTAGCGAAAGATACGCCAGCGTCGCCGTTATTCCGCTCGCCGTTGTCTCTGAGGATATGTGACATCAATGAGTGACGTTAGCGTAGGTAGTTCTGGATACGCACCATGCCCAGCAAAGACAAGAGCAAACATGTTCGAGAGCTGCAGAGGGACACTGTATCAGCCATGGCGAAGCATATAAAACGTAACACAAAAGCTACACACCACTTCTTGCTCGCTGAGGACGTACTTGTCGGCACTTGCCCAGGCCATGACAAGACGGTTGAGGATATCACCCGAGAGGTCTTGCTCATCAAGAGTCATCGCACCGGGGTCCTCCTCCTTCCTCCTTCTGAGCGTTGCCATGATGTAGGCCTCTACAGCAGACCACGCGCCCTTCACCTTGCGGATACTAGACAGTGTAGGTGAGGAATCGCACGCATTTGGTGAGAAGACACACAGACCTCTCAATGGGCAGATTATAAGCCCAGGCTGGAAGGAGAAGGTGGTGAATATACGTCTCGGAGACAGTGCGGAGTGCATTGCGAAATGCATGACGAGAGGAATCTTGAACAGCGCCTGGCTTTCCGACATCGATTCCGAAACCACAGCTACAAATGATCGTGATCGTGAACTATTTGACGTTCGATTGCAGTCGATCAGCGTTGTGGAAGAGAAAGAATGAGGATAGAAAGAACTTACGTCAAGAAGCATTATATTGGCCTTCGGGACATCGACTATGTCTTTCCCATCCCAGGCATCGCTCGTCACAAGTGCGGCGTAGGTCTCCCTGACCGCCCGCCAAACATCGTCATACCTAGGCGAAACCGGCTTGTCATAATCGCACGGTCCATAGATGCAATTGGAGACCGCACGCACATCTTTTGATTGAATGAAGGGGCGACGATGCGACGGTGGAGACGCCAGATGTCTCCATTCACAGAAGTGACGTTGTCTCCCCATTGACTTCGGATACAAGAGGGGTAAAATCCGTTAGCATTATCAGTCTCACGAGGGCGAGCATGCAGGATACGTACAGGGCGGAGGTCATCTCCCTCGGCTTCTCTAGAGACGCGCTCTTGGTATAGAGCAGCTGTTTCGCAACCTCGAAGGAGTTAGTGTAGATCGACGGAGACCCGACCACGATGGGCACGGTGGAAATAACGTCGTATGTGTGATTAAAGTACGCTGGGAGGGGTGCCGAACGTCGGGTAAGTCCTGGAATGTGACAGGCTCAACGTGAAAGAGCGCACGAACCAGTCTTCCGCCAGTGCCAGGGCCATTCATGGCCAGGGTTCCAAGATGTGCAGGGCAGTGTCGCGCCCAAAGGACTTAGAGGCGAGAAGAGGGACCTAATTCCGGGTATTCCGTTCACTTTCTGTATCAGCAAGACTGTATCAGTCTCGAGACCTTGGCAGCTCGATGAACACATACTCGAAGACCAGCCCGGTACTTGTAAAGACAGAGGGCAGAAATAAGCACGGCGATGGACACGGTGGTGAGCATTGAGCGACTTATGCAGAGAGTATATCGAGGTCTCGAAGTGGAGGGCACTTTCGCTCTGGGAGGCCTCCTCATTCAAGTTAGACGCGGTGTTGGCGCTTGCGTCGTGCGTTCGTTCTTCCGTCGCGGGAAACTTAGTTGAGATGGGAAACAGGAAGGCCTGCTTAGAACCGTAGCATTACGCCTTGCGTTCGATCAACCCAAAGAAGGATATACGGTCAACGACGAGAAGCCCGAAGAGTGCAGAGTGGTACTCTGAAGCAGGCACGCCCTACAGTGGGATGGACGCGACGCCTGAGAAGTCCGAGGCCTCGGGTAGCATCAAAAGCCGTGCGTATTTTGGATACGACTCTGGATCATACTGTATTATATCCATGATCTAGAGGGCCCAGATTAGGAGCGAATAGATATCGCCGACACCAGCGCCACGAAGATTCGTCGAGGTCGGAGAAGGAAGCGATGTTACAGTTGTTTGAACTTGTCTCCGTGGCATCCGAGTCCTGAGCGTCGGCGCTTGAATCCACACATCTCCGACGTGGCGTCTCGTACCGTACTCCCGGACTTTTTTTTTGTGACCTCACGCTTCGAGGCATATACTTATCCCCGCATTGCACGCGAGTTTGAAGCATATATTGTGGTTTTTGTCAGGCCAGTACTTAAATAACTTTTCTCGTCAGTATTCGGTCAGGTACGCGCCTCACGACTAAGTACTGACGATTTCATGGTAAACCCAGAGTCTCCCCGAGTGCTTATTCCACCTTCCACCCTCAGGTTTTCGTTCTCTTTCCCGAAGATGGTATTCTATAATCATCGCTTAATATTATGGCTCGTCCAATACGTCTGATATCTTACAGCGTTGCCGCGTGTACGACTGGAATATTCCAGATTTTCACTCTCCATTTCACTACGTCCTCAAAAAGCTCACGAGAACCTGCATGTACCTCTCTCTCTCCTCAAACTGTGCACTGTGACTGGATTTTTCGAAGGTGATCCATTTGACCTTGGGAATGTGGCGGAAGAAAGGCTCGCAGACGAAGTCTTGAGAGACATCGTAGCGTCCGTTGATGACGAGTGTAGGTACCCGGATTTCATGCAGTCGGTCGACGACGGACCAGGCCTTGAGCTCCCCGGAGAACCTAAGGAACTCGATGTGAGCTAACAGCATGATAGACAAAGCGGAGGAGCGTCACTTACATCGCCATGCTCACTGTCGGATCGCCGTTCTCCCCAAAGATCATCTCCAAAGAAGTCACGAATTCTTTTGGAAAGGGCTGGATTCTACACCCGTGGACTGCATGGAACTTATCCAGCGCGGCCCTATACCCCTGCGGATCCGCAAAACCCTTCATTAAGCCCTGCTGTACATCCTCGTCCATCCCCTTCATCAGCTGCATGTTCGATTGGTTCCACAGCGCCATATCCGGGTGTGCGCTTGCTAGCACGAGACGCCGCAGACCTGATGGCTGGCGACGAATGGCGAACTCGAGACCGAGCATGCCGCCCCATGAGTGGCCGATGATGTCAAAGGAGGTCAACTTGAAATAGGAGATGAGGTTTTCGAGTTCGTTGATGAAGAGGTCGATGTTCCAAAATGATGGGGGCTTGTCTCGGAGATGAGTGGAACGACCGCTGCCGAGTTGATCGAAGAGGATGACGGGGATGGAGTCGGTGGTGGTGATGTCGGTGATGGGAGTCATGTAGTCATGAGATAGACCTGGTCCGCCATGGAGAGTAATGAGAGGAGTGACGGTCTGAGGACGATTAGACGAGAGGTCGCCGAAGGCTTTGAACCATGTCTGGTGGGTCTCGCCGTCGACAACGAAAGGAATGGTTCCTTCTGTGACCTTCATTGAGGTGCTCGAGCTGCTGTCCATAGTTCTAAGGTCAGGTTGAGAGTTCGGAGTGATGCAGGAAAAAAGCGGCTGGTTATGAATGATCTCTCTACAGGTGTTTTTTCAAATAAAATGAAGTATTTGTCCATGCACTTCCGCTTCTGGTGCTGGCTGATGCCTACCAACGAGGTTTGGTACGGTCTGATGCGGCTGATACAGGAGTTAGAACCCTGTTGATGGCCTTGTCGAAGCTCATACACACCGCCCGACTTGGAGATAGGTATTCTAGCTCGTGCAGGGATCACTCCACACCTCGGTCGGAGATCGTCACATCGGCGTTCAAAATGCCTCATGCGAGATCGACGGGAGCGTTCAGAACATCTGCGACAGCTCTATCAGGGGTTGCCAAGTAAAACCAACAGCATATATTTCCAACCTTTCGATAACCACTGCATTCTTGGTCTAGCAATCATCGGACGGCATCGAAGTGCTTGATCGCCCTCTAGTAACCAGTGATCCAAATTGTTCATGGAAATCAAGAGTCCGAGCAGCGCATTCACCAACGGACGTGCATGCTCGTGCATGTTCGCTAGACCGAACACAACTTTCCGCCAATTCCCTACACCAGCGAGGGGCAGTACTGTACTTTTTCGCGCACAAGTTCGTGTCCCGTATCCCATGGTTGCCGCGAACGAACTTGTGCCACGGGACAGTCCCACCCCATTGACGTGCACTGAACTTGTAAATGGGACATACCAAAAATTGACGAAAAATTGACGAATATTTGAGAATATATTTTAGGGTCCTAAATTGACCTCAGGAAGGCCCCCAAGACACAATTTGGGCCAGATTTTGCTACTGGGTGAGCTCCCCCACCCAAATGCAGAGCATAAGTGGCTATTAAGCGGTCATGAAAGGTCGTATCCCTGAAAAAGCGTCCATGTTCACGAACATTGTCCCTTGTCCCGGTCTGCTTGCGAACCGGGACACGAACGGATTATGTCATCTCGGCAACGGCCGAGGGGCGGTGGCGTGAACTTGTGCGCGAAAAAGTACAGTACTCTCTCCGGGAACGTTGGCACCTCACAAAGGCGCCTACCTCTTCCGTAAGGCCCCATGAAATGAGACAATGCCCAGTGAGCGCAAAGATATCGCGCGGGCTCGTCAGGCGTATCCACAGTAGACTCACCAATAGTGTCCTCGAGACCTACTTAACTTGAACAAAGGCAATGACGTAGTAGAGCGATCCAGCCTGTTAAGCCTTGGAATGTTGTAGGGTAGGGGAAGGATGCAAGCTGGATGAAGTAAATCCGAGTCATCTTCGCAGCCGTAGTTCAGGATGAATGTTCGCAAAATGTTCGAGTCAAAAACGTCCAAGATGATCTCCGGCAATACCCGCCGGTTAGGGTTTGCCTTGCAAGACCTTGCGATCCTAACAAGCACAAACAACCACGATACGCAAGACACATTTCAGATATGACGAATATTTCGTTGACTTTAAATAAAATATACACAGAGAATTGACGAGGTCGAACTCAGGCCCGCCGCTCGGCTTACTTGTAATCCTATTCTGACCCCCTGGACCTATCCGGGGACGTGTATGGCCCTCACACGAACTCGTAGTCTCGGATACAGCAAATACTGCTGCCAGTGGTAGTTTCTACAAGAAGCCTGAGGCACGATTAGATACAAGTAGTTTAGAGGGATAGTAGACAATTTTAATATCTGCACTGTCCGAGATACAGCCCTTACTTTGCTGCAATAACTTTTTAACTCAAAGAGTTTGTACGGCATTCGATTTCACGGACTCCTCAAGCGTGATGAACCCGTCCCTCCCCAAAGCCTTCAACAGCTCAACACTACGTTCCCTGCTCTCTACCGTGCTCAGATCGCGAGGCTCATCCGGGATGTTTTCGGGCCATGTACGCTCAGGATATGCCTTGCGCAATGCATCGAGGACGTCGCTCCAGTTGAAAGGTTGTGAGTAGGCAAAGATCCGCTCGGCTTTGACAGTGGGGTTGATAAGAGCGGCGACGTGAAGGCGTGCGGAATCGCTGACGTCGACGAACCAGTCTATGCCAAATGAAGTCATCAGCCAGAGTCGACACAAAGATGATTGATCAAAGCTTACAAGGCGACATGCCATCCTTCTTTGCAGTTTCTACATCTCCCTTCAACAACGTCTGTATCCATCCCAGCGTTTCCGACTGCTGTTCCTTGTACAACGACGCTCCAAAGTTCACACTCGGCAACACCGTGCTGAACTCAAACCCGGGCTTCTCCTCCTCCATGAACTTCCAGCAAGCCTGTTCCGCCTCTGTCTTGCTGGCCGCATAGACGACCCATTTCCTCTCTTCCTCGTAGGGTCCGGGTGCCCATGCAAGCGCACTGACGACGGTGTTCCATGATTGAGGAGTGGTGGAAATGGGAGTATTAGGCTGAGGGAAGCCAGTGGTGATGGAAGATGAGGTGTAGACGACGCGTTTGACGGAAGGTGTGCGAGCGGCGGACTTGAGGACGTTAAGGGCACCGGCAATGACTTCGGGGATGACTTCGTTGGGGTCGGGCGAAAGGTACACATTGGAAGCCAGATGGGCCACACCGCTAACACCTGATAGATCCGTGAGGGTGGCGTCAGATATGTGTTCTGAAGCCGCGAGAGGAATGTAAAATCAAGTTCTGACCTTTCACTGCTTCATCAAATGCACCCTCGGCGTTCATCTTAGGAACGGCGAAGAGTTCGAATTTTCCAGGGCCGTATTTCTTGTCGAAAAGCTCCTGGACCCATTGCGCTCGAGAGACGTCGCGAACGGTTCCGCGGACTTTGTAGCCTGCGAGGAGGAACTGATCGGCGGTGTGAGAGCCCATGTAGCCGTTCACGCCAGTAACGAGAACAGTAGATCCTTGTGGGATGGCGAGAGCGGACATGTTTGCTGATGTGGTGGTTGCTATAAGCGGTGAGTGTGTTGGATGAGATATTTTGTTGCAGGAAGGTTGAAGCCGGAGAGGTTGATGAGACAAATTCAGCGAGTCTCGTACAATATTTATACTGCGAGCTTCATCGGAGTTGTGCAGCGTCAAAAGAAGCAATTGAGACTTTCAACTTTCTTAGTCCTTGTTTTACTAAGACGATCCCAGAGAAGGATTTCGGAATGCCGTACAAGACCAACGTAGAACGGATTGCCATGACACAGCGATTGAAGGAAGCAACGAAAGGTTATTCCTGAGGAGACGAGGAACGCGCTGACTGATTGATGAGCAAGCAAAGTCTAAGACAAAAGGATTGCTCAGCACAAGACGGGCACCGAGCTGGAAGTGTGGGGATATTCCAACACTGGCTCGGTCTGAGCATGATGTCGTGGGCCTCAAGGCTTGTATGTTGAGTGTGGGTCGATTTTACAGAGTGCAGACGAGTTGTAGCTGAGCAGCAGAAGGCCGAAGTTGTGGTCATCAAGATTGACGGATCGACAAGCTGCCCGACCTTTTGTTTGGCCGTGTTGAATTCAGAGGCTATCGCATTCCGACGCAATATTCAAATCCTCGCCACACGCAAGTCACTGCGTCAGTTCTACGTCGAGCCACACTGTTCGGGTGCGTTTGTAAGATTTATTTGAAGAATCATACACGTCTGTCTTTGACCACCAGAATATCGAGACTGATTTTCTACAAAGTCAATAGCCGGTCCACTGTGCGCAGCAATGCTGCCCATGACTCGTTAACATCTCTCTCCCGGCGCGCAACTGTGACTTGCCACACCGACGAGCTCTGCCTTCTTTGAGCTACCCCGTACATATGGAACGCGACAACAAACAGCAGGCCAAAGAACCAGCCGAAAGCTCGGACATGACACCACTAATTGGGCTCATCATCGAAGGCAGCACGCTCGAAGGTGGCGGCCAACTGCTCCGCAACACCGTCGCGCTCTCTTCTTTGCTTTGCAAACCCGTCACGATACAACATATTCGATATAACAGACGGCCGCCTGGGCTGAAGAATCAGCATGTCGCAGGTTTGAGGTTTCCCAACCATTCATTCACTGGTAGAGACGGTACGATAATACTGACGTTGGTTGGAATGGGCAGGTATACGCCTAGCTGCAGAGATTAGTGGAGCGAAACTAACAGGCGACAAGAATGGGTCTTCGACTATAACCTTCCATCCTGCTGCGACAGGACCACGCCTTCCCGGATTCTTCACCGCAGATCCTGGGACAGCAGGCTCGACGGCCCTTCTCCTCCAAATCGCCCTCCCATGTCTCCTCTTCCCACCTCCATCACCTCTATCTGTCAAGCCTACAAGCTCGACCGAGGACCCGCAGAGTCCTACTTTCTCATCGTTGACATCTTCGCTAACGCTTCGAGGTGGAACAAACGCTTCCAATGCACCTCAGATGGACTACACCGCCAATGTCTTCTTCCCCTTTCTCAAACGCCACTTTGGCCTCTCGCCCCGGCTTAAAATCGTCAAACGGGGGTATTACCCAAAAGGTGGCGGAGAGGTCCACGTCGAGATGGATCCAGTGGAGGGCCCGTTACCCGCAGTTCGATTATTGGACAGGGGCGAGATCATATCCGTGCAAGGACGGTATGTTCAATCACTCTCGGTCTACTGAGTCAAGCTGACGAGGACGTGGGCCCACAGAGCATACGTAGCCGGCCTTCCCGCCTCCCTCGCCTCCGAAATCGCCTCCTCTGCCCTCTCTACCTTAACCCAGTCCTCCCCCTCTCTGCATCTCGACCCCTCCCTAATCTCAATAACCCCCCTCCGCGAATCTCCCTCCCAAGCCCACGGTTCCGGTTCCGGCCTGATCCTCTGGGCCACAACGTCCACAGGCTGTCGTTTTGGGGCCTCATCACTCGGTGCGAAGGGGAAAGGGATGGACGTCGTGGGGAGAGAGGCAGCGGAGGAGTTGATCAGTGCGCTAGAGCCTAGGGTGGGCGGGGAGATGAGTTGTACGGATGAGTGGTTGCAGGATCAGGTTGTGTTGTTTATGGCGTTGGCGGAGGGGGAGTCTGTGGTGAGGACGGGAGAGTTGACGTTGCATACGAAGTGAGTTTTCTCTGTTGTTCGACATGGCTGCGTTGTGGATTCGTTGGCTTATGGATGTTTATAGGACGGCGATATGGGTCGTGGAACAGATGACGGATGCGAAGTTCACCATCGAAGAAGAGCCAAGTGGGACGGTCCTCATGCGTTGCAGAGGCATCGGCATGACCGCTTCGTCTCGTTCAGCTTCTCAGTCGCAATCGGCGTGACCTTCTCTACGGGTTTGCTACCACATACTGCATGCATACTGTACCTATCTACCATCGCAATAGTAGAGGATTTCACCACTCAAATGCTCACCCTTCAACAACGGACCCATCGACTCGACATCCTAAAGAAGAGAATAAATAATTCGCAAGGAAAGTATGATGCACATAAGTTTCCGAAACGCTGTATGCATATGTAAAACTATATCCGTAACAGTGAGGCTCCGAGCTCGTAGGTAAACAAAACACGATCGAGTAAAGAGGACGCGACGAAAAATGATAAAGACAGACTGAATTACTATAAAATTGAAGATGTCCGTCCGGTGGCGCTCTGGCCCGTCGATATAGGGAGGCGGAAGAGAGTGGGACGGGCAGGACGATAAAGTACATGGTTGGTGGGTAGGCGATGAAGGCGGGGAACTCAGCGACGGGGTCTACGCCCTGTACTTGACGGAGACAGGCAGGTAGAGAGATGAGGAGAAGATGTGCAGGTGGAGGAGCTGTGAAAGGAGACAACGGTCGACGGTGATCATGGTAGTGGTTAGGAGGTGGAGATGAAGGTGTCGTGCGAGACGGGAAAGCTCATAGGAGGCCTGGTCGGTAAGAAGACGTAGAGTACGTGGGAGTCCTTCACTGTCTGTTCCAAGACAGGAGGCTCATGTCTCCGAGACGTCTGAAGATGCAAGACATACGTGGTCAATGGTGTGCACCATGAGGATGAAAAAAACTATAACTAACCTTGGTTTCAGGAGATGGCGGATGGTACCAAGGATAGCGAGCAAGACGAAGAGGGATGCAGCGGCGACGTATGCCCAACCCAAGAACGGGTTCTTCCCGCCAATCCACGAAACCGTAGAGATGACAATGGATTTCGTACCCGAATACGGCTTAACAGGGAAGTCTATAACGGCCGTAAAAGTAGCGCCACACGCAAGTGCGCCATCAGTACACTGCCATGTCCGAGAGCACCGGGGAAGGAAGGAGCCACGTACTCATATAGGCCACGATCTGGTACGTCCCCGACTGGAGGGTGTCAGCATCGTTCCGCGCCCAGAGCTTCGTGAACGTTGGTAGACCGGCCGTGCGCATCCAATTTTGGAAGTGTTCGTCGGATTTCAAGTCAGGAATGTTGGAATCGTTGTAGCCGTCGGGGAACCTGAGAGCCCAGTTCGGTGGGGGTGCGAGGTTGGAAATATCTCCCGAGGGCTTTGTGACGTATTTCTTTGACTCTCCTGGCCATGCGATACCGTTCTCGGAGAGGGTGTAGTTGGTAGTCGTGGTGGAGCTATCGGCGGGGTTGACGTTGGTGAGGTTGCTGAAAGTGTCTAGAGGCGTAGATTGCTTAGTTTGCAAATTGCAAAGAAGATAAAAGTAGAAGGCGTACCATTGAATACTGAGTTAGCGATCAATCCGCAAGGATAGATGGCCTTCGTGGACGTCCCATCGTTGATCTCAGCCACGGGCTTACAATTCCCACTCTGCAAATCCGACGCGCTCCTCTCATCGCCCTTCAACTGGTCTGCATCATAACTCTGTACGTATCGCCTGTGGTTCTGGTAGAAGTTCGTGAGCTTGTAGTACAGGAGCACGGTCGGCTTGATGTCGTATGGGACGTCGAACTGGATGATGCACTGCTGTTGCTTGCTGACGTCCGTCTGGGTCGTGTCATTGAAGAAGGCATATCTTGGTGCGGAGCTAGGCTGCTGATCGGATTCCGAGGCACTGAGGCGATAGTTGTATTTAGGGACGGTGACGGCGTGGTTCGTGATGGCGTCCTGGAGATCTGTGGGACTTCCGCCAACGGTATCACACTGTGTGTAGTCGATAGTAATTTCTGTAACCTGAAAGCGTTGTACAACGTCAAGGATAAAGTCTGAGGTAGCAAGAGAATGCCAAGCGCACCAGACCACTGCCCCAGATGAGAAGGCCTCCTATAGGCGCGAAGAGGATACCAATGATGAAGAACGTCGGAAGGACAGTTCGTGGTGTGAGAATAGGCTGCCAGGCCTTCAGTCTCTGCTGCTTAAATGCAGTATCTATACGAGAAAGTCCGACCGTTCAGTAGGCGGACGAGCGGGAAGTTACGGGCCACAGAGACTAGAATGGTAAGGGACGCACTTGCTGGTCTCCTCCAGCTACCCTTCTCCTTCTTAGGTTCAGAATCTGAACTTTGCTCAGACTTATTACTCTTCTTCCTGCCAAAAAGCGCCATGGTTCGTCTGAGTGAACTGAAAGGATGAAGGGAAGGTGAGGGTACGAGAGCAGGTGAGAGTTGAGGAGTGGGTGAGAGCTGTTGCCAGAGTTCGCCGAGCAGTGCCGCTCTTACACAGAATCTCCTTTACGTAACCGGCACAGGTCACCCTTTGCGCCACACCGTCTCTCCCGCGTTCACGCCACACATAAACGAACGGTCAGTCATCATCAAGAAAACAAGCGCTCCGTATCTAACAGGTCATCGTACAGTACATTCTCAATCTTCTCCTTCAGATGCTCTTGAATCCCAAAGCAGACGTCCACGTCCTCGCTTTCCCCTGAGCTTGCCGCACTCGAAATGGTGGGATTGGAAAGGTAAACTCTCAAATACCTATCTGTGACCCCCATGGTATAAAAGCACGCCGACTCTGGAACTCCAAAGCTCACATCTCTTCTGTTAATCCTGGTCGACACAGCGAGATTGCCATCAAAAGCTTTTGGCCAACGATAGGAGCTTAAAGACGAGACTTACGAAAGTTGCGAATTAACCGTCATCATTCCAGGGACCACTTCGAAAAACATCGAGTGGTCTGTATTGGAAGCCTCGAGCATGGCATGGCTGGCCACTGACATCCATCTTCTCAGATTCTCGGCTTTACGGCTTTCGGATATGGAGTTGTGAATGGTGAGGGCCAGACCGCAGAGGTTATTCGAGAGTTGGGCAGGCCACGGAGGACATTTGGCCTAAGGGTCGAAAATGAGATCTTAGAAGGAGAAGTTCCGAGGTAAAGGAGAAGCTCACGATGTATATCTCGTTTCCGGCAAGGTTTGCGTCCGCAAAGGGAACATTAAGGTTGCGATACTTTAGTCAAAGTGAAGTCATCGCGAGTGAGCTCGAGCACGATACTCGAGAGAGGGAGGCTCACACTAGCAGCATTCGTCAGCGTCTCTATCGGACTCTCTAATACCTTATTCAGCGCCATCACAATCCACGCCGTCAACACATCCTGCCTCGACAGTTTCACCCTGTCATCCGTACTGCCGCCCTTAGAATTGCCTTCCGGCGCCCGATTCCCCACAAGAAGTTCATTCGCCTTCCTCTGCATTTGCCTCAGCTTGTAGCCCGGAACACAAACGTCGACGCGGACCACGCCTCTGTTCATCTCGGCGTATCGTGAGCCTAGCTCTGCGACAGGGTATGTCCGCTTGAGATGTGGCATTTGGTCTAGATACTCCTTCATGTCTTCATCAGTCGGGGGAGGAAATTGAGGTTTGCTGAATAATGGTAGTGGGTAAGGAGCATCGAGACGGAGGTAAAAGTTGGAGATGGTGTGCATGAAACGGTGAAGGACAGCTGCGTCGCCTACAATCGAGCATTCCTTCAGCGTAGCCCATACATTGGAGGCAAAGGTGAGCAAACCGAGGGTATGATGCCAAGATACTCCAATTGCCGTCCGTCTCTCCGTCAACGTTAGTTTAAACCTCAATAGAGATGTGTCTCCGTTCACAACAGGAATACCTTGGGGTGTAGCGCTCAGGAAAGGAGACAGATCGTCTTGGACTACGGGCGTAGGATTGGGCATCAGTTCATTGAACTCTTTCTCTCCGAGTGTGACGACTTTGAAAGGGACAGGCTGATTTGTGAGCTCAATCTAAAAGTGCAAGATATAAAAGGAGTGTACGGGGTGTTCAAATCAGAATCAGCTAGAGCCCCTAGTATAATGCAGAATGTGGCCCACCGACCAGATGTCTTCATCTCGTCGTAGGCGTCCAGCGGCGTGCGGGTACAGCTGTAGAGATCTAGACACGGAGCGGGAGAAGTTCTCTGCATCGAGAATACGTTCGACGGTGTAAACATTCTTGATCTAAAGAAACGAAAGAACAGATCGAGTCAGTGTCTCATTCGATCCAACAGAACGTCACGGACCTAGCACTCACAAAAGTCAACCACAGATCATAACCTGGTAAAGGAACTGATATTTGGCTTTGAAGTATGGTCGGTAAGTATGGGTACAGGTATTTCATGGTGGACACTTTCTCATCGAGTAGCCATACGTACTGTATGTGTTGAATGTAGAGACTAGAGCGAAAGGACACTGATCAGTCCAAGATCGTCCATGCTTTGTCCATGCTCAGGAGATGTGGCCCTCGGTCATTCTACCACGCCACGCGAATGGGCCACACCCCCTCCTCCTCATTAATGCATCCCCTCTTGAGAGACAGGCAGTCGAATCTTAACCACTCAAACACCTCCTGGGATTCCACCCAAAAAAAAATCTCAGACTCGTAGGTTGTCAAGCCAAACTACATCTGTTCGTAGTGGATCTCTCACTCTTCCCTCAGTACTAAACCCCGACTCCACAAATCATGTTCCGCCTCAAAGGTTTCGACAGTTCTGACAAGAATGAAGTATCAATAACGTTAAAATCTGTATCTGAACGCATTACTAAGTAGTTAGCTACTAATATGCGTACCTTTGTCGCCGAGCCTCGAGATCAAGCAGAGTCCAAGAAAGTCCCCTTGTTGAAAGCCCTGTGCTGACTAACCGTCCCCACGGGGCTGGGCCAGTAATGCTGCAGATCGTGTCTAGCCGCGTTGGCATCATCCTGCGAGATAATCTTGGCCTCCGAAAGATCTTGTGCGAGCGTGTATAGCCAGAACCTGCATCCCTCTCCTACTGGAGAAAATACATAGTTGTGTCTCCTCTTGGCGATGATGAGATTGAGTATCTCCGCTACGGTCGTTCTCGTAGTCGTGGTGGCGGCCACGACATGAACAACATCATCGGTCATGGCACATATCAAGGTGTCGACGATGATCATCGCCGGCTCGCCTGGGGAATTTGGAACCGCGTCGATACGAACAGACTGATTCTCCTCGATCTTGAGGAAAATGGACCAGTGGTTGGTGGGCGTAAGACCTTCTTCACCAGCGTTTTCTTCGTTAAGATAGGAAGCGAAGGAGATCGTCAATACTGCAGCGTCCAGACTGGTTTTCTTGAGGCCCATGGTACCCCAGTTGTCAGAGTGGGTGATAGTAGAGTAGACGGTGTCGGAGAGAGACATGATGACTAGGAGGGTGCACAAAGGTCGAACATAGAGACTCGGAAGGTAAGCGATATCACGGGGCCGTGGTCATCAAGATTGACAGATCTCGACTGACCGATCTTTTATTTGGTCTTGTTGAATTCAGAGGCTATCGCCTTCCGACGCAATATCAAATCCACACGAAGTGACTGCAACAGTTCTACACTGTGCCACACTTCAGGTGCGTCTGTAATATTTATTCGAAGACTCATACGAGTATGTCTTTGGCCACCAGATTATCGAGGCTGATTTTCTACAAAGTCAATAGCCGGTCTACTGCGCACAGCAATGCTGCCCATGACTCGTTGCCTGCACACGGCGGGATGCCGAATGTGGAACACGGGGATTTTGACTGGTCGACAGGGAAAGAAAGTACTTTGTATAATCCATTTGTGTGTACTTCATCTTTATTCTGTGTCTACGACGTTCTGATTGTCTTGCAGATCGAGCACATGACTCCCTACCTCAAGAGCGGCTGGGTCTTTGTCAACACATCTAATCATGCAGATGCGGACGCTCGCAGTATTTTTGGGCCCCACGAAGTGAAACCCGATATCTCTCTCTATAGCCCCGATGCCATGCACGATCCAGGTCATCCTTACCAGGCAGCGAAGATGGAATCTTTCGGCGAATTCAAGGTGAACCCGAAAGATGAGCCTTTCTCCAAAGCTCCAGAATCGGATCAGATCGAGCACGACTCAGCTCAGGCTCGGCTCACACGCGGTCAACTCACGGTATATCACAACGCCATACAAGCCACTCAGCAGCGCACTCGCGTTTTCGCATTCTACATCCGCAGAGGATTATGTCGGCTGCTTTGCCACTCGCGCAGTGGTACCCAAGTCACGCCCTTATTCGACTGGACGACGACCGACGACCTTTACACTTTCTTTTGGCGCCTCAGCCATGCTGATCGCGCCCTTCGCGGATTCGATACCACCTTCGAGCTTGTGTCAGACTCGGACGTCGAGGCACCTCGTGCACGCAAGTTTCTCGGTCTTCGGAACAACGTCCCTCTCTTCAAAGTCCGCGTCACCGACAGCGACTACTTCTACGTCTCCCAGCCTTTCACTCGCACTCATACGTACCCCGTCGGCCGCGGTACGCGCTGCTTCGTCGCGTACGATCCCGTCAACAAACGTCGGGTCATATTGAAGGATACTTGGCGGTACGGAGAGTACCTTCCTGAGCACGAGGTCTACAAAGTGCTTCGAGAGAGGGAAGTTCCAAATATCCTCGATGTCGTCGCGTCGGGAGATGGTGGAGGTCATTTTCAGCGCTGTGGAGAGACTGAGACCCTCCGCACGCTTGTACACTATCGACTTGTTTTGAGTGAGGTTGGGAAAGCCCTGGTCAACTTTGGATCGACTCATGAGTACGTGACCGCGGTCCGGGACGCGTTGATATGTTTGTCTCTTTCTTTCATTCGCTTTGCATATGACGCTGATGCCATAGAGCTGCCTCAGCCCATCAGACAGCGTTTGAGAAGGGTGTACTCCACCGCGACATCTCGACTGGCAACATTATCATCGTCAACGGAGAAGGTCGTCTTATCGACTGGGAGTTCGCGAAAATATATGATTCGCCGCAACGAGCTAAGGAGCGCACGGTAAGTCGTGTTGATTGTTCTCTCTACTATCCGTTGTCTCAACATCGTGCAGGGTACACTGCAGTTCCTGTCGCTTGCCCTTCTCAGAGATCCGAACAAAGCTCATCACGTCACTGACGACATTGAATCCTTCCTATGGGTTCTTTTGTGGGTGGCAATCCGTCATGCGAGCAACTCCCTTACACCCGCAGAGCGTAGAGGCTGCCTGGCGCAATTCAACGTCTCTTCATCTCACTGGCGATTCAAACTGAGCTTGGTCCAAGGGGGTAGAGTCGCGATTGGAAGTAGGGTCGCTGGAATTCAGCTCGCCTCTGAACCATTAAAACATTGTCTAGGAACATTGGTAGATGAGCTTCATCACGCGATCATAAGGAGAGAGAACGGTGCGAAAGACCACTGGTCAACACACGATTGGGTCCTGGGTGTTTTGGACGAGGCTTTGAAAAATGAGGAGTGGAAGAGGGCTATCGACCCTCAGCTGGATAATGAGGTGGCGGGGGACCCTAACGGCAAACCCTACGCACAGAGGAGCTTAAGCGAGTTGCGTTCCAGCGAGGTTAAGAGTAGAAAAAGACGCAGGGGAAGCGAAATGGTCAAGGAGGATGAGCTGGGCCCGGGCGACGAAGGGAATGAGGATGTCGGAGAGGGTGAAGATATTGAGTCATGTAAGAGGTTGAAGGTGATGAAGCATGCGGGTCACTAATATGCAGAAGGTCAGACTGCTGTTGAGGATAATTGTATTATACCCTGTTGCTCGACCCAAAAGTCGTTCTGGAAGAGGGAGAGTCACTGTTTTGCAGGACGCCGAGAGAAGTAAACTTCAATTGACAGACTGTTTCGACTTATAAATGAAATGTTGGAGATAATGAGACAGGAAACAGGGACTGGGTCAACCCACCGTTCCCAGGACCAAGCTCTATGTTAACCGCCAGTTTATTTTCAGTCTGGCACTTCTTCTGCCTTCATCATGCTCAGCGGTCCATCGACTTCGTGAACGCCATCACAAATAGGCCACAGAGGTATTGCCTCTCCTCCCACTCACTCGTATCATAACTCCATCTCTCGGACGAACAGCCAGTTTAAAGGATTCAAGATTCACAAGTTCTCAGATCATTGTATGTCAAGTATCTAAAAGCAGACCAAGAAGAAAAAGACACGAGTATCAACGCGGGAGCACAGGAGACAACATCCAAACAAAGCTGGTAAACATCATGCATCATTGCCATGTACATCACGCAACCTCCGTTACATATCCCATACACTCATATGCATCCAAGACGCATAAGCTACCCATAAACCATCCTATGCGACTGTCGAAGGTACGCGCGTCGAATAAGTAGCACCCACACCGAATGTGCTTGGTCCGACATGAGCGTACGGCGCAAGACAAAAAATTCGCCGCATATGGCATACCATATAATCATGTATCATGACATACCCCTTCTGTCCCGAAAATTGTGAACCGGAAAACTATCGCTCTTCTGTCATTGCTATTGCATATCCCCATCCACTCTCGAGAGCGAAGTCGAAGTCGAAGCCGGCGTCGAATCTTGTCTCCTCAACGACCTCCTCGGTCTCGCCGCCACACCAGCACCATTAACTTTGCTCGCAGCAGCACCCGTGCTGGACGAACCAGCACCTGACGTAGACTTGAAGTTCGAGTTCGAATTCGCATGAGTCGCATGAGCACCGAAATTGATGTCCGCGAGACGAGGCAGACGTATCTTGAGGGATGTAGAGGACGACGAGGGAACGGCTGATATTGATGGAGTAGGTTTCGAGGGTGAGGAAATCGATGCAGATGTGTTCGTAGGAGCAGGTACAGGGGCCGAGGCGGATGTCGAAGCCGCAGCGGCAGCGCGTGCTGCTCTACCTTTAGATCCTGAGGCTGCCGCTTTCTTGGGGGTCAGAGGGGAAGTAGGTATAAGAGGCTCTTTCTCCTCCTTTTTCGTACGAGTTCTTGTAGGCTTCTTGACTGCTGAAGCCGGGGGAGGTGTATCGACGTCCATTGGCACGGGTTGTTGTGAGGTAGACGCCACAGGAGCGGTCTCGTCAGCCGAGTCATTGAGGTCCAGTGCGATGACCTTGAATAAAGGAGTATTTCGTCAGAGACACGATAGTGAGTATTACGGCGAACAAGTCTTACATATTTGACATCACGCTTTGAGGCTCGAGCGGGCTGCTTACGTTCCGGTGCAGCAGGCGCACTGGCAGACTCCTGTCCTTCTGCCTGAGCCTGAGCCACCGACTGGCGTTTAGTCTGGCGTTTCGCTCTCTGGTTGCGCATAGGCGGTATCACGACGGTGCACGGTTCGGACTTTACCACGATGGATGAGCCTGCAATTGGTGGGGCTGAAGCGGGCTCAGGATTGCTTGGTTCCGTGGCCTTGCGTGCTTGAGGCTTGGTGAGATTGACAGTGATACGTGAGCTATTTGAGTTGGTACGACGATTGATGATGGTGGGTCGTTGGGTACTGGTTTGAGGGCTGGTATTGGTAGCGTGGTTGAGCCCGTTCTGCGTGGGCTGAGTTGTGCTAGTGGAAGGTTGAGCAGGTCCGGGTTGTGACTCTGACGTGATTTTGGTCGCAGACATGTCCACCAACAGCTAGAATGAAGGATGAGTAAGTGTGAGAGATTGCATGTGTATGAGGGCGTACCAAAGCTAGACGCAAATCTTCGGTGTCCAAGGTGCTCACAGACGGGCGTGGGTGTGGTGTTTGAGAAGGCGCAGGGGTTTCGTCTTCGAGAGCACTGAGGGACGTCAAGGGAGAAGACGTGATGCTATCGAGGCCAGAGCGGCTAGAAACACATCTTCAGTCCCATTATCCTCGTGATGACTCTGAATGAAACTTACTATGCCATAGGGTTACGATCCTTATTGATCTTATGCCAGAAGTCCAGTACGACTGTACGTTCCGGAATGCGATAACGTCGACCATTGATGAATACCTCGTCAACAGGAACTTTGTCGTGTGTCGAAGTTGGTTCAATCGGCTCGCTGATCTCGATGTTCCCATTGTTGAGTTGTCCAGGTTTCGCGATATCGATCGGCGCAGCATTCTGTTTTGGTATTCGCGGCTTGTGTCGCTATAAATGGCGTCAATCAAAAGCGGAGACACAGAGATGTGGGCAAGAAAGACCCACGAAGGCGTGTTCTGCGTGATTGGGGCACATCCATTTCGTATCCAACGGAGGCATGGTCAACAACGGAGGGTCGACACAATCGAGATGCCAATGAAGAGAGCAGTAGTCGCAGGAGACGATGCTCTTCCACTGCTCGGAGACCGAAGGCTGAGTGGAAGCCCGTCGAGGACGCTTGGATACGGGAGCGGTAACAGCCATTCCATCTGGAAGTGCAGAAAATCCACAACGGAAGCAGAGAACGGGGGCACCATTGCGGTCCTTTGTACGATAGGGATCACGATCTTCCAGCTGACCATGTCGACTAGAAGAAGACAAGGAACAGAGCGTTATCAACGCGCAATACTATGGATTGTGGTGATAGAGTTGCTTACTTGAGACGTGGAGGCTTGATGAGCGTCGTGTCCACGTAACCGCCCCGTGTGCTCGCAGCGACTGATTTGGGAGATTCTGAGCCTCTCGGCGAGGAAAAAAGCTATGGACAATAACTCACCTCCTTTGAAGAACGTGCGGATATCATCGGGGAGTTGGAACTCTGTCGGGGTGCTATTTAGAACGTGTTGGACCAAAGGAGCCATGAAGGAATTCAGCGGCGGTTTTGGTGGCGGATGCTGCGACGAGAGCAGTCAGGACAGACGAAATCGACGGTATCAAGCTGTCGTTCTCACCTGGCGAAGCTTGCAAGAAGGACAGTACCATCGATTTTCACCCTCTGGGACATCGGACACATCCATTGGTGGGTCGAGGCAGATGAGGTGATAAGCGCGAGGGCAGCCATCGCAGTAGACCAAAGAGCCCAGAGACCGACATGCAGAGCAGTGGTCCTCGTTACGCTTCAAGGCCAACCCATTATCACAACCTGAGCACTCTTGAAGCTGGGAGAATACTCACATGCGAAAAGGAAGGCTCCGACAACTGTTGCAACGTCACCGTCATCGGCTCCTCCTTGATCCTCACGGCCGCCTTTTCCTTCCCCTTCCCCTTGTCCTTCCTTTGAGGTCGTGCGCTTGAAGACGGAGGCATAGATATCTCCTCGACGAGGTTTGGGGAAGAGTTTGATCTTGAGAGAACGGGGCCGTCAGAGTCCTGCGCGAGGACGTGATCACCATCGGGAAGCTCCAAAGCAGCCACTCCGTCACCGCTGGCGACGGCAGTATCCGCACCATGGCCGACGGCGTTGAGACTGCGTGCAGACGCCCGCTGAGGACGTTGACCAGCTAGCCTGCTCATCGAGAAGCACGTCATGAGTCACGCAAGACGGATTTGAACGCACCGACAAGGGTTCCCCATGGAAAATTGTCGAAGATGACACAAACAGGCCCCAAAGAATGATGAGAGTCGCAAAGGCGTCGTCAGCGGTTGCACGACAGACAAAGCTCATGAAGGACAGAACGAGCATAACGCACCCTTTGTCTACCCTCGCACGCTTGCGTCTAGGGCCATCCACCTCCAAGTTAGCTTCGAGTATACCCGTACCAGTGACCGGTGCAGCCGCCATCCCAGCGTACGAAGTTCCTGGATCGTGCTGAGGAAGAAAAGACACGAGTGGAGCGTATTTCTTAGAGTCTCTTCTGGCAGCCGTTTGCTTCACAGAGGCCACTTGGGGTGGACCAGGCAAGATCTCTGTCGCCAGGCTCGGGTCGCCCGAATCCTGGCCAGCTCGTGGCTGCTGCAGAACTGGAGCACCTGCCAGCAGGTAAACGGGTACGGTACGAGAGCCGCCAGTCGCCAGAGATGTCATCGATCTGAGCAGACTTGATAAGTGCGAGTGTGAGAGCGCGTTTTGAGGAAAGCAAAGAGAACGCAAGAGGCGCTGCGCGGGCGCTGTGAAGGGGGTAAGGAGAGAACAGTGCCAAATCTAACTATGCGATTGGACGACAGTGGCTACCCCCGCCAGCCTTGCTCATCGTACTGCACATCATAGACTATTTCATATAGCTACACCGGACAACGCCCATGAATACGTATATACAATTATTTATACATTTTCCGTTCTAACTCTCGCTCTGCCTGAGGAAAACTGCCTGTTCGATGTCCGTTGCTCGCAACTCGCGTCTGCGAGCCGACATCCCAACCAGAGACACAGCCCTATATCCACATGCGTAGTATCAGCGTATTTCATACAGTGAAAGAAGGATGATACTCACTGAGTTTGATCAGCACTGCCGACCGAAGACAACCAGCGTCGTGCGGGAACCGGCTGAAGCTGAGACTCAAGAACGTGGGCTTTCCGCTGGAAGTAAGGTTACAGCGTGGAGCTCTGGCATAGAATAACCAGCATCATGGGTTCCCAAGGTGGATGACCTTTGTCGTCGGACGAACAAGGATTCTATATCCTGAAATTCAAGGAGACAGATGGGCACACAATGGACGCACGATGCCATTCTTGATAGTCAAACAGGATACACACAGGGTGTCGACAACTAGAACAAAGATGATACTGTCCCTGTCTTCAGCTTGTTCCGCCCTGACACGCACAGGCTATCTGCACTCACAGAAGTATCACGTCTCATCGTCTCCGCCACTCCACTACCACCTCCTTGGCCAACTCCTTGCCTCTGGCCATTACCTCCCCTAACGCCTTCACAGACCCATCTGGTCCAGCATTCATCTCTTCCACCTCTTTCAGATACTCGACCAGACTCAAAATTGCCTTCCGTCTCGTAATCAACAAATGTGGCATGAGTTTCCAGAACCCAACCGGAGCAGCGGGTTTAGGGCGGCTGTGCACGTTCGAGTCCTGAGGATAGGTCACGTATGGGTTGAGCGGCGGATATGGCGGTCGGAAGTAGGCTTCAAAGGTCGGGTCCGTGGACGAAAGAGGAGAGGATGGTAGGACGTTCGAGACTAGGATTCTGAAGGAGGCCCGAAGGCGTTTATATCTGGCGAAAGTGTTCGTCGGCCGACTGATTAATCCCGCAGAGCTTTGAGATAGAAGGAAAGCACTCACTGCCTGTAGTTACCTGCGCCATACGAGACGTTTGAGTATGATGGAAGAGGAATCAAAACACGAAGTACGAACTCAAAATCATTGCGTTGTGCCACTTCACACTGACCCAAGCTACCCCATAAGCGATTGCCCCAATCGCCAAAAGACTCTTCGACCATCCAAACCAGTCTTCTCCTGCCTCTGTTACCCTTCCGAGCTCGCCGACGACATCAAGCACCTTATTGACCCACTCCCATCTACAGATGCCCACTCGATCGTCACCCACCCGACGCATCCACCTCACTACTATACTCGTCAACCCAGCATATGAAAGGCCCATCCCGAGGCCGCCAAAAATAATCTTGTACTGTGAGATAGCTTCATCAAGTCGTGGATCTGCCAGGTAGCGTCCAGCAAAACGAGCGAAGGTATAAGCAGGGAGGTGCAAGAAGAACACAGGGCACGACAGGAGGAACCGAGGGTGCAGTAAAGTGATGCATAGTTGGCTGAGGAAGGTCGTAACACTCCGTATGAGAGAAGGAGACGTCGAAGTCCGCTGGGGGGAGATCCTCGGGAGAGATGAAGCCAGGGCAGAATGAGAGATATCAGTGTAATGGAGCAAGCCAGCGTACTGAAGGAGGGTCGACTTGGCCTCTATGGCTCGAGGCGTTGGCATTGTCATAGAGAAGATATTGACGAGTCTGAGGAATCCCATATTAGAGATACAGTTCGCTGGTCAGAGTCGTCAGGAATACATACGTCTGCGATATGTCGCGAGTGCGAACGAGGGGCAATTTCTGATTAGGCCATAAAATCTCTTCGGCGATCCGTGACATATGCAATGTATCCCTGATGCTGCAAATGAGTCAACTCAAACCAGCCGGCGAGATATAACGCGTACCAATCTGGTGCATTCACCGTCAGGCCAAATAATCGTCGCTCTAGTTCACTGTTCAGTCTTGCCACCGCTGCTCGAGAAACGTCTCTGACAGGAGAGCAGTATTCCTGGATGTATTCCTCTAAATTGATCGGTGCGCCGTACCTGACTCCACGCCTGAGTATGTCAAACGTACAGGCAAGTTGCAACACTCACTGCACAAGCATCTGTGGCCGAGGTTCGATTGTTCAATGAACTATCCGATGCGACGAATGCAACTTGACGTTCAAGCATGAGTTACTCACACGGCTCTGATAATGTGATTTGTCGGTATGCGTGATACCCACAGGTATAAAGGTCAACTGGGGCATGACCTTCCCATCCATTGAACCTTCTCGTTCCCGCAAAGCACAATATTCCAACGCGACTCTCGCAGCACCTTCCTTAACTTGCATGATCCTATGTTCAGTGTAGCTCGTCCCCTCAGGAAAGACTCCAATGACGCGTGATCCTGTGAGAGCGCTGAGTGATGAAGAGAAGACAGAAGTGTTGCCAGACACAGAGGCCGAAGATGAAGACCCGCTTGCTTCGGCACCAGTGTTGACATTGTTGGGATTGCGTTGGACGGGTATGGTTCCAGAAGAGGTCATGATGAAGCGAGAAACGACATTCTTGAACATCGAAGACTTGGCCCAGAAGGAGACCTGACGCCTATAGGGAATAGTCGCGGCTGGAATAAAGCTGATTAACCTTCGTAGAATACGCAATAGAAAGCAAGCATACCTAACGTAGCGACATCTATGATTTCGTTGGCATGATTCGAGCATCTGGTTGACGAAAGATGAGTGCATTCCGAATTGGCATGAGACCAGCGGCCAATTGGGTACTCACATGATCAAAGGGCCTCGTTGCGGTACATTGCTTTCTCCAAGTACACACACATCTGAGTAAAAGCTCAGAAGAGCCCAGTCTGATATTTGACGAAGACCATCATAAACCAGCATAGGTGGCCTCAAAGAACAAGTGCTGGTGTGAAGGAGAGGAACGAGAACGAGAGCAACCGCCGAGCGTATCAGGATATGTTGTCGAAGATCTTATCTTATCTGATAGAAGACAGGTTGCGTAGGTCCTCGTAGGTCGCTTCAAATTCTATTCTATTCTGTTACCCGGATTGCGGCCCTATCCTCCTCACAAACTGTTCACCTCTTATCTTCTCGCAACTGTTTCGTTTCTTGCTCTCCGGTCATGGGCTCACTCATATCAAGTACTTCATGTTGTGTCCCTCTGCCTTCCCTGAGATATTGACAACTTATTCGAATGCACTATATCCAGGGGTTACAGCGGCGGAACAACCCCCTGCGGAGACCATGTCAATTGAGACCGTGCGTTCAGCGTTATATGGAGTGCTTGCTCAAGTAGAGGATGTGTGCGAAACTTTGTCTTTATTTTAGGTGCTGCTTCTGTGTATTGACATCCGTTTTGTGCAGTGTTGGTCTTCGGGATCCAGAGTACTGGCAAAATGTAGCGCTGGCTAGTCTGGCTCGCTGCGACCGTGCAAACATCGCCGTACAACAAGACCCCAGAGCTCTCCTACACGCCCGTAGGAGCATTCGTACGGAAATATCTGCACTTCAAGATGTGGTGCGCACCTTTGAGATGAAGCTGAACGCCCTCGCGACACCTACATCCGTTCTTCCTCCGGAGTTGCTCGGATTATGCTTTTCCTTCCTCGCAGAGATGGAGCCACCCGGACTGCGTTGTACACCGCATCACACTCTCTGCCCTCTTGGACATCCGGCGCGTCTCGGATGGATTCGCGTTACACATGTCTGCCGCCACTGGCGGTACGTGGCGCTGAATCAATCATCTTTATGGCAAAAACCAGTCTTCGACCTCGGGTTAGAATGCGCTTCCCTTATGCTCGAACGAGCAAAACGTACTCCTTTGCGCATTGATCATTTCTTTGCGGGTCGGGAAGATCTGGACGACTCCTACGAAGAAAGGATATATGATGCGGACATCATTGAGGACGCAATTTCCCAACATATTACCCACATCAAGACGTTCAGCCTACGCAACGTGACGCACAGCGAACATGCGGTGATATCATCCCTAATACAAGCTGCCCCCATCTTAAAGTCCATACAAATCAGTACGGGCTCTGGAGACGATCACTCTAGTTTCTCCTTCCCAGACAATCTCCTCAACTACGATGCGCCTTGTCTACAGCAGATCAACCTGACAGGAGTCGGGGGCAACTGGGGCTGCACACTCTCCCGCTTCCAGAGTCTCGTCAGCCTCGACATCATCCAAAGTCTTCGTGGGCTTACTCAATACGAAGGTCTACTCGACTGCCTCGAAGCAAACCCTGGGCTACGCACCGTCTCATTGCGAAACGTATTCCGAACCCCTGTCGGCCTACTAGGTTCATCCGTATCATCGACCCGGTCACGCATTCAGTTGCACAATCTCCAGAGCCTTACGATCCATCACTTCCACGAGAGCTTTTCGCAGTTTTTCCGTGTGCTCGACATGGCGGATACCACTGAAATAGACTTCATCGACGTATCTCCCTCTTCACCAACCAGCAATTGCCTCCCATTGTTTTCCGCCCTGTGCTCTCACTTTACACGCCGCCTCCCTTTTCGTCAGCTGGAACTCGACGTGGACAACAATGGCATTACCTTTTGTTCCGGAGGCGCACGACGAGAACTGGGAGAGATTGATGAACAGATTGTTTATTACGTCGCCCTTCCAGCATATCTATCCATCAATATAATTTGCGATACGACCGACCTACGTGTCCTCAAAGCTGCTCTTCACACACTTCCGTTCACCGATACACTCGAAACCCTTGTCGTCACCCACGAAGGGCCAACATCCGGGCTCTGGGCGTCAGATTTCTACTCACGCTACCACCACATACAATACTTTCGTTTCGAGGACGAAGAGGGACTCGTGGAGCTTGCACGAACCTCAGTCGTTGACGGAACAGAAGTTGGTGTGGAATTCTTTCCTCGCTTGACGCACCTAGAAGTGCGTTTGATGGACTTGACGAAGCCCTCTCCCAACCTTGAAAGGGGTACAATGACGCGTTTCGCCCTCTTGGTAAAGATGGTACATAGACGGAAGGAGTTAGGGTCACCCATTAAAACACTTCGTCTCAAGGGATGTAGGGTGCCGGATTCTGGAATTCAGGAGCTTGATGAAGTCGTCGAGTGGGCATACCCCGAGTCGGACGAAGATGAGCCTGACTGGGAGGAATTGGATGATCAGGGACTTACGTAGGCAAACCCGCACTTCTTTTCTTTATCCTTCAAATATTTTAGTGGCTTAAGCGACGTGTGCGATGCTATACAGTGTAGGCCCACTCCTTGATCCGCCACTTTGAATCAATTTGTTTTCTCGCTCCCCTTCCCATATTCGTTCAAATGGCTAACCCTGAGGTTGATATCATCCATAAAGGATTTCAGAATAAAATACACACGGTGCCCAAGGTGAGTGTGCATTCTTGGGAGACCAAAAGGTGGTGTGGCACCCGAGCGCCACAAAATATGGGTCCTTGATCCAACGCCGCACTGCACGGTTCCCCCTCATAACAATAATGCATGCTCATTCATGTATTCAATATAGCCTTAAGTGTCCTGTATCTACAAGTTTAAAGAGTGTTCTTCAAGCTGGGGGAGCTGTAGGCGGCAGTTATGCAGTGGATCAAGGACCGGGGTTGGATCAAGGAGTGGGCCTACACTGTAGCGACTAGCGCTCTGTTTGTTAGATGTACCTTATGATGCCGACATGAAAGGTGTTTTTTTTGGATGGCGCGCGAGCCATCGCAATGTAACTTGCACGCAGAGTCATGTGCTAAGTTGCTGCCATGAGGACGCGTATACTACTTGCCCCCTTGGTGGTAAGAAGACAGTGTGTCACAAAGTAATATTCAAAAGACCCATATAGGGCAGGATTATGTGTAGTATAATAATGAAAACATCAAAATCGTCAAGTCATCACAATCAGCACCTCCCACCTAATCGAGCTCGTTCAGAGCCCTCGCAGCAAGCCGGAACAAGGCCTCCTCGAGGTCTCTAGCACTAAAAAAGCTCATCAGTCAGCGACACTCGTACCTGGCCCGTGGCTGGCAAAACGACGTACTCGATTGATTCGTCGCGCTTCGTGGTGGGGTTGGAGCTCGTAGTGTCGCTAGAACCGCTGCTTCCACCGAAAAGCCCACCGATGATATGTTCGCCATCCTGGATAATATCACCACCATCCGTCAGTCCCTTGAGGAGAGTGCTGATTGCAGAGCGTTCTTCCAAGTCCCGGGACCTAAAGGACGAAATAAAAGACGAGATGAGTACTTGGAGAATAACAAAGGCAACGAAGCCCGAACGACGTACGCCAGATAAGCCAGGGCATCAACCATATCACGTTTAGTGGCCGCGGCGCTGGTAGGAGCAGCGGAAGCAGAAGCCGTCACTGTCCCCGGAGTTGGAGGGTCGAAGAAGTTCTTGATCCTGTTAGCGATGCTGATACCTGTGTCTACGCCTCCAGCAACAGTGGCCGCAGTACCGAGGTGCTTGCTGGCGGAACGTGCTTCATAATCGTTCAAGTCTTGTTCGCGACGTTGGCTATCCGGATAAGCAATAAATAAAAGTAATACTGTGAAAAGGAAGGGATATTGCTTACGCGGTCGTCGCAGAGCTGGTTGCAGCTGAAGCAGCAGGAGCCGTCACTGTCGCAGGGGCCGGAGGGTCAAATAAGCTCTTGACGCCGTTGATAATGCCGATGCCTGAGTCCAAGGCTGCAGCACCATTGCCTACATTCCCCAGCAGGCCACTGAAAGAGCTCCCTCCACTACTGGAACCGGTCTTGGGAGTACTTGTCTTGGGCTTAGTAACAGCACGAGCGTTGTGATAGTTGAGTGGTCGTTCTCGACGTTGACTGTTTAAATGAGCAATCATGAGATGATATCTGAAACAGAGAAATACTACATACGCAGTTGTAGCAGAGCTGGTAGCGGCTGGAGCAGCAGATACGGTCTCTGTCGCAGAGTCTGATCCGCCGAAGAGGTTCTCGAATCCGTTGATGATGCCAGCGCCGGAGCCGAAGATTCCAGCGATATTACCAGCATTCTTAAACGCTTGACTCGCAGAGCTACCTCCACCACTGGAACTGGTCTTCGGTTTGGTCGCAGCACGGGCGTCGTTGTGGTTGAGTCCTTGTTCACGGCGTTGACTATTCGTATGAGCAATCAATGGGGGCCGATGCTGTCAAAGATAGAGAATTAACCCACGCGGTCGCAGTGTCCGTAGTAGAGTTCGAGGACGCGTCGGTAGCGGTGGTAGCAGAGGCGGCTGCAGAGGAGGCAGTTACGGTAACGGGAGCAGGGGAAGAGCCTGAGCCACATAGGATTCCGAGGTCGCAAGCTATGTTGCCAATTTGGCCAATATGACCGATGACTGATCCAACCTTATTTAAAGCGCTGCTACCGGAGCTGCTGGACTCGGAGCCACCAGTGCTTGGCTTCGTCGCAGGCTTAGATTTTGAGCCATTGATCGGGGCGGCAGAGGTGCTGGAGGCAACGAGAAGGAGGAGAAGTGCAGCAGAGCCGTGCATGATGTCTATGGAGGATTGGCGAAGGACGTGGAGGAAGGTGTTGAAGATAGACTAGAGTATTGAAGTTGAAGAGCGAAAGGAGAGTGTATCGTGAATGAACAAATATTAATGGCTAGAGAACGCAATGGATGAGCATGATCGTCGAAAAGATGAGTCTGGTAGAAGGGAGGGCTCACTATCCAGTACCAGAAGAAAATCGAATGAGCAGGTGCTGGGGATTCAAGGGCGTGTTGCACGACCTTTTATATCGGACGAACCAACCGCTAATTCGCTAGTAGACTGAAAAAAGGTCGTGCCATTCGTTTCGTCTTTTCTCGGTTCTGTATCCTTGATCCTGCACCACTCGTGCCGAGATGCGGGTATCTGCCGCCACACCCGAGCGTGATGGTGATACAAGCGAAACAACGGACTGGACATGTATTTCGGGTGGACTGGACATGTGTGTTGTGCCTTGTAACGAGAGCTAATGCCGTCGCGTACTTCACCAGTTATGATTTATTAGAGACCCTAGATATCCGTAAGAATGAACTGATTGATGATGATGCAAAAGGAAAGAAGAAGACCCGCGCACTAGTCAATATAGCCGTCTAACTTTTGGCCTCTCGGGATTCATGGCGACATACCCGTTTGTCCGTTCTCCTAGTTTTTGTGCATCTGTCATTCGAGGCGAAGCGATATCAAACGTTGGACCCGGAGAGCAACCATCCATGAAAACCCTCCTCCTGGAATTGGGATGTCAGCGTCAGCCGATATAAGCCGATCCAAATAGAGAAAAATGACGATACCAGGAGCCTACGAAGGCATTCTCTTGTCCCGTGATGTGAGGCTGAATCCCGAAACTGCATCACTCGACCGTTGGAAGATTTTCAATAAAGTTTAGAAGCAACGAAGTGATTGGTGACGAACAGGCATCCGAAACAGGGAGACCAATCACCAGTTACGCGGTCGACAATCTTTCGTTCGGGCTACATGAAAGACAACGTGAAATGCGCGTACCTGACCGCGAAGAGTATGAAGTGACATAAAGAATGGGTTCAAGATAGACTGTCGCAGGCATCGTCCGTACAATTCGATACAGTTCGGTGAGCCTTGGATGATGGTTCTATTTCGGACCTCAACAAGTCGAGGATCAGGCCGAATCAAGGTAGAACATCGCATTGATTTCTAGCAGAGGCATGCGGCATCTTGGAATATTTAGACCTTGACAGCAACAGCGGAGGGTGGCGTACTGGTACAGGAAGGATGAGGGCGATCCTAAGTTATTGATACCCATGACTGCGTAATCTGTCGCAGTGGCTTGAAACGATCCGCGTTTTGTGTTTATGATGCGAGCGGATGAGGATTGCTTACGAGCCCGTTTTTGAGGCTTCAAAAAATGGCCCCATAGCAAGTCGTCGAGGCAGAGCAGTGCTCCTTTCGATATCTGAAGTCGATGGTAAATTCTCGAGAAGAGCGAAAATAGAACACGAATTAGGTGCTAGTTCACCGGAGAGAAAGATACGACAGGAAACAGCGAGTCAGTTGAGTGCGAGTGCAAAGGAATACAAAGAAGGAAACTTTACCGATCAACCACCACCAATTGTGACGACAAACACCGAATGGTATCCAGACCTTGGTCCTCACTTTCGACGTTACACGTTTACAACGGCCATTCTTCAACAGTGCCCGATCGGGCCATTCCACGAAACCCACACGAGAAGATGCAAGGAACAGTAATCTTCATGATACGATAGTCCAAATCCTCGTGAACGACATTAGCCGGGGCCGCTAAGCTACATGATGCACGACAGGCCACGGGTAAAAAGCGTGAAAATACTTCTCTCATCCTTCCTCCTGGATCCGTCCTCCGCGAGTTTAAAACCCATCCAGAGCATCGCTCAGGTTCTACTCAGCGAGTTGTCTGAACTTGTCCTGGATCTCGGCATGGAGCGCATCGAGGTTCTTCTTTATAGACTCTTGGCCTTGTGATGGGGACTGCACGACACTGCATCAGCACAAGACACCACAATGACAACATTCGGATGAAAAAAAGGTAAAAACGAGACGCACCTCAAACTTCATCTGCGACAACTTGAACATCACATCGCTCGCCGACTCCTTAATCTTCGCAAACGTTATATCCCCCTGGGACACCGCCTTCTGTGCCGCCTCATGGAACCCGACGAAGTTCCTCAACATCGCGCTCGTCTTGTAGAACGGACAGTAACGATCATACTCGCTCATCCCGTTCTGCTGCAAAAAGTCGTCCTTCAGCATCCTCGCCACCTCCAGCGTGATCTTGTCGTTCTCGCCCAACGCGCTCTTCCCGACCAGCTGCACGATTTCGGCAAGATCGTCCTCCTTTTGCAGGATCTCCTTCGTCTTCGTGCGCAGGTCGACGAAGCCGGGTTCGGTGGCCTCGTAGTACGGTTCAAGGACTTTGGTGTACTTGGAGTAGGAGACGTTCCAGTTGACGGAGGGGAAATGTTTCCGTTGGGCGAGCTTCTTGTCGAGACCCCAGAAGACTTGCACGATACCGAGCGTGGAGGACGTGACAGGGTCGGAGAAGTCACCACCTGGAGGCGACACGCTATATATTGCTTTTCAATTAGTGATATGTGTGAATGAGACCAAGGTCAACTGTACGCACGCGCCGACGATGGAGACGGTACCCTGACGAACGGGATTACCCAGAGCGGTGACCTTACCCGCACGCTCGTAGAAACTGGCGAGCTTCGTACCCAAGTAGGCGGGGTAACCGGAATCAGCAGGCATCTCAGCCAGGCGACCGGAAATTTCACGAAGAGCCTCAGCCCAACGGGAGGTCGAGTCGGCCATCATGGAGACGTTGGAGCCTTGGTCACGGAAGTATTCGGCGAGGGTGATACCGGTGTAGATGGAGGCTTCACGAGCGGCGACGGGCATGTTGGAGGTGTTGGCGACGAGGGTGGTGCGTTTCATGATTGGCTCTTGACGGTCGCCGACTTCCATGGTGAGTTCGGGGAACTATCAAAGTGTTGTTGGTGAGTGTGGCCCAGGGGGTAGGAGGACAAAGGACGTTACCTCCATCAAGACTTCAGCCATCTCGTTTCCTCGCTCACCACATCCGACGTAGATAATGATGTCGCTGTTTGAGAACTTCGAAAGAGCTTGCGAGATGACGGTCTTTCCACAACCGAAAGCGCCAGGAATAGCAGTCGTTCCACCTTGGACACATCTGGCGAGCGTGTAAGACTCGTATAAGTGGTAGAAGTGTACGATGAGCTCACGGGAAGAGAGCATCGAGAATACGTTGGCCGGTGGTCAGGGGGTGATCTGCTGTGTGCTTTTCGGCCACAGGACGAGGTGCACGGACAGGCCAAAGCTGCATCATGGTGTGTTTCGTCGTCTTGCCTTCAAACTCGGTTTCCAAAACGATATCCTACAAGTACCATGATCCATAAGTAGGATTCCATACACTTCGTGTGGGGAAAAGGTGCCTACATCGACGTGGTAGCTGCCCTTCTCTGCGATATGTGTAATGGTGCCCATGGCGCGTGGTGACATCATGATCTTGTGAGCATCGACAAGGGAGTTCTCATATACGCGACCGAAGATATCTCCACCAGAGAGGTGGTCTCCGATCTTTAAATATGTAAGTAACAGTAAGTGGGGGGATGGAGGAGAAGTAGCGCACCTTCACGTCGGTAGGGGTGAAATCCCACTCGAGGGAGCGGTCAAGAGCTTCGGTGTTGATACCGCGGGGAATGTAGATAGACTTGGAAAGTTCTTGGATACCCTGTCAAGTCCACAGATAAGTGTAAGAATAACCACTTGTCTACAATATACGCTCCACATACACGAAGCGGTCTTTGAATACCATCGACAATGTTGCCCATCAAACCTGGTCGGAGGTTCAGCCTCAATAATTATGGTACAGAGTTACCTTTACTCACCAGGACCGAGCTCAACACTGAGAGGCTTTCCTGTCCTCAAGACAGGGTCGCCTACAGTAACGCCCGAAGTCTCCTCGTATACCTGGATAGTCGCCTTGTCCGCATCGATTCGAATGACCTCTGTCCACAGGGGTAACGCGTAAGCCAACCGATTTTACGCAGTGAGAGCTCTATTTGTGCACTCACCACCCACAAGCTCGTCGTGTCCCACCCGGACAAGCTCGTACATGGCCGAACCGGTCATGTTCTCTGCAATCACGACAGGACCCGATACACCAAAGACCTGACCGAACCTGCTCTCGCGGTCCTCATCAGCAATCTTTGGCAAGTTCCTCTTCGCATTTGGTAGAGCACCGGCCATCGTCCGTCGTCTGTTTTTGTGGTATTTAGAGGAAAAGCGGTGTGGATAGGTCGAGGTAATGAAGGACGAGGCAGGGATCCGAATGCGGACAGTACGTCAGCCAGGCCACCGGAGTGGGAATCTTGACATGGTTGGTGAGACGCGCAATTGAAGGTGACGCGTCCTTGTCGCGACTCGCATCCTTCTCGCTCTCCTCCACACACCTTACTCACACACAGCTTACCACTGAGAAATAATGCCTCCAAAAGCGTACGTTTGTTCGCTGCTCGAGGACCTTTTATTATGCTGACTTTGACTATAGCGATTGGGAGAAATGTATGTGGCGTGAACGTTCGCGAAGTGTGGAGACTTGGGCTAACCTACGTTGCGGTGGATAGACGAGAAGAAAGCAGACGAGAAGGAGGAAGACAAGATCGTTCGTGCGTAACGGTTTACTTATAACTATGCTACGCTGTTCTTATGTTGTCATATAGCTCTGGATGACAGTGACATTCAAATCCTGAAGACATATGTACGCCGACTCCGTACCATTACTCCGACTTCAGTGCTTACACTATCCCTAGGGTCAAGGTCCATACGCTTCACAACTGAAGAAGCTCGAGTCAGATATCAAAGATGTGCAGAAGCGTATCAACGAGAAACTTGGTTCTTACCTTCTCCACTTATGTCTCTGTTCATTGCACTAATACCTGCACACAGGTGTTAAGGAATCCGACACCGGTCTCGCTTCACCTAACCTCTGGGATCTTCCCGTCGACCGTCAACGTATGAGCGAGGAACACCCCCTACAAGTCGCTCGCTGTACCAAGATCATTCCCGTCGATGAAACTGTAGCTGAGGTTGCTCGTTCGGTCAACCCTCTCGGAGCTGTGCAGGGACAGAAGGGTGCGGACGAGCAGACGAAATATGTTATCAATATCAAACAGATTGCGAAGTTCGTTGTGGGCCTCGGAGAGCGAGTGGCACCGACAGATATTGAAGAGGGTATGCGTGTTGGGTGAGTTTGCTTTTGCAAGTTATTTGTGGTGTGGCGTTGCTGACTGTGTGGCGTCGCCGTGATCAGTGTCGACCGGAACAAGTATCAGATTCAGATTCCTCTGCCTCCGAAGATTGACGCGTCTGTTACGCTCATGCAAGTCGAGGAGAAACCAGACGTGACTTACTCCGACGTCGGTGGATGCAAGGAGCAGATCGAGAAGTTGCGGGAAGTCGTCGAAACACCATTACTCTCAGTATGTTCCCCCTCAGTTTCAGACAGGTGTTTTGTCATTGACTTCCATTAAATTATAGCCAGAACGTTTCGTCAACCTCGGTATCGACCCTCCTAAGGGTGTTCTCCTTTTCGGCCCCCCAGGTACCGGCAAAACCCTCTGCGCCCGCGCTGTAGCCAACCGAACAGATGCTACCTTCATCCGTGTCATTGGTTCCGAGCTTGTCCAGAAGTATGTCGGTGAGGGTGCGCGTATGGTCCGAGAGCTATTCGAGATGGCGAGGAGTAAGAAAGCGTGTATCATTTTCTTCGATGAGGTGGATGCCATTGGTGGAGCGCGGTTCGATGATGGGGCTGGAGGTGATAATGAAGTGCAGAGAACGATGTTGGAGCTGATTAATCAGTTGGACGGTTTCGATCCACGAGGAAATATCAAAGTATTGATGGCCACCAACAGGTCCGTCGGTCTTCTGCTTAGGTTGTGACGCCAGAAACTGACATTTTCCATTCCCCAGGCCGGATACTCTTGATCCTGCGCTCCTCCGTCCTGGACGTCTTGACCGCCGAGTCGAGTTCTCACTACCGGATAACGAGGGTCGCGCACATATTCTCCGTATTCACGCCCGCAGCATGAGCGTCGAGCGGGACATCCGTTTCGATCTCATTGCCCGCCTGTGCCCTAATACGACTGGTGCTGAGTTGCGGTCAGTAGCGACTGAGGTATGTTAATACTCTCCCATTCCCATATTCTTCGAAGTAGTCTCTGACCACGCGCTCCTTGACTCTATCCAGGCTGGTATGTTCGCCATTCGGGCACGGAGAAAGGTGGCGACGGAGCGTGACTTCTTGGATGCCGTCGAGAAGGTCGTCAGGCAAGGGACGAAGTTCTCCTCCACGTAAGTTCATCGGTCATTTCTGTGGTGTAGATTGTTGAAGCTGACTTTGCCTGTTTACAGACCCCTTTACCAAGTGTATAATTAGACCATCGATTTGTAGTATTTGCATGTTGTTCATTTATTTTGATACCGCTTCACGGACTCTTCGTGTGACTGTGAGCACCTGCGACACGCATATGAATGCTATGGCTCCTGTGAATCCTCCATGGTCGAGGCTTGGTGAGCCACTTGGGGGGCTAGTGTCCGGCGGGTTGTAGTGGCGACATGTTACAAGACTGTGCGGAGGACATTAGTTGCCACGCTGTTCCAACAGGAATATCTGTAAGCTCGGTGGCGCTCAAGTGATTCTGAGGTATTTGGAGAAGTCTATGGTTTCTTGTCTCGTCTTGAATTTCTCGCGTTGGACCTTGGAAGTGACTCGGAGGATGAAACCACGTTGTGGCGTGGCGTGTGGCGCCGGAGCAAGGAAGGGGATGAACCGTCCTGCGACAAGTCGTCGACATGCTCTCCGCCCACCGTCGACAATGCCCCATCTCTCTTCCTCGTAAGCTATCACAATCAACGCAGAGACATGTTAGAGCTCGCCATGGATTCATCCATAAACGCACCCCCGAACCCGCATCACCTGAGCTCGCCTCTCTCCTTGCGATCTATGCCCAACAACCACCCCGCCCTCTGACCCTCGGCACCCTTCTCTCCTTGGGCGATCCGCTCACTGAAGACTCTGTGCTCAAATCTGCGTCGTATGCACAGAGTGAGATTCCGAGAAGGTTGGCGACACGAATTAGGTCGTTGGAGGGGCTGCCGTTCATTGTGGGTACGAATCCGTATGTGGCGAGGATTATGGAGGGTTTCAGGAAGAGTTTTGAGGGCGTCGCTAGGTTCGGTGACCAAGGTGAGGACAAGGATGCGGAAGAGAAGGGTGAGATTGAGATTGAGGACGTTCGAAAGGCGAGGATGTTGGAGGAGAATGAGAGGTTCGCGGGTATGTTAGAGGGGCTTGTGAGGAATCACGCCAATGATATTCCGACAATTGCCAAAGGGTACGTTTATTCTCTTTACCTGATTCATGATGTACGCGGTGTTCTGATATATGTTACACGACTATGAAGCTTTCAGGAAAGTCAGAGGTACATGTCACCGGAGCGTATTTCCAGTTTCCTCGACGCTGCTATACGGAACCGTGTCGCCGTTCGACTTATAGCAGAGCAGCACATTGCCCTAACGCATGCGCTCAAGGCTCAATCACAAGGAGACAGCGAGTTCGCGGAGCATTATAGGAACCATATTGGGATTGTGAATATGAAGTGCTCGCCCGTCGAGATGATACGTATGGTGGGCTCGTTTGTGAGCGAGTTAAGCGAGGCAACGCTTGGTGCCAGTCCCTCTCTTGTCATTGACGGGCATACTGATGCCACCTTTGCGTGAGTGATTTTCTTCTGAGCGTCCTCTGTTGGTCGTGTTGTGTGGCACTAGCTCATGCAATATTGTACTACTGTGGCCCACAGCTACGTCCCCGTCCATCTCGAATACATCCTCACCGAGATCCTCAAAAACGCCTTCCGTGCCACCGTCGAACACCACATCAAGTCTAAGAGCCAATCTTCCCTCCCTCCAGTCCACATAACGATCTCTCCTCCACCACCACATCTCCCACCCTCTGTCCCCTCCTTCCTCTCCCTCCGTGTCCGGGACCAAGGCGGTGGCGTCCACCCATCCCATCTCCCACGCATATTCAGCTACTCATTCACGACGGCAAGCTCGGAAGGTGCGGCTCACGATGAGGATTTGGAAGGCGGGCCGTATGCAGCACAACATGTCGGTGGGAGCGCGGCTGTGGGTGGCCCAGGGAGTGGAGGACCGGGAGAGGTCAATTTGTTTGGAGAGATGACGAAGCAGGGGGTGCAGACGGGGTTGGGAACCATTGCGGGGCTTGGGTTTGGGTTGCCGATGAGTCGGTTGTACGCTAGGTTTGTGGATCTCTGCTCCTTCCCTTGCGCCTAGCCTAACTTGATCGGTCTACGACGGTAGGTATTTCGGAGGATCATTGGACTTGTATTCTATGCATGGATGGGGTGAGTGCCATTCTCCGCTTTCAGTTTTAACCGAGCATCTTTACTGACATCCTGTAATGATCTTCAGGTAGCGATGTGATCCTTAAACTTCGGTGTCTGGACACAGCACCATCTATGGAAATATAAATTTATATCATGCGTAATCCTCGCAGGAGTTTCGTCGAGCAAAAACCGCAGGTGCATAGTGCTGTTACTAGCTCCACGTGGATAGCCTTGGTAGTTCGCCATACAGTTTACAGCCAGCGCCAATGCGCGTACCTTGGGCTCTCCATCGCATGCTATCGCCGGTCAACAATATTCTGGGTCTGATCAGACCTCGAATCCCGAGCAGGAAGTCCCCCAGGATTGACGCTTCAGACTCATGGTAAACAGTTTGGACCTGGTTGCCTCCATCGCCTCCGCCTCAGGCCCTTGTTTCATGAACATGTCGTCTATTCTCACCAGGCGGGGACTACATACCATCTCAACTACGAGCACGATCTTACGGTTGCCCGTTGACTATGTGGCGTGGGCTATCTGGCGAACAGACCCCAATGTTTGCCGTTCTCGTTTCATGACCTCCTCTATGGCCTGGACTTACACTACGTCACATTGTGCACTCGACCATCATTGCAATGACACAGGTACTGGGTTGAAGCATAGTGTAATTCATCTCGGGCCGACGAGCGTCTTTGCGTTCCACTGTATAAAATGTTGCGAAGGTTGGGTCTCCTATCCCCAGCACTTGCTCACTTTCGACCTTCACCTGGTACTGGATAGTGAGTGCCCTCTTTCACCACAGATCTCTACGCCGTGCTCATATCTATCGACATTAGCCATCCGTATTTTGTTCATTCACGACTTGACGTCTTCGCACATTCACGACTTTGACTTCCACCAACACTATTGCCAGCCTATTTTTCACACCCTCGCCACCTCCATCTTTTCCTGAAAGTCACCATGATCCACGCATCCTCCATTTTGCTCGCTCTCCTGGTCGTTTCGTCTGCTTCTGCTGCTCCTCTACTGTAAGTTCTCCCTTCAGACCATTAAAGTCGAGTTTGGTTGTCTGAAAAAAATGTATCGTCCTATGTTCTTACAGGGCACGGGCGGAAGAGATCCTTGACAGTGCCTTTCAGTCATCTTTGGCTGCAGAAATTATGAACAGCTTCCCTACGAGCACCAGTGTCGATCCAAGCTCTGCGGCACCTTCGGAGCCAACATCTATCTCTGCGTTCTTCCCCCTGAGATCACCCATACCACATCATTCTCTCCTTCCTGAGCCAATCGTTGGTCGTGATTATGAACTTGACACTTTGACCGAGCTTAGGTATGTTTACAGCGTAATATCACTTCTCCCTGTTGCGCAGAAATACTGATTCCTGACATTGACAAGCAGTGCTAGGGTAGATGCTGAAGGCGCTGCCAGACGTGAATTGTTGGAGGCCCGTCGCCACCCGTATGTTTCACGGCCCTGTCGCTGTGAGATCATTTTTTTTTGACTTTATATTTCTCTGCAGCGCGCGGGACCTCGAGGCGAGGACTCCGAAAATCCCCATCTTCGAAGGACCTGGACCGGTGCTGTCTCCTACTTCGCTTTTACCCTTGTCGCTGGTCGAGCCAAGTGCGACCGTGACGGCCACTGCGTCCACAACCGATGATGATACAAGTAGCGCATTACCTACTTCTGTGCCTTTAGAGGACCCGTTGATTCTCGCTCCGACACCTTCGCCTTCAGTGCAGGCGGGATCTAGTCCGCTATCTCAGGCTCTGGCTTCTGCCAGAGTATTAGAGGGACGTGATGTGCTGGAGGTCCTACGTCACTAGTATGTCGTGGTCTTCTAACCCTCAAAGAATATCATATTCTAAACACACTTGTTCGTTTACAGCATCAGAGATCCCAAGAATCTATTGGGGACACCTTTTTCACCACAGGGTATCCCTCACTTGGGACCATTTCCCGCGACGATCGATGCATTTCCCACCAGCAGTATCGCTTCTCCCACTGCGACTTCGTCAGAGAAAACGGGGTTTGGAATCCGTCCACAGGCGACTACTAACAGCATCCCACCGAATCTTCCCGTAGATGATCTTCCCATAAATAAGATTCCCGTACTAGATGATTGAAAGAGGACAAACACGGATTTTGAGGTATGTGCTTTTCCATTGACTGGCATGGTCCTTGCCTGACGCTGGTCCCCTTGCCTCTTAGATTACAGGGAAGTCAGGGAGCTCTCGGTGCGCTCTGATTTGGTCTGAGTTTCTCAGGGTTTTGGGATGGAGACAATAGGGGTACTTGGGCGAGGCTCAAGGACATGCCTAGAATAGGTGGATTCTTTGGCGCTAGTGTGTGCAGTAGCGTTGGCAATTGAAAATTCATCCTTTCATTCCGAAAATCCGGTGAATCGACCGGCCAATGCGTCGGCTAGACCTGTTGCTTGTTCCATAAATATTTTTCTGAAAGTCTCAGAAAAGTGAACATTGGGCATCCATATGCAGACACCGCTGTGACACAGGTCGGCATCTGCCGACGTTCTTGACTTACCAGTTCGAACTGTTTTGGAACTACTTACTCTGTCCTTTGTCCCTCTTGGAAGATAAGACTCGTAGACCATCTAAGCGGCTGGCTCCAACCCACAATTTATAAGGCCAGACACTTTCGCTCCATACCCGTTTTCATTCGCCCTGGAGTACTACTGCGCCGCATAGCACTGCCGTCCTCAGGCCACCAAGTCAATGCTATGGGAGGTGATGAGTCTTTCTTTCTCCGTTTGAATGGCGTAGTGGACCCCCCGGCATATTTTCTGACCGAATCTCAAACGAAGCCACGCATAATTGCGCACTTCGTGATCTCTCATGGTGCGGAGACGCCCCTCACATATGCGTACCAAACCGAGCAGTTATAAAATATGACGCGAAAGCTTCGCAAATAACAGCGGATGCTGGGTATATTCTGTAGGGTGACGATGAAACCAAGAAAGCAGAAGACCTGAACAGAGACTGAGGACTTTCATCGTTTACGTTTCCGTGGGGCGCCAAGGCCCATTGCCTCTCTACAGTCTTTGCAGTACCACTTTGTCGATTTTGGGACCTCGGTGAGACCAACGCAGGCGAGATGAAACTACAAGAAAATCGACGGCGGGTAAGCTCTTTGCAAATAAAAGAAAGGAAAGAGGCCTACCCATTCGTATGGACATTCGTCGTTGTCGCAGCCGACCATCTGTAGGCACGCAATCCCGAACGTTTGAACATGAGCTTGTGGGCATAAATAAAAGTTCACACTTACGTCTCCATACGAAACCTGATTGCAATAACAATACGTCGGCTCGTTAGGGTCGACTGGGACAATGGCAGCGTTGTTCGCTTGCACGACGGCGGCTAGTGGTGGAACCTTCAACTTCAAGCGCGGAGCTGTGGTCCCAGCTGTGGGCAATGGCGTGACAGCTTTTTCTGGTTGTTCTACGCCTTTTTTCCTTCCCCTCCTTCTTTTGGAGACTGGGCGACTTCCTGGGGCAGGAATAGCGTCTTCTGTGACGCCGATTATGGTTCCGCCACCTTCGAGTTCGACTTGGGCAAGGGCAGCTCCAGAGAAAGGAAGAGGATTGTCGCTTTCGTCGCCCGGGAGGGGAGAGTACATAGTCTGGGCATTACGTTGCCAGCGAGGAACAGAGATTTCGGGGAGCAGGGCAGGATGGGTTCCAGGTCTAATACCGATTGAGAGAGAGGTTTCCTGTTCGAGGATTGCTTGGTCTAGGAGTCGGATATGTCGATCTGCCTATGGAACAGAGCTAAGATCAGTTAATCAACTTAGGAGGCGTACAGACGAGAGACCCACGGAATCATATGCTGCCTGCGCTAGGTTGACCTTCTCCTGCGAGGAGTGCATGGCTTCCTCAAGCAGGACACCCACGCTCGAGAGAATACTACGTGCAGAAGGTGGAGTTTTAGGACGTGGTGGTGCAGGATTTGGCGAATCCGAGATTGCCTTCAGCGAAGAAGCAGTTCGACCGAGTCGTGAGCGTTTGGTTGGTGATCGACTCCGAGAGCTGACGCGGCGAAGTTGGCGAGGTGGTGTCTTCGGTGTAGATGGCTCCTCTCTACTGTCCTCGTTAGCGTCAGCTTTGGTTTCGGTTTGGCCAGCTTCACTGGTTGTACCTGCACCCGTGGCGGTAGACGGTTCAGATGCAGGTTCTGGCAAGGGCTGCGGCGTCTCTATCATAATGGTTCTGAGTTTGATATATTCCTCCAGTCGAGGGATTATATCCGCAAGATATCCTGTCATTGTTAAGGAGCGATACATGATGTCTGTAGACATAAGGGTTACGAAGGATGAAAAGCGTACTAGCGCCTTGGCCGTCCAGCTCGCGCATGAGCGTGAATGTTCTATGCAAGGACAGAGGTAGTTGTTCGAGGACTTGCACGTTACAAATATAAGCTTTCTTGCACATAAATATAGTAGTCAAGAACTCGCACCTGGGTGAAATTCATCTCGCATACCCTCCCATATTTCCTGTTCCTTCGTCAGCTTCTCTTCCTCTTCCACATTCGGCTCTTGCGGTTGACCAACGTCCAGGGCGTTATCGGCCTTGGAGTGCTGCTCAAGATCTCCGGTGTATACGTCGCCTTCTTGTTCTGTTTTGTCAAGGTTCATTGGGCCCGCCTCTACAGCTTCCTCGATATCTGCCGGTGCCTCTTCTTGCTCGATGTCGGGTTCAGGCTCGGTCACCGGATCCATCTCGTCTTGGTCTGGAAATGAGCGAATAGCTGCCTGAGAACGTCGACGTCTACGACCCATAGTCTGGACGGTTTATGAGAGTGAAGGTTGAAAGAGACGCTGTCCAGTTAAAAAGGGGCCTCCAATTCGCAGTACATAAATCATTGTTACCCGTGGCTCAGCGCTTCTTTGTAAGTTGATTGAGCACGGCAAATGCCGACGCTAACAAAAGTATACCGTCATCGTTTCAAGTTGAAGTGCTACCTTTTCGACGTTGACTTTCTCAACATTTATCTCATCGTTCATCTTGTGATATACAGCCCCTTCAAATCCCCGCTCAGCGGCGTTCATGCACCGTGCACATCCATCTTTTACTTCAACTGCTCTGAGATGTAGTGCTCGATACCGTTAGACTCAGCCTGAGTTCACTTCGGTCCAGTGTACGAAACAAACTTGATGGTGATCACAATATGGTGCGCTTCCAATCACCATCATCCTCACTATCAGACAGTGGCGGTCTCTTTTCACCGCCTTCCCCTTGCCAATGAATCTGTCAGGGTCAATCACTAACACAGCCCTTGAATGACCTCTATATACTTGGAAACTCGTAGGTCAAGCAACCTACAGTCCTATTTCTCTTGATCACATCGCTCCTACCATGGCTTCAACCGATATCCCCGCAACGCAACGCTCATACCGTGCGACTGGCAAGGGAGAGCCTCGTAAAGCTATACAGCTAGTCAAGGACTTTCCTGTGACCACAGCACTAAAGGAGGGCGAGGTCCTCGTCAAGGTTCAGGCAGCTGCACTTAATCCCCTGTATGTTTGCCAGAGTCGTCTATAGTTCTCCACAATCTGACTCTCTCGTGAAACATAGCTTCTACAAGCTCCTGGATCTTCTTCCGAACTTCGTCCATAAGAGGCCATTGACGGCAGAGTATGACTTTGCTGGAGTCGTGGCCAATGCTAATGGTTCTACATGGTCCTGCGGTGATCAAATATTTGGTTGGATCACTCCTGGTATGTCGAAACTGACCCCTCCCCCCTTCCATGCCCAAATCAAACTTATGAACTACTTACCACAGGTCAGAACTCAAAGACGAAAGAGGGTGCTCTTTGCGAATACATCGTCGTACCCGCAGAGAATATCACCCTCCGCCCATCGAATATCACACCGACGCAGGCTTCTGGAATCTCGCTGACTGGCATGACAGCTTATCAAGCCATCTTCCAAGACGGCAAACTGAAGGGTATGAGCCATCTCACTCTAGCAGACCGATTCACGCATAGGTAACCTCACCATCTTACAGCCGGGCAAACTCTGTTTGTCAATGGTGGAAGTACCTCTGTCGGCGCTTTTGCCATCATATTCGCAAAATCCAGGGGAATCAAAGTGGTCGCTTCAGCATCTGGAAAGAACGAAGCTTTCGTCCGTAGGATGGGTGCGGATGAAGTGAGTTCCTGCCGTTTAATTCCTCGAATATTCGCTACAACCAGGCTTTTCTTTTTTTCTTTCCAGTTTATCGACTATACGAAACAACCGCTAGCAACATACCTCGGTGAGAACCCTCCGACCACACCCTACGACGTCATCCTCGAAGCTGTTGGCATGGCCGATAACTCCTTATATACCCACTGCGAGAAATACCTTGCACCAGAAGGCATCTATCTCTCCGTGAAGCCACAGCCTAACAAGTGGAGCGACGCATCGAAGTTGGGGAGGTTAGCCTTTGATGTCATTGTACCGGGTTGTTATGGAGGTGTCAATCGCAAGTTTGCGTACGTTTGCACAATTTTTTGAACCTGAGTGTGAGGTAGTAATTGATGTCATGTTGCAGTATGGTCGAGGTCAAGCACAAGAAAGAAGACCTGGACGAGATGGCCGCTATGTTGGAGAAGTGTATGCTCTCTCTTCGTCCGTCGTGGCGAGCAAAACTAATGTCATAACTTTGTTTTGTCAGCCGGAGTGAAACCACCTGTCGATTCCGTGTTTGCGTTCGAAGATGTGTTCGATGCATATGATCGGTTGATGACCGGTCGTGCCACGGGGAAAGTGGTCGTGAAGGTTGACTCGTCTGTGGAGTAGCAAGTAGCTTTCCTATATGTTGGCTGTGTTCGGTAGGTATCGACATCAGAATGATTCACAATGTCACAATAGACACGAATCTCTCAGAGATGTGTATATAAGTAATTGACTGATGCTCTGATCAGATCGATGTTGGTGGGGCGGACTGGAGCACGATTGAATCGGCTGCTCAGGACACGGCTAGTGTTGGATCACCATTCCACTTCTCTGCCTCTTTGGCGTTGTGAATATGGCTGCCGTCCTCGGTGCAGACACGATCCTCAATACACTGACATAACTGTACTCGGAACTCCCCTTTTCGTCTCCTCCTTTAGCTCTGTAGGGTGTGGTGTGTCGGTAATATGATCGTGTTATCTATTCCACTGACAATACCCATAACCTTCGGCGAGAAACGGCGGACAAGATACCGTTCAATAGAATGAAGAGAACATATTTCGAAACAAGGGATAGTCATCACTCACAGCCGCCTCGTATTCGCTGTTTGCATTCGCTGCCCAAAAAGCAATGTAAAGTAGATTCAACAACACATCGGGTCTATTAGGGCCTAGTTGAGGGAGTAGGAAGACTTGGCCGCATCATCTCGTATAAGAAGTTGGTTTCTTCCATGAACTTCGCAAATACCGCGCGCATAGCTGGAGTCAGGCTTGCTATATGACCACCCTCTCGAAAATAACGTGCGATGGCCTCCTGAGATGGCAGCCTCTGCTCTATTGCATCAGAGCATTGGGTTTTGTGTTGATGCTTCCAGGCGGACTGCTGACAGTCGGTGCTGCAATAAACGGCCTGAGGGTTTCACTGGTCAGAAGTTATTCGGATCACAAGCCGACGAAATACCCACAATCTTGCAACGAGTACATCTCTTCAGTGTCAAGGAATCGTCCTCAATCACCGTGCAACCAGGTCCTTCGCAGGACCTCCAAAGTGCACCGTTCCACGGGCCAATCTTGGCAGCGCGTTCAATTTCGCGTCCTGTACGAGAATCTTGCCCTGAAGCAATGTACTCATCGACGATGTCATTCCATCGCTTTTGTTGATCCTCGCAAATGACCTTGCTGAATTTCCGCGCGACTGGTCTGCAATATATGCTGTCAATGCTGGGCTTGTCCAACAATACTTGAAAGAAGAGACGTACTGGGGACAGAAGCCTGCCTTTCGCCAAACATATGCAAACGCTGGGTCCAGCACACCTCGAGAGCTCAATTCCTCTAGGACAGTTCGATTAGCCTCAGCTCTTCGTTGTATGTCGAGCTCTGCCGTGAGAGGTAGCACGACAGATGCATGATCCGCATCCACGCCCTCAGACTTCGCTAACATTTGCTGTACCATAAGGGCGGTCGCATCCATACGTTCCCGGGCCTGTCGATGAGGATTGTTGAGCTGAGCTTCGTAGTCGTGTTTGACGCGGTTCCGAATCGGGTCCCATTGTTCGAGAACAACCGCGTTTTTTGAGTGGCAGCACCGCTCGTACGTCTTGCCAGAACCGCAAACACAAAGGTACTTGAGCGGATAGGGCAGTAAGGTGGCGTGACAATCCCCTATGGTCTTGCCGGACCAACACGGGCAGATTCGAGGAGGGCGAGGGGAGTTACGGTTAATCTCGACGAGGGAGGAAATTCGACGTTCATCTGCTGAAGAGGCGAAATGGAAGTCGCGAGATGGTCGGGCGCCATGTTTTATGAGCAGTACGATATGATCCCAGCGCTGTGCGTTATAGGCTAATTGCAGGATGGACAGGTCATTGGCCGTTTTGTGGACGTCTGCATGTTGCTCGACGAGCATACGAACTATCCACCCCAGCCGTCTTAGCACGTTTTCTTTGGTCATTCGGACAGGTGTAAGCTCAGTCAACGATTTGACGATATCGATGAAAGGACCATTTTGATGCTCAGTGATATTTGCGATCTCTTTAGAGACAACCCACAGAGGAGTGGCGCCGTCTGTGGGATCTTCAAGATCAGGGGTGGCCCCGAAGTAAAGGAATTCTGCGACGGCTATGACATCGCCACTCGACACCATGTAATGCCACATATTCCCACCTACAAGCATAAAAGGTATATTGTAGCCATTTATGCAGTGATACCGCAGCAGAGAGCGAGAGGAGAGGAATGTAGTTCATACCTCCCAGGAAATGTGGTGGGTCATCGAGTTCTACGGCATCTGGAGACCAGGGACGTTGCCAGTTACGCATCTTCATGCGTACTTCGTGCCCTTCAGGAGTATAAGAAAATGATCCTTTTTGTGTGACGCTTATCGCCGTGCTGGTATCAGCCTTCAGCTTTTGGAGAAAACTCTGTGGCAGCAAAGGTTTACTGAGTTTGCTAGATTTGGCAGAGTTGGACGACATGGTAGCGAAGGGAGTGATGGCCGTATTGGAAAGAGTTCTCGTCGTTACATAATGCGAAAGTGCAGGACTGAGGAAGCGGCGATGGTCATGTTTCACACGCTCCGCACTCAACGACTACTCTGTGTAGGACAGTTAAGTGTACTAAAGCCAGTCTTCGAAAGAAGGAAACCGTAGCTCTGCGATGGTCTCTCAGTCAATCGGTCGTCAATGTATGTACACTGTTTCGAATACGAGCTGCGTTCTGTGGTATGGTCTCAGGTCTCGTCAACTCGGCTCTGCAGAAAAGGTCTTATGGATACGCAGGAGTGGAAGGTCAAAATGGGCCAAAGAACGGATCGTATATTGCTCATGATCCTCTGTAGCCTCGGTCGCCACGACCACCACGGAATCCGCCACCTCCTCTACCACGACCGCGATCACCTCCACCAAAACCTCTACCGCCCCCTCCAAAACCTCTACCACCACCACGATCACCACCTCTGCCTCCTCCGAACCCTCCGCGACCTCTTGGTGCACCCCGGCCACCACCAAATCCACCACGCGCGCCCCTTCCGCCTGGACCACCCCTACCAGCACCCCGCCCTCGTTCTAAAGTTCAGAAGAAAAGGAGTCAGTTGACACAGAGATAAGGAGAGCGGAATAAAGGTAATCGTACTCGCGACGCCTGTGAGAATGCGAGTGAGCAAGCACAAAACAAGAGAGTAAGATGGAATACACACCTCCCGCCACTTTCGGTTTGGGCAGAAACCGGTCTATTGGCAGTAGCTTATCCCCACCAATGTAGACCTTGTCGCCTTTTTTGAAGCTGTTGGCGACCATACCCTCGCCCATCTTCACGGAGAAGTAAACTTCATTTATTGGTCCTAGAATTTCATCGACCTTGCCAATGACAGATTTGTTTTGAAGATAGATGGGTGCATTGAAGTAGGGAACTTTGTCGGGCATGAGGGAGGAGCAGAGCATCTCGTCTTCTACGGCATGCATGAATGTACCCATTTCTATATAAGATCTCAAAGGTCAGCAAGAATGTTAGGATGAGAGATATGTATGCTGAAATTTACCAAGAACTGTATCTGGAGGGCCGAAGTCTCGAGGAGCACCCCCACGGCCTCCACGACCTGTGCAGAAAATTATATTCGAGTAGTCGCCACAATACTGAAGGCGAAAATACGCACCACCACCAAAGCCACCACCAAAGCCACCGCGTCCACCGCGTCCTCCTCGGCTCATTTTGTTTTGTGTGAGAAGGGAAAGGAAAGGAAGGAAGGAGAAGAGATAATTGCTACAGCAACTTAGATGAAGTCGTGGGTGTAATGAAGGTCGACGAATAGTGGACGAAAGCAAGCCCGATCCAAAGTTTGCGGTCGACGCACGTGACAAGGCGCGTCGCGCTGCATCCGGCTCCTTTTCACGCGCTTTCTGTTTCTTGTCTCAAAGTATGTCGAACTGTACGGCTTCCACATATCTCAACCACCACAATCTGACTGAATAGTCTCGACTTACTCTTGGTAGCGAATGGACAAAATACCCTGCCGAATCCAACCGTCCACCGAAATCCCACATACCGAAACGGTGGTTGTTGGAACAGATATCTGGGATGCTCTATCACCGCGGGATGACGAACGACGGATAGTCGTTGCAATCAGGCCATTGGAGGTGGGAGACAGAAAGAAGAAAGCAGTGAAGTCGATTTTATGCTGGGCAATATCCGATGATAGCAAGGTATTGTGTTTCTCGGGCATTTATGTTGCACTCTGACACTAGCCACTCAAGGCAGGCCTCGTCAAAATTCCTCCGGAGTGGGAAACGCTGCACCGTCATATTTTCTTTCGGGATGCTTCGCCTGTACATCCGATGAATACGCATCATGTCTCTCGATCTCGGACTCTCCCGCTTCAAGAGATATTCGTTCAGGCCCTGTCGGAGGATGCTTACCGTGCAGCTACCGAGGACGCCTCTGCCTTCGTGCAATCGCTATGTCGTGAGCAGAGAATTCTCCGACAAGGTTCCACCTTTACCATCGATGCTGCAGACATGCCTTCGCAATCTGTGGATCAGAGCAGAAGCACATTACAATATCGATTGACCATGTTAGAGCCCGTTCTCCAAGGGTACGCTGACAAAGACTCGACCAGAGTCGTCATCATACCTACTTCGGATGATACGCCTACGAAGAACGGCACCTCTTTCAATGGATCCTCTATAACCTCATCTAGCGACGATGTGGACGATGAAAATGATGACCTCGAAATTGATGAGAGCTTCTTGGCCAACTCGCTCAACTCACACATGCCAAACGGTGTGGAATATCACGACGCAGGGCCCTCCACTCCTGATGACAATCTTCATTCTTCTTTGATGTCGTCTTCATCTGGACACGAGTTCACTGCCCAACCATTGCCTGATGATCTCGTGGCGCCATTGGCGAGCGAGTTCACTGTGTTCGTTCGCACTTCGGATCTTCCTCGTGTTGGCATTCAAGACGGTGATTGGGTACGTTACAACACATGGAAGATTACCCAGTACTTACGCCTTTACTATCTCAGGCTTTGGCCCGTTCAAAATATTCTATCAAGTCACGACTTGTCCGTGTGAAGGCGCATGATGAGATGGTGAAGACGTCGTGGGTCTCTTACTCCTATCTTTATGGCCAGAATCTCATCATATCCATCTCAGTGGACATGCATATGCGTCACTCATTCTGCTGCGAAACGTATTCCACGAAATTTCAATCGAGGACGGCAAGCTTCATCTCCAAGCGTGTCCAGGGGGCTTACCGCCCTCTATTCCTATTGCTAAGACCGTGACTGTCGCTCGAGTGGCGTCCAGAGTTTCAACGAACCGTATATACCAGCAAGCGTTACTGCAGTCTTTGAAAGACTACTTCGACCGTAGCAAGCGTCTGATTTCACAAGGCGATCTTTTGGCCGTTCCTGTGGATATCGCATCCAAGTTGGGCACCACTGACGAGGAAGCAGGTGAAGTCTTGGTCAACGAGTGAGAACCGTTCTCCTCGCTGCCATAACTGCGCGTGCTAATAATGTTTTTAGACACTCTTTGAGTGCCTTTCGCAGTGACTCGCTCGAACACTTCGTCGTGACAAGTATCGACTCCAATACCTCGGGAGTACGTCACGATCGACCAGCAGGAGACGTCTATGTCGGCGAACTGGGCTCTTGGGTAGACCCTTCAATGACGCGGATGTTACAAACCGGCGTTGAGCACGTCCGAATTCCTCACTATTTTCCTACCGATATGCGTGAGTGTGCATTTCAATGCGCTGAAGTCAGGAAACATAACTCAATTTTTATAGAAGCATCATCGAGCAATGAACAGGATCGTGTCATCGTCAACCGAAAAGCGTTTGACCAGATTTATGCCCTGACTTCTGCGACATTTTCACCTCAAGCGTCGACGTATGATCTCCCTCTTTCCATACTGCTTAAAGGCCCTCGAGGGACTGGAAAGTTTACCACTGCTGCTCAAGTTGCACAAAGTCTTGGCATGCAAGTGTTCGAGGTGCGTTTCTTGGCCCTTGATGATCAATTGTGATCTGACGATGATAGAAAACTATAGATTAACTGCTACGATATCTTGGGCGTGAATGATACGAAAGCAGAGGGTTTCTTACGAGCTCGATTCGATCAAGCGACGTCTTGCGCTCCCTGTATCATCGTTATGCGACATCTTGACGCCTTTGCCCAATCTACTCAGGCGCCGGAACCTGGTAAAGGTAAATTATTTATTAGTAGCACAGGATAAAGGGCTGACACAGAATTCCTCTTAGAGCCACCCTTAGTCACCGCTTTAGAAGAGTTGTTCGCGGATTTATATGGTGCATGGCGGCTTTTTGGCTACCCTGTGCTAGTTTACGGCACAACCAGTGAGCCAGGACGGGTGCCACCGCCAATATCCGCCTGTTTCAAGCATGAAGTAGAGTTTGAGGTCAGTTTCCTTTGCTTCAGTCATAAGTATATCCCCTAATCGCCTGGCCTCTTCATGACAGGTCCCTGGCGAGTCCGAGAGACTACAAATTTTACAATCGTTATTATCGTCGCGCGCCATTGCACCGGACGTCTCGCTCCAGGACCTGGCTCGACGGACTGCAGCTTTGGTCGCCGCCGACCTGCGAGACCTGGTCACCAGAGCAGACATCGCTGCTATCACTCGTGTCATGGAGGCGGTGTAAGTTTTCGTCATCCATCTCTTCACCACCCTACTCTCACACTGATGACTCCTTCAGACCAGACGAGTGCAGCGAGGAAGATGTATTTGTGGCGGGAATGGCGCTCACAACAGCCGATTTTGATGTCGCGATGAACGAAGCCAGAGCGTCGTACTCACATAATATAGGAGCACCTACGATCCCGAATGTGTCCTGGGACGATGTTGGTGGTCTGGCGAATGTGAAGTCTGAGATCTTGGACACCATCCAACTTCCGCTGGAGCACCCCGAATTATTCGCTCAAGACCTCAAGAAACGTTCCGGTACGCACATTTCCTTGACATCTCCCATTGTAACACGCCATTGAATGCCTTCGATGTTTTATGCAGGCATCCTCCTTTACGGTCCACCAGGAACAGGCAAAACTCTCCTCGCCAAAGCCGTTGCCACCTCCTGCTCCCTCAATTTCTTCTCCGTCAAAGGCCCTGAACTCCTCAACATGTACATCGGCGAGTCGGAAGCTAACGTGCGGCGCGTGTTCCAACGTGCTCGAGACGCACGTCCTTGCGTTATCTTCTTTGACGAGTTGGACTCCGTGGCGCCGAAGAGGGGGAACCATGGCGATTCAGGAGGAGTGATGGATAGGATCGTCAGCCAGTTGCTAGCTGAGTTGGATGGGATATCGGCCGGTGGGAGTGGGGATGTCTTCGTCATTGGGGCGACCAACAGGCCGGATTTGTTAGATTCGGCGTTGCTGAGACCTGGAAGGTTCGTCGACAAGTGCACCTTACTGAAAATATAATGCTCACAGAAATTGAACCAGGTTTGACCGTATGCTGTACCTCGGGGTCAGTGACACGAAGGAAGCGCAGGTGAACATCCTTCAAGCACTTACGCGCAAATTCCGTCTGGATCCGAACCTGGACTGGGACGCGATCGTCGACAAGTGCACGTTCAACTTTACTGGAGCAGACTTCTACGCGTTATGTTCTGACGCGCTCCTCAAAGCCATGTCTCGCAAAGCCGAAGCCATCGACCAAAAACTTTGTAAGTACACGCATGCCCCTATATCCCCGATGCAACGCCATTGAACCCTACTCTTGCTCATGCTCTTGTCTTTTGATGCGGTTCAGCTATCTTCAATCAATCCCCCGAAGCAGCCGGCAACCATCCTATCCCAGTCACCCCACAGTACTACCTTTCCGAAATCGCAACGCCAGAAGAGGTCGAGGTGACAGTCTCACAGGAAGATTTCGAGGCAGCACTGCGCGAGCTGACGCCGAGCGTGAGTCAATCAGAGATGGAGCATTACGCAAAGGTACAACAGCGGTTCTCCAGCACTAGTACTAGTGAAACTACGGGTGACCATGATAGAGACTCGGATGGTGGGGAATAAGTAAATATTGGATTCAGCCTGAGCACCCCCACCATTGCACTGCTTGTGACTCGAACAATCTCAATCCATTTTAAGCAAATAATCAGTCCGGTATCCGTACGTAGAGCAAAGGTTTCGGTAGTGCCCTCTAAAGCAAGTTGGGATCGATATCGTCGGTGTACAAGTATCGCATTAGAAGCGAAGTCACTCTCGCATCCAGAATGTAGATGAGTATCGTACATGTGCACATGGTACACAGTAGTTGAACCGAGCGTCGGCGGGTTTCAGTCAGGGGGCATGAAGCACGCTTGATCAGAACCATCGGCTGGGGGCGAAACCGACTGTGTCGAGTAGGAAGTTCTTGATGCCGTCTGGCACGAAGGCACCGATGGCAGTCGTGGACTTCAGCTTGACGGGCTTGCCAACGACAGTGAGCCTGTAGAAACGTGGAGAGTTAGAAGGGAAGTTTGTAAGTAACAGGAGGAACACAGAAATACTTACAAGTAGGCGGTCTTTCCGTCAATAGTGACTTCGAGATTGAGCGTAGGCTTTTCAGAGTCGGTTGTGTCGATTTCGATTGCGGACCTAGAGAGAAGAGAATATGGTACGTGAGCAAAAGTCATAATGGATCAGGTTACGCCGACTGAAGACTGACCATTTGTAGTTCCCGCGCGGCAAGTACTTCAAAGTCCTCTCTTGGGGGATCTCAGTGACAACCTCTACAACGTCTGTCCCTTCCTCCGTCTCTTTGACCTCGATCCTCTTTCTCTGTACCGTCGCCTCCGTCTGGTTCATCAATGTCCTGAAAATCGGCACGTCGAACATGCTCAACGGGCTCGTTGAGAACTCCAACACATTGTGTCCGTCCTGCTTCGGACTGTTGAACTCAATCGCGGCAAACTCGTGCCTATCGCCCGAGAGCACAATGACATTCGGCACAGAATGGAACGCATCGAGAAGAGCGGCCTTCTCAGACGCAAAAGCGACCCAGCAGTCGACGAGGGCTTCGTGTGTCCAGAGATCGGTGAAGGGGACAGAGCTGACGACGAATTTGAATGTTGCGGTGCTGTTGACACGGCCGAGCCAGTCGTATAGAGCGGTGAGCTGTTTGTCGCCGAGCATGGTGCGCGAGGAGATGGGTTCTGTTGCAACGTCGGAGCGGTAGCGACGGGTGTCCATGACGAAGAAGGCGGCGTCACCGTAGCGGAAGTCGTAGTAGTATTGACCCTCTTCGATGGGCTCAAAGTTGGGCTCGGCGTTGTAGATTTCGAAAGCATTTGAGGCCCCGGGGAAGGGAGGGTTCGAGTCGTTGGCTTGACCAGCGTAGTTGTTATATATCTAGAGAAGGTATTAGTCTGTGTAGTCCCTTGAGAGAAAACTGAGGGTATACCTCATGATCATCGTAAGTGTGGAAGATTGCTGGAAGGTAGAACGTCAGCGCTGGTTACAGAGTGGTGAGAAGAGATCGAGTGGACTTACGTAGCCTCTCATAGACTTTCCTGAATCCAGTGCTCTGATAATTCCTCCTATACAGCCTGCGATATGATTCCGAATCGTCACCAAAATACATTGGCACGTCCGCATAGATGAAGTCTCCCAAGAACAGACCAAACTCAACACGCGACTTCCCTACTGCATCGGTCTCTGATACAGTTGCAGGCTCAGAAGCGACCGCTACATGTGGTGCCGCCTCTGTGTCATTTACGGATGGCGTCTCGGCAGCTTCGACTGACTCGGTCTCCGTAGCCTCTTCGGTCGTAGTCTCGGGTTCCGGAATGGGAACTGGATCAGCGGCCTCGGATTTTGAGGCGGGAGGTGGAGACAGAGACTTGTCTTGTTCAGCGAGGTAGTCGGCCATGAGTTCCCAGCCCTTGATACGGCGACCGCCGAAGGGAGTGTAAGGGAAGTTGGGCGTAGTGCAAGATGAGACGACGAAACGGAAACGAGAGCCACCCGGAAGACGGGGGTCGGGGAAGGTACGGAATCGGAGAGGGGTGGCGGGATAATCGAGCGTGGTCTTGTTTAAGTCTGTGAGAACATCTGTGAAGCAAGTATGACAGTTAGATCGCTGTTCAATCAAATGGAACGACGAAGGGGCCTCGTACATTCATATTCAGTATTGGGCCAAAGACCAGCAAGCTTCGTCGTGTTGGCCCAGTCGTGTGATGGGTTCAGTTCCAGGATGGGACCGTCTATCCAGGCCTCGGCAGCAGATGTGGCGTCGGTTCCAGTTGGTGCTTTACGCCACAGAAGTTGAACGGCGTTTTCTGTAGCGTTTGCGGCGGGGTAACGAACTATGATCTTGGCAGCATCCGGGTAGACAGCACCAACACGAGAGAACACAACGTCGGTAGCAGCATCGAAATAGGGGAAGAGGGTGAATTCGAGGGAGGCAAGCGCTATGAGAGTGTTGATGACAAAAGTCTTGACCTTCAAAGAAGTGCTTGAAGGAAGAGAGAACAGCAAAGCCAAATTGGAGTCGCCCTGTGCGGCCTGAGAATAAACAAATGATAATGTCAGGACAATGCGAACGACAGGGCATAGTAAACGCCCACTACTTCAGGTTGTGATTCCTGAGCACTTTCGCCATTCTCTGTCTTCTCTTTGATCTCGTTTTTCTCTGGCACCCTCGGTGGTGGAGTCGAGACGAAGAAGAGTGATGTGATATATGCGATGTATAGAGAGGGGATGACAAGCTTCAGAGGTCGTATAGGAGCCTATCATGGAGTAGAGATTAGACATTGACTGAACGATCCTAGAATAACCAGGGAAAATACGAACGACACGAAGATAGCAGTACGCAAGAAGCCTGTAAAGTGTAGAAATTGCGGCAGAGGAGTACTCTATCGTACCCATGGCTGTCGTCTGCTTGTCGTCGCCGTCGTCGTCGTCAGCGTTGTGGAGAGTGATGCAGGAACGCAGTGCCGGCGCGTTGTCTTGACGCGAACTACGTCAGCTTCGAAATATCCGGCGACTCGCCACAACTCGATGGCGGCGCCACACTCACGACTTGTTCTTCATCCACCATGGGCGCGTCGCAGTCAAAGTCCGACGACGGCTCGCATGTCTTCCACAGCGAGACCCCCATCCAGGTGCGTCCACATTTGGTCTATTAACCTGCTCTCACATTCTAGAACTCACTAATGACTGTCCCGAATAGTTTTCACAGGACCTCGTCAATCACCTCTCGGACCAGTCCTCCGCTCCCGGGACTTCTGCCCCACGACAAGAGACTATAGATGGTCTCATCCGCCAGCGGATTGAGGTAGAGATTGAACGTCTTCGTGAGGAGGAGAAGCAGGTTCGGGATGAGATCGAGAGGGAGCTAGAGAAGGAAAACCTCGACCGTGAGCGGAGTATGGCCGGCGACGCGAGTTCGCCCGAACACGCAGAGGACGAGTCGACCGTCGGCGACATCAAGAGCAGCGCCGTGCTGATGGGCGATTTGGAGGAGGTTAGGAGTAAGGTTGAGAGGTTCCAGCATCGGCGAGAATTAACGGAGTTACCGACGTTGAAAGCCAAGGGAGAGGCTGTCGTCGAGTGCTACAGGTAAGTGTTGCTTTGCTGGCATCTATTCCTGGATACTTATGGTGGCATACATGGCAGGTCAAATCCTACCACCTCACTGAACTGCTGGCGAGAGGTTGCCGAGTTCAAGTCTGCAGTGTCTCAGGTTGAGCAGGTAAATTCTCGAGTATACCTATCGTTTCCATGCATTAACCTCGTTTTTCTTAGGACTACGTTACCTCATTACGTTGACGAAAACCGTGTTGCACTGTTGCAATCGTATCCTCTATCCTGTCGGCTCCGATTCTCTACCTGCAACCTATTTTCCTTCGTGACTATGAGGTTGATGCGCTGGCCATATAATCACTCTTACAGGCTCCGGGTCCGAAAGTCATAGTTCGACAGAACGGCTGTCAACAGGAGAATCATACGTATAGCCTGGCCAAACACCATAATCTCATTGTCTGATGCGGGACTGCGTCAAAAATCCACTCGTCAACCTATCGCCTCGTCGAGCAACTGTACGTCCGAAACATACATAATAACGGGACCAAAATCATAAAAGTAAGTAATAACTGGTCCGAGAGGTAGGTGCAAGATCGTACAGATAAACAAGGGAGCGATCGTGCCAGGAAATGTCCTCGCCAGATGCCAAGACTAAGTACGGTAAAAACAAGTTCAATTATTTACTTCTCTTATGTGTCTGTCAATGTCCTCGCTGGTAACTCATACAGTCCAGATACAAACCCGCCTACTCTGCGGAAACCACGTCAAAGCGCGAAAGCCAGATATAGAAAGCAAGATGTCCGAGCCCGGTCTAAGAGTTTATTATACGCACCACATCGACAGTCTTCCCTCCTCGCCGTCCTCGTCCTTTTCGCCATCTCTCCCACCCTACGCCTATCCAGCCTTCAGCCGAAAGGAACTCGATCAATCCAACGTCGAATAAACCGAACCTCCGGAATTCCTCGACAACGTCGACAGTCTATTCCCGTCAAACTTCGGCATAATCCCATCGAACAACCGCCTCGCCGGTCCGACCTTTCGCCGCTCTTCACCACTCTGCGTCGAGTACCACGAATCGGAACTCACAGCGGAGGGCTTATGCACGAGCGATCCGGGCGCGCGGACGGATTGTTGTTGGCTCCGACCGGGGATTTCGCGCAGGAAGGAGTATTGGGGTTGGGAGGACTGGGAGTAATTGGAGGTGGAGGGTTGGGATGCGGAGGCGGCGAGGGGAGGGGGGAGAAGAGGGGATGGCGAGAAGGAGTCAGTGTCGGCGTGGGAGTCGTGGAAGGGCGAAGAGGTGAAGGCGACTGTGGAAGGGCTTGGGGTCGTTAAAGGTGTTGAAGCGGGAGAGTTGAGAGCCGTGGTGGAGGTGATAGCGCTCGTCGATGGTGATCTTGGTGGTACAACAGTCGACCAAGAGAGTTTTGAAGGCGCTTTTGGCTTTCGGGTGAGCATGTATCGGGAAGAGGGCGTGCTTCGGGTGGGCGGCGGGGATGGTCTGCGGGGTGGTGTGCTGCTCGGGCTGAAGTTTGGGTCGTCGATGTCGTTGTCATTATAGGCAAGTATGGAGTCATCGTCGGGAGGGGTGGGTAAGGGCTTTGTCAGCGTGGGTGAGGATGTGTTCTTTTCGTTCGTGAGGGCTTGGTCATTAGTAGGCGTCGACGTCGGCGCGGCATGGGCGGCTGCAAACTTGACCTTTCGGCCTGCAGAGCTTAATTTCGAGGAAGGCTGGTATTGTGAGATGGGTGCGCTGAAGGTAGAGGCGTTGCGCCTGGTGTTGGCTCGTACGGCCAGGCGATCCATCTACAGAATAATGATGGCCGTTAGGATTATTCAGATCAGGTCCTGAACGGGAAATGTACTAACATCTTCCTTTCGCTTTTCTTCCTCTTTGCGTTGGATGCATGATCCCCACCAACTCCATCCTAGCACGACAATCAACGCTAGACAGACGCCACCTAGTACGCCACCGATGATGGGTGCAAGGGGAACCGAAGGCTGCGAAGAGGAACTGCTCGATTCGGTGGTCAAACTCGGAGTGGGAGAGGCACCTCCCGAATATATCGTCGTAGTGACGATATTGAGCTCTTCGGGAGAGGCTTCACGGCGGATTACGATGGGGGTAGCTGGCATTACGGTGACTCTGTCGTTATACTTGGTCGCAAGGGCAAGTTCAGAAAAGAGAGCAGATGCGGGGCTCCTCCGATGCTACTCTCGCCCTGAGCTCGAGGCGGGGGCGTTTATGAAGCGGAATGAGGACGAGAGAAGCACAAAGGACAGCCAGGAAGAGTGGAGCTCGAGGACTGCTGGAAAAGATACAGGGGGTGGCCCTTATCAGCGAGGCGCGCTCGCGAGCAGTTTGCGGGTCAAGACTGTCGAGTGCGCCCTCACCGCCAGGACTTGAATAAATACGGCAACGTCGACTGATTGAAAACTTTCGAGAGAAAGGAACGGACAGGGCACGCTGCACCATGCATGCCTAGAATAACATTCGCGAACGCCTGCAGGTTGATGTTACGCCGAGTTTTGCACGCCTCGTGGCGAGCCTCGTCGTTCCGTCCTGGTCCGCCGAACGCTTGCCGATACCCTTTTTGCACTCGTCCTCTGCTTTCTGCAGTCATCGAGCTATCGCTGCTCTGATCTGTGGGAGGTTTCAAGCCGTCTTATGAGGCTCGGGAGCAGAAAAGTATAGGCCGAGACCTCCAATGTGATGGGCGGGTGCGTTGTGCATATTCGATAGTGCAGACGCATGTTTTTCCGTATGTTTTATTTAGTTTCCTACTCACACAACCACCCCATGACATCTTTACCATCTTTCTGTCACTAGCGCCAGATTCATCCAGACTGGGCCCAAGGTCCTAACGTGCCTTCATCTTGTCTTCATTCGAGATTAAAAGTGACATTCGACCAGTACTAGTGTGGCACCTTTTCAATGCTGTGGCACTTGAATATCTTGACGATGTCGCTTTGCATCATGAATCTACATTCTGCTCCCATTCTGTGGTCATAACCTATCAGCCAAATTGTCGTGGATCTTCACAAAGTCAAGAGGGGATAATGCAAGGAGTCCAGGATTCAGACAATGCCTGCTCTCCTGCCGATTCTGAGATTGATCACTTCTCTGGAGTATATTTTATTTTACTTGCTCATTTCTCTAGTCGTCTGACCTCATAAGCAGTAAGCCTTCATTTCCCCAGACTCGTACTCATGCTCGCTTTCTCTTTCTGTATAGGAATAATCTTCGCTGTGAATCTGCGGCGTTTCGTCGCCGTTCCCACTTCCACCTTCAGGCTACCAATAGGTCTCGTTCCTTCAATGGCATCATACCAGCGGTCCGACCGCGCAGGGGCCAGAGCGCCCGACATCCTTCGAAGGCTCTCACCCCAGCGAGTGAATGACCTCCGCGCGGTCAGTGACTAACCTCCTTCTTTCGCTCTGCCTTCGGGTCTTGTCATGACTCGGAGCGGGATGATTCATGCCGGAGGGTACTGTACTCTCACTCTGCATGAAGGTTAGCTGTTTCACGGATAATATCATAGGTCTTCGAAGCGTATGTCACCGAACTGTATCCTTCAATCCAAGCATGGTGTCCGTGGGCAGCGTTCTTCGCACACACTAGGTCGATGACATCCCGTGTCTTCTCATGATGAGAAGGACCTCGAGATCATGCACGACGGACGGCTACTTTGCTAGCTCTCCCGCTTACGTTGTTGAATGTTGAACTCTAAGTGAGATGAGTTCTGAGGCCAGAAGGGACGGGTTATTGTGGCACCTTGGTTCGATGGGACCGTCTTCCGCAAGTCTCCCCTCAATTTATCGCCCCGGACGCCCTGCGTCGTAGAGCTGGTTTGTCTCATCATATCCCTCAGTATTATGCTCTATAATCCATCGTTGAGTCTTCTCTTCTTTAGGCCATCGGTCTATATGTCAATGACAGCGTGAAGCGATTCGGTTTCTTCTCCGGACTGAACGTACGGTTAGGCATGGAGTTCAGAGTCTTGCGCCATGCAAGCTTCAAGCTTCAAGATCTATGTCTCAGTACGGCACCGCAATGACGCCTTGGCTCCCGAACGTGCTAAGTGCATACCCTGCTCGGTTTCTTGTTACGATTCACCATAACATGCTCGGCTCGTCGTGGAGACAAACTAAGAGCGAGGTCCTCTCAAGACCAAGACCACCGTACCGCACGCACAGCCATCTCATGGTCCGCACGATATCATGATATGCCGAGCCCAAGACACCGAACCGCACCGTGGCCTTATTGTTCTGCACAACGGAAGCATTCTCTCAGTCTCCTCTCCCGGCTTTCATAGACATATACTAGACACAGCCAGTGAAACAAGGGTTACCGCGGCCGCTCTTGTTACCGTCAACTTGAATCAGTTACAGGACGAGTCCGGTGATCATGATTTGTTTTCCTGCCTGAGTCGTCAGACGACTCGACGTAAGAATTGCCTATACATCCCGCACTGTAGAAGTGTCATCTCCCCTGCTCGTCCATCCTGTCAATGGAACTTGACTTACTTATATTCCGACGACTCTCGTGGACTGTATTGTTTTCGGGTTCCGAGTCTGCTATAAGTAATAGTTGCACGAGCTTTTCTGACTGAAATCATTATATCACATCCCATTATAATCTTGCATCTTATATCTTCCCTGTAGAGGCATGCAGACATGAATGAAACTCGCACCGCGTTTCAGCGAGGTGCATTCAAGGATGAAGTGGGTGACGGGCGAATATGTACTTACCACCGTCGTAGTCTCCTTCACCGCTTCAAATCGCATATTGATATGAGCAAATAAGACGCCAAAAGGAATATATTCGGCTCATACGACTCCAACCGCTGACCAATCATAATTGTATACACTCTCCACCAACAAAGAAAACACAAAAAAAAAAAAAAAACGGTGAAGCGCGAAGCGAAGGGTAATCGACGTGAAGCGCGAAGCGAAGGGCGATCGACGTGAAGTGAAGCGGACTCAATCGAAAGGGGTAAAAAAAAACCATAAACATACGACAAAAAAAGCTGATGGGATATAAAACTTGGGCTGTTATGTTATGTATGCATGAGTTACATATTAAAACTCGGGAGGGAGCGAGTGTTCGTGGGCAGTTTATCGTAGGCGAGGTAAGGCAGGGCGGGAAACATCGACAGCGAAGGGGTGTGGGTGGACAAGGAACGGGAGCGAGCGGGTGGTCGAGGGGAGACGGGAGAGAGAGGGAGAGACGAGAATACGGTGAGGTATTTATTGATGGATGGGGAAGGTGAGGCGAAGCGAAGCGAGGCACAGCAAGGATGGATAGCAATGAGCAGAGAGACGGAGCGCAGGAGACGTAGTTGACGAGAAAGAGATATGCGACGGATTCATGGTACAGAGGAAGAGTTGACAGACAGTCTGCTCGGCTTTCAAGAACTGAATGGGAATAATATCGGAACAACGAGAAGTAGCAAGTCCAAACAAAAGGCAAGGCAGTACGAGCAGAACGAAGAAAGCTATCATCACATCGGATACCCATTACTCTCCGCTACAGAATGATAAGGCGGATATTGCGTCTGCAACGCAAAGTTCGTAGCGCCCCTCCCATTAACATGATGTCCAACCCCATACGCCGAAGCCGGACTCGACGTCGATGACGAGCCGCCCATCGACATCCCCTGACCATGGGAAGTTGACATGGGCATAGCAGTCATGGGCATTGGACCGGCTCCAGAAGCGATAGAAGAACTCATGCTGTACTGAGGCCCAAGGATCGGACCTGTCGTATCCATGCTGTCGAAGCCCAATCCGAGCTCCCTGAACATGTGGTTCCAATACTTCATGTCTTCCGACGACTGAGGTCCTGGCGCAGCGGGGGTCGACGTTGACGAATTCGTGCCGGGGGCAGGGGAGGGATAGTAGCCGCCATTGCCGCCACCACCATTCGACATTGTGTTACGCGTGGACCAGTCGTTATAGGCGGGGGACGTTGGAGAGGGACCGGAAACGTGTGGTGAGGCGGGGTAGGGATACATGACGTCCCTATGTAACGGTGACGTCTGATGGTGGTCGTGCTCGCGCGACGTTGTTTGCGAAAATGCGGAAGACACACTATGTGGCGAAGCAGTCGGAAGCCCTACACTGTGGCGTTGATTGCCTTTATCGAAGTTAATAAAGGTGCCAAAAATATATTGAGAATGAACTTACTAAAGCCTCGGTCCTCGAGCTCTCGCCGCATGGTGTCACCTTGACGGGCTTTGAAGATATCTTGAGCGACGAGACCACGGAGGAAGCGTGCATGGTACGACGCTGAAGTCGAAGCCGGAGAGAGACCAGAAGCTTCCTCGTAGGCGGCGGCTGCATTGGAGATGACGGTGTGAATCTCGTTCGTCGCGCCCTCGTGCAACTCTGCGAGGGTGTTAGAACTGCGAAGTAACTGGCGCCGATGTGAGTAATCGAACATTTATGGACGAAACGACATGAGACGTACCTTGAGCAAGAACACCGCAGCGTAGGCAGTCATGACAGTGACTGTGTCCTGTCCATATCGCTATGAGCAAGCAAGTCATCAATAAGGATTCTTGGACGAAAGTGGTAGTGTAGACTGACCAGCATGCTCATAGACGCAAATTCTCTGGTGACGATCTTCAGATGGTCCATTGCGCTGCTGTAGCAAGCCGACAGCGCCTGCAAGCTCGGAGTCGCTCGGCATTGCTGTGACCAACTGAGTTAGTCGTGCAACCTAAAGCCTTAGATCAAACGAGGAAACATACCGGAGATAGCGAGGCCTGTATACCAGCGCTGTTGAGGAACAGCCGGACGTAGAGCCTGAAAAAGTCGAGGAAGGCGTAGTGAAACTTCTCGGCATCCGGCGCTCGACGCATCTCGGCCTCCCACGTAGCCGCCCACTGTGTGAGCTTGCTATTACAGGTGCGCAAGAGAACGTCGCCGTCGAAGTCGGCATGCCTGATGTTGGGGTTCCCCTTGTTGATGAACAGGATATCCGTCGTCTCAGCCTGTGCGAAGCCAGGGCCGGTGAGAACGAAACTGACAAAGAGGGCAATGCGCGACCTACGGCAATCCGGCGCAACTGCACAAACGCTGCCAAAATAACGTCTTCTGGCCTGATATGGGGACCGCCTTCCTCATGCCAGTTGGCAGAGTTCCGCACGAGATTGCACTGGGGAAGAGGGATCAGAACCCCGAAACTCAAAACGCTGACTTGGCGGACTTACTTCGGGCAGCATCCACTGCCGGCCGGTCTGCATGCTGAGGCTGCGATCGTGGACGAACAGAACGAGATACGTTCGCTCACGGTTCCGGCGTTCGCGGAACACAAGCTCCGTCTCGTTTCTGGCGGGGGTGGCTACCCATCTGTTGAGCCCGAGCTCGACTGCCATTCGGCATGCCTGAGCGATATGTGTGTGAGTGTGAGTCCATGGGCAGGTCAGAAGAACATACGCACATAGCCGATGTATGTCCATGTACGCTAAAACAAAAGAAGAACGGTCAGGCGAATGATTGAGAGAAAGATAGCCGGGCGGATGTACCGTATCATCGGGCTCCTTCCAATAGGTAAGGCACGCGAAGGCCTGCACGACTTCAACACTCTTCCACCCCTCCGCGAACGCGCGAACAGCAAACTCGTACGCGAGCTTCTGACAGTCCTTGTAGCATTCTGGCTTGAAGAACTTGCATCCAGCCATGATAAGGACGGTAAACAAGAAGGGTGATCTCTTGCGGACGTATTCCGGGGTGTGGAGGATAGCGTCGAAGAGGTTAATGAACGGGTTTAGTCGCAAGAAGACGAGGTCGAAGATGACTTTGGCGTTCGATTCTTCGATTATGCCGGCTGCCACAGGGTCGTTGAGGCCGCCGGAGACAGGGGTGGCGGAGGCATAAGATGAAGAAGCGGTAGAGCTACCCCGGTCGGAGTTGAGGGAAGTAAGAGGCGCTTCGTGTTGGGGATTCAGGATAGTCTTCAAAAAAGGCTGCCTCTGATTTTCCTTCCGGATGAGTCTGGCGGGGTAAATGTTCTCCTCCGGCCGATCAGCGTCGTCTTCATCCTGATCAGGGTCCATGTCATGTGAGCTACGCCTGGCATCCGAGTAGCCTCCTTGATAGTCTGGTGGAATGTTGAGGGGAGGAAGTTCATAATCGGAGGTTGAATGCCGGAGTGGCGGCTGAGAAGAGGAACCTGCTTGAGGCTCGGTAGACTGATGGGCGGTGGAGGAGGACTCGAGGGCCTGTGCCTTGGACTTTGCACTGCTGAGGCCTTTCTCGAGACGACGAAGCATCTTGGAGGCTTCCGAGAGCCTGAGGTGGAGGGTGAGAAATGAGATAAGACGTGAGAAGATCAGGCATACTTGGAACCGGGCTTGCGACCACGACGGTGCTTTTCAAAGATGCATCTAGAGACGTGTAAGGAGGAGGCGGTCAGAATAGGAAAGGGGAGGGACAAACTCCGAATTTGAGCGCTTGCAGCGCTGGCAAGGCTGGGTACCGTCCTCTGCGCCGACGCATTTCATCTGGAGAGGGTCAGATAGGTCGTTACTCGCACAGAATGCACGTACCTTGGCGGCTCTGCAGACGGTGCAGGCTCTGGCTCCTCGGACGACCGGTGCTTTGGAGCTATGGGTGGTGTTCGGTATGAGAAGAAGAGTCAACACGAACAGAGAAATAAAAGACATACGAGGACTGGCCGGCCAACATGTCATCCTGCGGAAGATTTGATTCCATGACAGTCGAGAAAAAAGAAGCCGGTCGTGAAGAGGCAGGTATGAACACCGGAAAGAGCGGGATACGAGTTGGTGTCTAGCGAGTGCAGCGAGCACGATGCGTTCGAGAGCGCCGACAACGGTGACGAAGAGGTGGGGAGGACGTCGGTGGGGATGAGGGGAGGGTCGGCTAGCGTCGCGGGTTGGGGGAGAGGAAGGGGGAGCGAAGAGGGGGACGGTAAATCTGACGGGGTTATGAACTGCTTGCCGTGGACGGTCTCCATTCCAAGAGGCCGGCATCCACCGCCCGGTATTCTCACGCTCCCATCGCGCACCGGCAGCCGCTTGGACGCCGGCAGCTGAGGATGGCAATCAACCCTCCTCCACACCACCCTTTGCCGCCCGCGGCAGGCGCCTTCCTCGTCCGGCGTTCAAATCGTCGCTGTGCGTCTGCAGCTGACGTGGTCCCGACGAGACGAGGATGCGGGTCTGATCCTTCCGGCGAGTACAATAGCCCTTGAAGACCACATACCACCAGATGCCTCTGCACCAGCCAGCCGAGCAGCGGCGTCCTTCAAGCATACGATCCAGTCCTCCCGCACGCTCTCCGTGATCTCGGGACAACAGTAAGTTGCCGACTCCCAAGGTTCAATCGATCACCCCAACCCAAAATCCAAATCCAATGCCACGATCGTCCGACCCCGCTCATGACCGTCCTTCAGGCCATTTTCTTGCTTATTCTCCTCGAGTGCATGCCTCTACTGCTGGATGCGATATATCCTTATCGTCGCTCTTTGCTTCCCTCTCACACGCACTTTGTCCCGCGTCATGATCAGCACGGGCGTTCCTCGAATAGACACCCGCCAGTTCGAACCCTCCGTCCCATCAGTTCGACTCTTCTCCGACTCGGATTCCACCGCCTCTTCGTTTGATTATTACTCTCCATCCGTGTCACCGTGCGGAGCTCCAATTCTTCGCGGTATTTCTTTCTTTCCTTCATTCGCCACATCCTTCTACTCTCGCCTCTCGATCTGAAACCTACCCGCTATTCTTCTGTGCTCGGGCTACACTCGGTCTCTCTCCGACCCCTATGCGGCTCGGGCTTCTTTCCTACGATCGCGTCCAGCCGGATGCCGCAACTGGAAATGTCATTGCTGAAGCTGCTCTTGTTCGCCGAGCCGTGAATCCGTCAGGGGTTCCGATCAACGAGAGCACGAACACGCTCAGCTCGAACCCGAGGGCTGCACGGTCCTCTGAGTAGCCGACCGTCATCCACAGGCGCCCTTCCCCGAGCTAGAGATCGTCCTTCCAACTCAAACTGGCAATTTCATCTTCGTCGCCGGGCTACCGTCGGGCTGCAGGGTAACTACTTTCCAAGGCGAACGTCTTGCCGCTCGGGTTTTTCTTTACTGGAATTTGCGAACGCACACGAGGCGGCTGTGCGAAAGTGTTTCAATTCACTTGACTTGACTTGCCGCAAGTTGCAATTGGACGCCTTCTGTATTGCCGATGATGACAGCTATTGGATATGCCCATGGACTCAAATTTGATCGATATCTGAGACAGAAACGTTGACATCTTGCTGACGGCGGGCCACACACAATTATCGCACTCGGACACTCGAGTGGCGCTGATCATGACATTGATCAGTTCGGTTTTGCAGCGCTCCTGCTGGAAGTCTCTATGGTCGACCGGTCTGCCAGCGCGAGTTTTAGGTATCATTGGCCACCATTGCATAGCGCTATCACCATCGGAGAATCCTCTTGAACGCCGACTCAGACTCACTTCCGGCCTCCCATGGTGCTGAGTGCTCGGCTGGAGGGTGCTCCGGATCTGTGATATCTGATGTGCAAGGAGATACTAGTACTGTCATGTCTGCACGTTTTTGCCTTAAGCGAGACTTTGAAATGTCCTCAGGCTCCATGCCAATTGGCAGGAATTGATATTGATGCCCGGCGTTCAAAATCGCGTTCCGTGACCCGACCCGCTCTCCATGTGAATCCGAGCCCATGAGGACTTTGCATGAGCATGAGAGTGGGCCCAGGTTGATGATGAGTGTGTGAGTGCAGGGCCGTAAGTAAGTGCGTTGTTGCTGTTCGCAGATGTTCTGACTGGAATCTGATCTCGGGACTCGGTCGTTTTTGCGTTGCTGTTGCCATGTGCGTCGGAGATTGAGACGGGGGGATCAAATTGCGGAGCGGGTCGATTGGACGGGAACTCGATTGGACGCGGACGTCACGGTGGATGTGCAAATGGACGACGACGACGTCAGTGGGGTTGGTTTTGTACGATTTTCGCGATGACGGCGAGGAGAAAGTGAGGAAGGAGGGATACCTCGATAGGAGGGTAAGTACTGTATACCTATCCGGACGTTCTGGGCTTCACGCACACGCACTCGGCGGGATCAGAGCTTACACTCGCTCGCGGTCCCGGGGGGCAATGCACACCTATACATACGCCGTTGAACAATGAATACGACAACGGTCAGATTCATACCTCCTGCGCTCGAACAGTGGAAACTGCATCACAGTCGCTATATGGGTTCGCTTAATCACAAAGGTGCGGTGCCGCTCGTTCTGTTCGTTCCATTAGAGGAAGTTCGCCAGTTTATATAGCACCGGCTTCATCGCTTTACGAAATCCAGGACCGGCTGTTCTTCAAGTGGCAGTCAGGGCGTTCGTTGAATTGATGTTCTGGACCACATAGCCAGAGCCGTCGTTCAGAAAACAGCAATTCCAGTCTCGTTCTGATAATGTTGGCGTTGGCAATCTGTACTGCCGTGCCCATCCCGGTTGGTGGCGATCCGACCGTACTAAGAACCCAATTGGCCACCCTAGTCTAAATGCGACTTTGGGACCTCTTTGTACGCCGCTCGGCGACAAGTTGCTTATGTCGTTCAGTTGAGCCCAGCGGCCCTGATCATTCTAGCAATAGACATGTGAGTATGTATCAGTAGTGGCGCCGTGGGCGTTCAGACGTTCATCTCCACCTCGCAGACCCCATTAAGCACCTGCTCATCATCAACGTTATTATAACTCGGAAACACTGCACCCGGCCACTAGAGCGCTGGCGCCCAATCACGGCGCACTCTAAGTACATATTTACGGTCACTTTCCATTTTCTATGTAGTTGGAAACACTCGCGAGAGAGAGCCCGGCTGATCGGGAACTTGAAAGAGCTGAGATTAAATGGCGTTGGCCATGGATGGAAGGGGGCTTGGCTGGAAGGCTGGAAGGGAAGATCCCGGATAGGCTTAGGATTGGTGTCGGAGCGATGGACGCCCGGGGTCATTCATTGTATGTAATATTGTCCCTCGCCCTCTCAGGCAGGTCTTACTGTTTCTGGGTTTGCATGATATCTGTTCTGTTCTGTTCTGTTAGAACTCAGTTCCTGCGGCGGGTGATAGTTTTGTGGGCTTGAGAATAGATGTGCGTTCCTACGGCTGTCGTCCATCAAGCTCGAGTTCGGGATGTCTGGAGGGCCGTGGCCAACTCATCATGTTCTATTGAGGGAAGCTAGTGTTAGTAGTATAGTTGGACCTGCTACTGACCAGACCATCGCCTAACCTCGACTCGAGGGCGTTACAGTGGTGCTCGACTTCCGTCAGATTCTGTTCTGTTTGCTCTTGACCATCATCGCACATTACACGGAACACTGCCCCACCCCTGAGCACTCAATGAGGCATCGCAGCCAAGCAAAGGTGCGATCTCCGTTCTAAGAACTGACTGGCCGGTGGGAGGCCGGGCTCCAGCCACCCTATCACAAGGGCTCATGAGCAAAGGAGCAAGGTTTAGAACATTGATAGCTGATACCAAGAATATAGCCGCTGATCGCCAGCAAGCAAGCACTGTGTCTGCAACAGCCATACAGACCGTACTGTATATAGTACCACCGTGTAAATCAGCCCACCCTTCCTTCTCTTAAGATAATTCCCCGAAACTCAGACGACTGCATCACATCAATCCACACTCGAGACGTCGCGATTGGTGGGATGTGGATCATCATCATTCGACGCCGATGAGGAAGACGATCAACTCTCTGCCGACGGCGGCAGCTATCCGGGGGATCCCCCGCATCGCGAGAAAGTCAAAGTCTTGCACGCGGAGAGGACGAGGGCCAAAGGTGAAGACGGTGGGCTGGGCGGTGCTGTGTGCGCCTGCGTAGGAAGAGTTGTAGATGTTCAGGAGAGCGCCTTTGGAGGGTGACCGGGTGGAGATGGCGAAGTATTCTGGGTAGGTTTGACACCATCTGTTGGATGGATGGAGGGAGATAGAGGTGTAGGAAGATGCGGCAAGATGCGGTGAATTAGTATTAGTAGATGAAGTGGACGAGGTGAGTAAGGAACGGGAGATGGAGTTGAACATGAGACGTGGTGAATGGCGATGGATCGGGGGGAGGGTGTGAGTGATCGATGGGGGATGGGAAGATGCGAGGCTTGAGAGGGACAAAGTGACGGCAGGTGATTGGGGACTGACCGAAAGCGATGGGAACCTTCGGGGAAAGAGAAGCCTGTGGCGGTAGGTTTGCCTCCTGAGAGCTTGGAAAGATCCCAGATGGTGAATCGGGATCCGTATGCTGCTCCTACACTAGAAACACACGAGTGTTAGTGGTGTTCTGAATTAGATGCGTGAAAGGAAGAAAGAAACGAAATGAAAGTTGCCGGACTGCAGTTAAAATACTGGTAAAAGCAAGAGAAAAAAAGGCGAGGTATAGGCATGGAAAAGGGAGCCTGGTCCAAAAACATGGAACGGAGACCGGTGCGATAAAACATGAATGTGATCCCCATGTGCATGCTGAGGAGCTTAACTGAAGCAGGAGGGGGTAAGGCAAATATCGTATGTTGATCGAAAGGAGTCGATTGGTCCTTCGAACGTAAACATAGTTGTGGAATAGCGCAGTACATGTAGACACAAAGCGCCGGCCTTCATGTCAAACGAGAAGAGGATTGTGCCCGATAAGCCCACAGACGCCGCAACGAATGGACTAGAAGCGAGCAAGAACAAAACTTAAGAGCTGGAATACTCACATGTCAGGAGAGTCGCGTCTCCACGAGACGGAGCCAGACCAGTGCGCGGACGTCCCTACGGTCGCATCCGCTAGAGCTCTTGGCTCAACAAGCTCGACGACAGACTGGTGACGCCAAGACTCGGTGGAGGATGAATCGGGAGGTTCGCTCCGCCAGTCGATGAGAAAGATAGATCCGTGACTGTCTGATACTAGAAGCTCTTTTGCGGTGGATGGGTGGGAGTTGACAGAGGTCAGAGCACGGGGGAAAGGGACTGGGTAGGCGGTGGGTTGGGCGCGTTTACTCGAGCTTCCCGGAGGACTGAGGTTTCGGGTAGGGCTAGGAGATCCCATAACGGATGGGATGTCAAGGTTTGGATGGAGGTCCCAGACCATGAGCATCTTGTCATCTGTCAGGTTCGTTAATTGGTGCGTGAAGTCGGGACTATGGGTGCAGGCCACATACCGGACACTGTGGCGACATAACGAGCACTATCTTCCGTTCTTCCTCCACAAAACGTCATGTCATTTATACAACCGTGGTGGCCTGATAGGCCACCTCCGAATGGGAATATGTCTTCATTCTCGTTATGGGATTTCGTGAGGAGGTGGAGACCAAAGTCGGCAGAGGCAGCAGTTAGTCTGTTAACAGAGGTGAGACACGTCCAGAAAGAGAACACAAATGGTGCGTACTCAAGCAGCCAGTCGTCTGAAGACGACGGAGAGATGGTTCTCGATGACCATGCAAGTGCAGTTATCCGTGTACCGACATGGAAGGACGCGATAGTTGTTGCGGCCGTTTCGCTCTACAATACACAAACAACGAAAACACGGTCAGTGGACGCGTTTCGACGCGTTTTCAGGAGCACTCACAATCTGGATGACATTGACAAAGTTGTCGCCACCGATGGCAACGAGGTCGGGCGCGTCGTCCGCATAGCAGGCTTTGACGACGTGGATGGGGCTGTTTTCACTGACACGGAGATCCATGAGGTGACACGGGAGAGAGGCGTGCCCAAATCCGGACCAGTTCTGCCATGCAAACGCGCGCTTTTGACACAAAAGCGGATCCGGATTTGGCACGAGGCGAGGTGCGAAGGCATGGAATTGGAAATTGCGGGCTAGAAGAGAGCACTCCATGTTCGGTCGCTTCCAGTCTTCAGCCCCTTCGTCGTCTCGCCCACCGACTCACAAAGCCCCCCATCCGGCCCTCTTCGCTGCAGTCACTCTTCTAGCTTTTGGCACTTTCGCTGTTCTTGTCAGACACCGCGCCGAAACTGCACCAGCATCTGCTAGACCACGCCTGAACGATCACGTCGGTTATCATCCAAACAGGAAGGAAGAACTAGAGCGTTATTTGGACAAGCAGAAGTGATTATACACGACGAATAGACATGGCTCCCGCTATCATTGAGAAGGTTGCGCACGCACTCCATATCGGCCACAAGGACGAGGCAGCAAAGAAGTCAGAAGCGGCTCCTGCGTCGGAATCTGCTGCTCCTCCACCAGAGGTCCCCGCTCCTCATGTTGTCCCTGAGGGCACGGCCCCTCACCCTGCAGTCACGGAGGCCAAGGGTCCTGTCTTTGACCATAGCAAGGTCACCGTCATCTTCGTTCTTGGTGGTCCTGGTGCTGGTGAGCCATATGCAGTGTGGTAGGAGCACCGACTGCATATTGACCTTCCTGTGACATTGAACAGGGAAGGGCACCCAATGCGACCTTCTCGTCAAGGAGTTCAACTTCTGTCATTTGTCCGGTGCGCACTTTTTGCATGTACAATCCAGTTATTGCGTTCTAACACACTAGGCATGTTAGCTGGCGATCTTCTTCGCGCCGAACAGAACCGTGAAGGCTCACAATACGGCGAGCTCATTCGAACAAACATCAAGGAAGGAAAGATCGTTCCTATGGAGGTCACCATTAAGCTTCTTGAGAATGCCATGAAAGACGCCGTCCAGAGCAAGTTCGGTACCTCTGGATGGGAGGACGGCAAGGGCAGATTTTTGATCGACGGTTTCCCGAGGAAGATGGACCAGGCGGAGAAGTTTGAGGAGGATGTGAGTCGCGTTTATGTGATGTTCGGTTTATATATTGATACTGATTATCGTGTGTGGGATTCGTAGGTCTGCGTGTCGAGTTGTACGATCTTCTATACCACCACGGAAGAGGTGCTCTTGAAGCGGTTGCTGAAGCGTGGGGAGACCAGCGGTAGGGAAGACGATAACGAGGAGAGCATCAAGAAGAGATTCCGTGAGTGTTATTGGCCTTCCATAAGCACACAGTCTCGCTGAGCTCCCGCATTTTAGGTACCTACCACGAGCAGACGATGCCCGTCATCGAGCACTACACGAAGCAGCACAAGGTTGCTCAGGTACGTTATGAATATATCTGTATCATGATCTGCAGTCAGACTGATCCTACATCGAAAATTCATAGATTGACAGCAGTCCCGCTGTGGAAGAAGTCTACGAAAAATCGAGTGAGGTCGTCAAAAAGGTCTTCGCTGGCGAAGTGGCCGGGAACGTCACTGCCTGATCGCCGTCACGAAACCCTTGAACTTTTTCTTCATCGTTGTCTACATCTGATCTGGTTGCTGAATGTCATGGACAATACCTAGAGAGTGGGATACGCGGGCTGCCCATTGGTACATTGGATCCATCTAATAACTATTTGTTCAGATACAGAAAGAAATATACAATACAATATACCAAGACACATGCGTGCCGAACGAAGCGAAGACTCGTATCACGTCCGGGAGACGACCGCCATCTCCAATGTAAGTATACCAGGGTAATTTGGGCGAACGAGCAAGTTGTTCACCGGGTACCTCGAGTTTCTAACAAATATAATACAACATGCGGCAAGAATAGCAAAGTTCAAGAGCAAGAGTAAAAGTGTAGAACAAGTTGTTCGTTTCGAATCTGTGGTTGCGTTCCCCCCTTTGGTTCCTACTGGACAAATTAAGCTCGTGGTCGTCCTCGGTGAGATAAGGGAGGGAGAACGTGGGCTGGTTATGCGTGTACGGCGAGGTCGAGGGTTCCTACAGGGAGGACGGAACAGGATGCTTTGCCTCCGTGAGGTATCTCGAGTATTGTGCCATCCGCACAGAGAGTGTGGGCTTTCGCGTCGCGTTCGTTCTGGAGGACGAAGATATCAGATACTAGAATCTGGTTGCGAGTAGAAACAACTTACGGGTATCCAATCCCATCCGCTCACTCTGAAATACTCCACCACGAGCGGCCCCTTCCCTTCCTCACTCACGGGACCTCCTGGCCCGGTCTCAGACGCAGACGGGTACTTGAAGTTGATGTGCCTCCCATCGGCATAAGCACCGCCCATAACCTTCCACAGCTTCTCTACGAACTGTAATCGCGGACCCTCGCCCCTGGTGGTGTCCGTTGCCATCTGGGCCTTGATAACAGGATCACGCAGTGGACGGACAATAACGACGTCGATGCTGGGTTGTGTAGGAGGTGGCGGGTGTGAACGTGCGAGGGGAGTGATGCGGAAATTGGGCTCGAGACGGTCGACGTTGACGGTGGTGAGGAAGTAACTGAAGGGACCCTCGAGCTCATACACGTCCTCCGTCACACGGATGAAACTGTCGTGTGTCGGGTCATATGACATGACGGCACCTCCGTGGCTTTGCTGGTGTGTGATATTCGTGAGGAATGGCATGGGGTAGAGACGGACGCGGGCGTGATACCAATGGGTGGCGTTTTGTTGGGCGGCGACTTTGAAGCGTTCGATGCCGGGCATTGTGGCGCGGAGGGCTTCGGAGTCTTTGAGGATGGAGGCGTGTAAGGCGGTAGAGGTGACGACGGCGCTGATAATGGTTTTGGCATGTGCTGGGGCGGATGGGAGGGGACATGTATCTACGGATTGGGGGTAGATGATGGTTTGGGCGAGCGTGAGCGGTTTGAGGGTGGATGTGGCGGCCCGTTGGGTATAAGAACGAAGGGAGGCAAGGACGGGAGGAGGACTGTGCTCGGGGGGCGGAGATGGGGTGGAAGTCTTTGGAGGTGGGGGAGGGAACATGGAGGAGTAGAGAGCATTAGCAGTTCCTGCGGGGACTATCACAAAGTTGAGCTTATGTCCGGGCCACGGTACGGAGCTGTGGAGGGACCGTTTCTGCTGCGTGTCGTAGAGAGCGTTCACGATCTCATGCAGAGTACCGTCGCCTGAGACAACGACAACCGTCACATCCTCCTTGCTGTCTGCTGGCTGAGCATCGAGAAAGTCGACCAAGATTGTGCCTGCGTGGCCCGGATGAGTGGTGGCGTAGGATGCATCTACAGGATAGCCGTCGCGGTCGAGGTGCGGCAGGACGTAGAGCGCGGTGGTGATCGTCCCAGACAGATTCCCGCAAGCAGGATTTGTGATGACCACCGAGGGCATTGTTTGCGACGACTGCTCCTTTCGTTTCGTCTCTAAGTTATGTGTGCTCGCAGGACGAGTCAGATCTGGGAATCATCTCGGATGCGAAACGATCATTCAACGAGTCGGAGTTTGCCGTGTCTAATCTCTATGTTGTTCTCACCTATCTTTCGCAATCTCCGTTCCAGCTTTCGCCACATTCCTACTGCAAGAGCAATGTCCACCGCACCGACCCTCAAGCCTTTCAACCTTGCCCTCATTCAACTTGGTGGAGTCACACCCGATAAGTCTGTGAACCTCAAACATGCTCGGGACATGATCCTCAAGGCAGCTCAGGGAGAGGGTGCTGGAGACGCCCTCAAGCCTTCATACTCTGGATCCTTGAAGCCGGACCTCGTTGTTCTGCCTGTTTGTCTTCGATATGTCTAGTGATCCGCACAATCTGATGCGCAGAGAATAGGAATGCTTCAACTCGCCGTACGGGCATGTGCACTTTCCGGAGTATGCGGAGACCATAGGCTTCAACTCTGCGGAAACGTTCGATGTCTCCAAGACCCAGTGCGAGTCAGTCAAAATGCTCTCAGAAACTGCCAAAGAAGCTGGTGTCTGGATTATCGGCGGTCGGTCGCTTATGCTCACTCCCACTATTAAATATAGCTAAAGTGCTGGTCTCCACAGGCTCGATACCTGAGCGCGATGCCACAGATAATAAGATATATAATACTTCGACAGTTTACTCACCCGAAGGTTGGTCTTTTTCCTCTACCATATCAGACTGCTGTGGTGAAGTAATATTTGACTCTAGGTAAGCTTGTGGCTATTCATCGGAAGGTCCATCTCTTCGACATCAACATTCCCGGCAAGATCACCTTCAAGGTGCCACATCTCTTCAATGGACGTCGGTCTTATGGCTGAACTGAATTCTCTTAGGAAAGCGAAACACTAACTGGTGGAACGACTATGAACTGGTTTGACACTGGTTAGCGTCAGACACAGAATAATTCCCTGTGCCAGCCCTTCTGAGTGATTGCCTGCACAGATTTCGCTCGGATTGGGCTCGGTATCTGCTACGACGTTCGCTTCCCGGAACTGGCCATGATTGCTGCCCGTAACGGTGATCCTCATTATTCTCTAGACTCACTGCAGCCTCGGCTTCTGATACGGACACTGCCTGGTGCCACACAGGCTGTCAAGTGTTGATCTATCCCGGAGCCTTCAATCTTACTACCGGGCCTCTGCACTGGGAACTCCTCCAACGTGCTCGGTGAGAGGATTTGCGTTCCTTGTGCTGTTTCTCAAAATTATGACTCATCTATGTGCCTTGTCGATAGCGCTGTCGACAATCAAGTCTACTTTGGAATGTGCAGTCCAGCAAGGGACTTAACCGCCGCATACCATGCTGTGAGTACCGCAGTTAAGGCTATATTAGTCTACTGACCCTACTATTCATCGCAGTGGGGACATTCTATGGTGATAGATCCTATGTGTGTTCCTATTCTGTGCTGAACCTGTGTGGCGTGCCAACGCTGACGAGGCGCTACAGGGCTCAGAAACTCTGCGAAGCCGCCGAAGGTGAAACCATCGTTTACGCTCACATCGGTAGGGTTTTAAAATCTCGCCTTGTTATGCACACACTCGGCGCTAAAAAAAGTTTCCGAATCGTCAGACCCGAAGCCGTTCGAGGCCGCAAGAGCGGGAATTCCAGTCACGGTGCAGCGGAGGTTCGATGTGTATCCCGATGTGTCCAAGGGTGCATAGACAACGGGGACGGTCGTATCTGTATTTGTGCGTATATAGAAAGTGTAGTGAAAATGTACAGGACCAAGGCAATGAACGGAAGATTTGAATGTTAGGGATGCGAGAAAGACGCCTTGTTGGGCGACGGTGGCTGAGCGCTGAGTAAGCGCTGGAATGCTGAGTGCGTCGTGATGGAACTCTCCGTGAAATTTCTCGCAGATTCCATGGCATTCTCTCCACTTTTATCACCCTGGCTGAACAGCCGCCGCCTCGTTCGGTCAGCACTCCTTCCACCACCACCACTACACTCTCCATACCCTACGCCAATTACGCCTTTTACCCTCATATCCTTTCTGTATACACAAATCCGTACCTAGTTACTCATCATGGTCAAGGAGAGGTGTGTAACTTGACTTCGACTTCGTACAGCGTAGTGCGTGGCGAGCCCGTGTGCTAACATACCTGTTCCTTTGTGAAGGAAATTCTACGATCTGCTCGATGTGCCCGTTGATGCCTCCGAGTCGGATTTGAAGAAGGCATATCGGAAAAAGTACATTCACAACCCTCGCTGCCCGACATCACATCTGCTCTTCGATACTTAGAGCCATCATCTAATACGAAGTTTGCTTCTACAGAGCTCTACGACTGCATCCAGACAAGGGTGGAGATCCCGAGCTGTTCAAGGAGGTCACCCATGCGTAAGCCGTCGATTTTCCGATCCCGCACTCCCTAGGACCAAAGCGCTTACGTGCGTGCCCCATCGCCACCTTGTCTCTCATGCATTGCGTGAGACAGATACGAAGTCCTGTCCGATCCACAAAAGAGGGAGATCTATGACGCACGAGGAGAGGCTGGACTTTCAGAGTCGGGTGGCATGGGCGGCATGGACCCACAGGTACGGTCTTCCTTTCATCTCTTTCATACCACGCAACTCATCGTTCTTCGTTTCCTATCATTCCCTGTCGCTTCTCTCTATAGGATCTTTTCAGTCAACTCTTCGGTGGTGGCGGCTTTTTCGGTGGCGGTGGCGGCGGAGGTCGGTCAAACGCCCAACGAAGGAGCAAAGACCTCGTCCACCGCGTCCACGTTTCCCTCGAAGACCTCTACAAAGGCAAGACTACTAAACTCGCGCTCACCCGTAACGTCATCTGCACGAAGTGCGACGGCAAGGGTGGAAAGGAGGGTGCGATCCGGTCATGTCATGTCTGCCATGGTCGCGGTGTCAAGGTTACGCTTCGCCAGATGGGCCCGATGATTCAGCAGCTCCAGTCGCCTTGCGACGAATGCGCGGGTACGGGAGAGATCATCAACCATAAAGACAAGTGCAAGGCTTGTAATGCGCGCAAGGTCATCTCGGAGAAGAAGATGCTGGAGGTGCATATCGACAAGGGTATGAAGGGAGGGCAGACGATTCAGTTCACGGGAGAGAGCGATCAGGCGCCGGGTATTCCGCCTGGGGACGTGATTATCGTGATCGAGGAGAAGCCGCACGAGAGGTTCAAGAGGAACGAGAACGACCTCGTTACGGAGGTTGAGATCGACTTGCTTACCGCTCTCGGTGGAGGCCAGTTTGCGATCAAGCATCTAGACGACCGTGTTTTACTCGTGAGTATTGCGCCTGGGGAGGTCATCAAGCATGGTGCGTACCTCTTCTCATTATCTTCACGTACGGATACTGAATATATATCGCCTTTCAGACGATTTCAAGGTGATATACGGTCAGGGTATGCCTTCGCAGCGGCACCATGATTTCGGCGATCTCTATGTCAGGTTCACTATCGCATGGCCCGAGCACATACCCGTCGAGAATATCCCTCTTCTCGAAAGTGCCCTTCCTCCCCGCCGACCGATCGAGAAATTCCCGAGTAACATCATCATTGACGAGGTCAGCCTCGACAACGTTGACCCACGGCAACGCGATCGGGCGCAGCGGGACGAACAGATGGAGGAGGACGAGGGAGAGCCGCGCGTACAGTGCGCTAACCAGTAGTTGTGGACGCATGTTTCTGGATATGATGCGGATCCTTGCCGGTAACGTTGGAGGGGCGGTGCGGCATCTCTATGTACGAATTGTTGTGGGACCCTTTCACTCAGACTGCGAGCTTTCTTTTCTTTCATCTGTTGTGTTCGTTTGTCGTTTCTGCAATTATTGTATTCGTGTTGATCGTCGGATGCTTCGCAGCATTATCACCATTGACACTACTGCATTTATTAAATAATGCATCCATGATAGATTTCATTGCACATTTGTCTGTGTGTACATCTTAGCTGGTGGCTGCTCTGGATTCTGATACAATTGGAGGTATGACTGCCCAAAAACCCTAATGAAAAAAAGAAAAGGCTGAAATAAAAAATCCGCTGCACCGAGAACTAGCATTCTAGTCCCAGCGTGTCTAAAGGCGTAAAATGAGGGTGAGTACGGCGTTCAGACCGAAGCGAACGTACCTCTGGGTTCAGCTTAAACTGCTCGTATAGGGCACGGTTGAAGAGGCTGACTTCGGTCTCATTTTCTGTAGTGGACATGTCAGAGAGCGTGGTCGGGGGTGGCAAAGACACTATGAGACGTACCGAGGCCACAGTCTGCTAGGGTCTTGCTATCGTCGTCGAGGATCCACTCGTCGTGATCGAGGTTAATGATGAGGTTGGTCGTCTGCGTCGCTGTTAGTGGTGATGCTAAAGAAATTGAGGGGAGTGTGGCCCACCTTTGCACCGTGGGCTTTTGTGTACAGTTTCATGGTATCTACGCAGGCGGACGTTTCTGTAAGGTCATGGGAGGGTGGATTCAACCTTAGAAACTCACCAAAAGTGGTGGTACGGTACGGCTTCCATCCTGGCTGCGTTCGGATAGCTATTGGGTTTTCGCTTCAGTGAGATTCTAGCTCTCGGACGCGAGACGAACATGAGGATCATACCCGCTCGAGCAAGCTCCTTGAGCTCTCCTACAGTCGTTGTCTCCAGGTTGATATTGTGAAGGACAAGACTTCGCTCGGTGCGGTATTCGAAGGATTTGATTATGCGCAAGGTGAGTGTGGCGGAGGTTTTGGGAAGCGCGAGGTTCGTCAGAACATCGGAGAAATCTGATTGTGGTTCGGCTGACATTCGAAATTTAGATTCTGTGAGTAGATGTGTGGTGAAAATGTATAATAAGTGAAAATGGCGAGAAGAGAGGTGAAGAAAGGTGAAGAAGGGTAAAGAGGGCAAATAGCAGAATCAGCGAGCATGTTTCCCGGATCATCGTCTGCAGATCATCTAATCTAATCTAATCTTTGAGTTGATCGGACCTATTGACCGTAGGGCTCCGACAATAAGTCGGGAGTTAATAACAGCTGTAAAAAAGTGCTGTTAATAACTGTTTATAACTTGTTATTAACAACCCTCCCGATACGGTGCTATATAGATCTGTAAAAAAGGTGTAAGAAATCCTGACGTCTGGACAAGTAGATACGCGTTCAGGGAAGACTCTTTCGAGTTCCTGACTAACTCCTGACGTCGTATTCCATCCTCTAGGGCCCCTAACCCGACCTAGACATGACTTTACCCTAACCTATTCCCACGACGGCCACAGCTTCCGAGTCTACGGTGCGTGTTCTCGCCAACGGCCTCACATACCATGAGTGTATGTGCTGTAGAACTTGTTCTAGGAGTTCAAATAGTAACCAGAGACGCTCAAAAGAACCGCTAGTGCTTTGAAAGCCCTCCAGGTCAGTCGAAACTGGCAGCTCCTGAGGGAAAATATAATATTTAAATCGATTTAAATATTCTGTTTTAACTGTTTTTAACACCTGTAAAAAAGTCCCTCGGGGGCCGCCGAGTTACTAACACAGGGTATCATTGGCTCAGGACTTTTTGTCGGAGCCCTAATTGACCGGGACGGTCACCGGCGTCTTTGTTCGAAATCGCGGGGAGTTGTTCCTTCTCGTCGCGTCATGAGTCTGCATCGTCGGAAATTTCGCCGTGCTTTGACTCGACATGCGCTCGATTGGCCATTAGAAATGAGCCTTGTTCTTCTCACGACATTACAGTCCTTCGACCACGGTCTTCTTAAAGACACGCTGGACTTTGCTCGTCCCGTTCGGTCCCCATCGCGCTCACTGCAGATATGGCAACGATGTCGCGGTCTTTCTTGGATGCATCTGTTCCCGATCTTGTCAATAAGCTTAGTTTGGACGAGAAAATATCTCTGCTTGCGGGCCCGAACTGGTGGAATACTTCCGCCATCGAACGCCTGGAGATTCCGGCGGTCAGGATGAGCGATGGACCGAACGTACGTCGTTATTTCTTCTCGCCCATCGCTATTACTTACAGGTATGTCTGTAGGGCGTTCGTGGGTCGTCTCATTTTCTTCCTACTCCAGCGCATTGTTTGCCCGTGCGTCTTCGCTTAGTTGCCCAAAGACTTCGTGTTCTCAACGACACAATTTCAGTGCGCAACGTCGCTAGCTGCCACGTTCGATGAGCAGCTTATTCGTGAAGCCGGCGAGTTTCTCGCAGAAGAAACCAAGATAAAATCTTCCGTCATCCTTCTCGCTCCCACTTGCAACATTCAACGTTCTCCGCTCGGAGGGCGCGCGTTTGAGTCGTTCTCGGAGGACCCTCACCTATCCGGTATGTCTCCGGTATTTTCGTCACCTAATCGCATCTATATCTCATCAACCATTACTATTGTTAAGGTACTCTGGCCGCTGCATATGTCGCCGGTCTTCAGTCCAAAGGCGTCGCCGCTACCATAAAGCACTTCGTTGGAAACGATCAAGAGCACGAACGGACTGCTGCCAACTCCGCCGTATCCGACCGCGCCCTTAGAGAGATATACCTATATCCGTGCGCATTGATGATTGAATTATATACCCTCTAGATCCCCAGACATCTTGTGCTAGGTTCCTGCTTGCTCAGAAGATCGCGAAGCCGTGGGCTTTCATGACTTCTTATGGAAGGATTGGTGGCGTCCACTGCTCAGAGAACCCAGACTTGCTTCAGAGGATCCTTCGGGACGAGTGGAACTTCGATGGAATAGTAATTAGCGATTGGTATGTCCTTCTCCACACCCTCAAATCTATTGTTATCCGAGCTTCATTAGTCCCGGACTCTGACGTCTTTTCGATGCAGGCACGGTACCTACGGCACTGCAGAAGCTCTCAATGCAGGCCTCGACCTCGAGATGCCGGGACCTCCTCGCTGGAGGACCTCGAATCTCATCTACCACACCCTGTCATCGCAGAAACTCCTTCGTACCACCATCGATGATCGCGTCACCGCCATTCTCACTTTCGTGCAAAAAGTCGCCCGGAAAAATCCAGATATCGTCTATGGCGATGGCGTCGAGCGTTCGCGCGATTCTCCCGAGATACGTGCGTTTTGCAGGCGTCTAGCTGCCAGTGGTGTTGTCCTCTTGAAAAACCAGAACGCCGTACTCCCCCTCACGCAGAGGAGAATCAAGAGGATCGCAGTTATCGGCCCGAACGCTCGCGCTCGGGTTATTTCCGGAGGAGGTTCTGCCGCTCTCAAACCGAAATACGTCGTCACTCCATGGGAAGGAATAAAGCAGGCTGCTCCTGAGAGTGTCGAGATCAAGTTCGAGCTCGGGTGTTATGGTGTGTGTGATCTTGAGTATTTCGGGTCACGATGACGAACATACACGTTCTAGCCCACAAATATTTACCGACGCTCGAGAACCAGTTGACGACACCGGACGGGAAGCCCGGCTGGCTCTGCACCTTCTACACGCAGGATGAGGAAGGTCACCCAGACCGTGCAGTTGCCAGCTTCGTCGTTGAAGACACTCGCATCAAGTTGAACGACTTTTTGCCCGAAGGGATGACTCCCGAGTGGACGATCAAGCTCAGTGGAAGGCTTCTTGTTGAAGAAAGCGGCCCCTTTGACTTGGGACTCACCGTCGCAGGTGGATTTAACCAGTTTCGATGGTGTATCCGTACTGACAGTGCTGTAACAATCCAGGCCGGGCTAAACTGTGGATCAACGATAAACTTACTATCGACAACTGGTAAATTCGTCGTCCTCTCCTTGCTGTATTTGTTTTGCTCATCCACCTTCCCAACAAGGACGAGACAGACGCCAGGGGATTTCTTCTACGGGTAACAGTTTTATCTATTATATCGTTACTCTTTCAGCTCTGAGGAGAACTTCAGTCAGGGCACTATCGAAGAAAAGGCAGTAGTTGATCTCATCGGCGGAGAGACAGTCGAGGTCCTGGTCGAGTACACCAACACGTCTCCGCCGGATAGCGAAGGCGATAGAGATCTTTCACAACCCGCGTTGATGCGTGGTGTCGTACGTCGCACCGTTAAAGGAATATTTCTATCTACTAACGACGGAATATAGCGTTTAGGTGGTGCGGCGAAGATAGACCCCGATAAGGCCATCGAGGACGCCGTTAGACTCGCGTCTCAATCCGACGCGGTGATAGTTGTTGCGGGTCTGACGCCGGAATGGGAGAGTGAAGGCTTTGATCGACCTTCCCTCGACCTTCCTGGCCGTCAAGACGAGCTGATCATGAGAGTTGGAAGAGTTAATGCTAGTACCATCGTTGTCGTGCAGTCTGTGAGTGCATGCCAATTTTGTCGTCGTTCTCTTTCTGAGGTTTACCCATCACGGTTGTGTACACTTCCAATTGTAGGGCTCTGCTGTCGCAATGCCCTGGATACACAGAGTCTCGGCGATCGTTCAAGCATGGTACCAGGGAAACGAAGTCGGCAATGCCATCGCAGACGTCCTCTTTGGCAAAGTCAACCCATCTGGTCGACTGCCTCTCACTTTCCCCGTTCGCATAGAAGACATTCCGGCCTATCCGAATCTCCAAAGCGAGGCGGGCGAAATCCATTACAGGGAAGATCTCTTTGTAGGATATAAGTACTATCAGTCAAGGAAGGTGCATCCACTGTTCCCTTTCGGGTGAGTGCTCTGATGACTTTCTCCTAGCCAAAGCGCTGATCATAATGGCTTACCATAGTCATGGCCTCTCATACACGTCATTTGAGTTCACGGACCTCACCATTTCTGAACCCTCATCTGATGATGTTGGATTCGAGGTTCACATTTCGCTATCGGTCCGGAATGTTGGTCCTGTCATTGGCTCTGAGGTTGTCCAGTTATATGTGTCCTACCCACCTACAGGTAATATCATCCCACATCGGCAACTCAGAGGGTTTGTTAAGGTGCATGATCTTCATCCGGGAGAGTCACAAGAGGCCGTCATTGCCCTTGATCGCTATGCTTTCTCCTTTTGGGATGCGGGAAAGGGGGTATGGACTGTTGGCTCTGGTACCTATGGCATCTCTGTTGGAAACAGCAGTGACAGTCTGCCTTTGGAAGGAGAGGTGGTCATGAAGAGAGGCCTGCAGTGGACAGGAGTTTAGATAATTTTTGTCTCTGTAGTGAGGATTGTTTCTGTGCTGTGCTGGTGTTTTGTGTCTTTCTTACAATATATATATATATACATAGCTCGCAATTCACTGATGGTCGTTATGAGTTGGAGCGGTGTGTGGCCTGGTTGTACCATGTGCGGTGGTTGTAGGACATCATGGCTGGACGGTCGCTGGCAGAGGAGAGATGACAACATGCACCAGCAAGCAAGGGGAGCTGACAAATATAATGAATAACCAGGACCTGGTTAGTTAGTTAGGCCCTCGGGCCTCTTAAAAATTTTTTGGACCCCACTCAGAAAATCGTCAAAAATCGCCAAAATGATAGATTGGGCTGGGAGCGATGTAGGTATCATGTGCTGATGCTAATTGGATTATTATAGAACCATTTTGTGGGCAAAATGTTGATGACTGGGTCAAAACTAGAGTGAAATAATTAAGAGTTTCGCTGTTGGGCAGTCTTACGCAAAGCTCAGACTGGTAAATTGAGTGTGATTGAACAGCCATGCATCATGGAAATATAGAAGCATAAGGTTTGGGCTCAGAGGCTAGGGCAGGGGAAGATCGACGTCAACGGCGAACATAACCTAGCCTAGGCTAGGGTAGGGGAAGATCGACGTCAACGGCGAACATAACCTAGCCTAGGCTAGGGTAGGGGAAGATCGACGTCAACGGCGAACATAACCTAGCCTAATTCAAGTGCAGATTGAATGATAGACTGATTATAAATCACTTATACTTCATTCCCCAAAAGAAATAAAGAGCGGAGGTTCTTCTGATTGGCTCAGAAATATTATTTAAATCATTTAAATATTAATTACGGTTAGTTAGTTCACCCCTCGCCTCCCTTAACAAAAAAATCGACTCCCGGTGTTTCATTCAGGATCTCAGCTCCCCTTGAGTTCACAGCCTAAGTGGCCACTTACCACCTTTGAATTCTATGTCATAACATTCAGTGGCTACCCTGGAAAGAGATTACCCTTTTTCCACTATGCATGGATGCTTCAGTGACAATAAAGACGGCAACATCTCTCCCTGGTTTGGACCAGCAGGTAACGGCTTACCAGAGGGTGTTATAGCCGGGCAACACTTTGCAAGGTTCAAGAAGGAACCTGTACATTCAGCCTATACATTTTCCACTCATTTGTTGCCTGCATCTGATCTGAATACAAGTTGACAAATATTTGGCACACAAAATCTAACCCTCTAGAGGTATTACACTTCTTCTCTGTTATAAATTATTGCTAATAACGTGGTACACTTTTGACTAGTCTTACACTATATTCGCCAAGGATGGACCCATGCACAACACTAGGAGCTGTGCTCACTTTCTGGAAAAATGTGGACAGAGAAAGATGGATAAGGTGCTAAACCCACCCATAGCAACTTCATCATCTTTGTGTATATTCCCTTCACAATTCCTCTTTCTGTCTCTTCACCTTGTATTTCTGTGTTCCAAAGGCACTAACTGAATCTTTGTTCCACTGACAATTGAGCAGGGTTTACCTTTACTCGCTTATGAACCCCGATCTCGTTCACTGTACTGGCGATAACGTAAAGTCTGGGAACACGTGGTCGACACGGAGTCTCTATGTTCACGTCGTTTTGCGATAGTGTGCTCACACAACTGCTGGTGGCAAAATTTATGTACGGAATCTGTAGACTACATGCCAATGAAATATTCTATGTGCTTCAAAACCTTGTATGCTTTTCTTTTGACTACTCCACAGCCTGAACTCTCGTGTCCATCTGTCCTGTGTGAGCCTCAATGTCCTCGACTGTTAACTCATCCCATACCTTCTAAACAGCAGCCCAAAGCTTGTCAAGAGAATTAGCTGATCCAGGGAGGTCCGCTACACGGTTCTTCACCTTGAGCCAAAGCGGTTCCTCGGGGTTTGGATTGGGGGAAGATGTTGGGTGGGGAAGGTGCTTGATCCCGAGCTCGTTTCGGGCAGCTTTGGCGAGAACACTTTTGTGGCCGGGGGCTCTATCCTCCACTACAAGGATCTCACACCCTCTACGACTCTCCATCTCCTTCACAAAGTCCTTCAAAGGACCATGAAGCACCTGCTCAACATATTCCTTTCCACCCATTCCTCCATCCTTCCTCTGACCATTCTGATCCTTCTTGGGTGGGGGTAAATCCAGCTTGATGATGGGACCCTTGACACTGTGAGCGATGCATGCCCAAACCATGATCAATTTGCGCCCACTTCGGAAGATTGGCTGTGTACACTCAAAGTTATGCTCTTTTCCTGGACGATGTGTCACCCTTTTCTGACCCGGCCTCTCTCCTAACTCTATTGACATCTCATCCATCTATATAACCCAGCTCCAATCTCTCCCTGTATTATCCTTAGCCCATTGGAGACGCTTTCTGACCGCTGCCGCTGAAAGAAAGGGCTTGCGACGTGCGACACAGTGGCGATAGCCGGTAGCATTGGCGATGCCACGGACTTGGCGCTCTGTTACTTCTGGAATAAGTAACCCCCAAAATGTATTTACAGGGCTTAAATCGATTATTTTTGATTTCTTGGATGATGTGGCACTCCGTGCGATTGTCGATAGCGCAAGGATGACCCGAACGGGGTAGATCGTTGTGAGTATGATACTTCTCTTCCCGCCGCTGAGTATACAAGGCTGTTGAGGGTGCACAGCCAATTTCTTTGGCAATTCTGTGGTAGTCCCAGCCCAGCTTGCGAAGCTGAAGTATCCGGCCATGTTTGGAGGGTGTGAGAGGGGTTTTGCGAATGGGAGGCATGGGTTTAGGTGAAAGAAACATCGAACAAACATGTGTCACACAAAGATTCAATGACACATGACCGTGCTCGAAGACTTTATGTCACTACGAGTACATGATTGCACCCTTTGCGCCCGTACATTGGAAAGTGTTTGGATGCAATACTCAACAGAGAATTGGTGAAGAGGAAAGAGCTTTGGTCAGAACCTACCATTGCACAAGGGTGGGAAAATCTGAGTACATTTATTTACCCAAAGACGTACAAATCTGATATTGGTCACAGGGAGCATTCAAGGGCCATTTGAGGAAGTCACCATACAATATTGTATTATTAATAAAATCAAGTTTTGCGGCAATGTAATGGTTATTGAACATCTCGACATTAAGGAGATGAGAAGGGTGGCCAACGGAAAGGGGGAGAAGAATAGTGTTGAATATGCCATGCCAAATATTATTGCAAATACGGTGTAGATAACCAAGTTGTATAGGTTTATCAGAATCGAACACCGACTAATCAACGTCAAAATGCGTGAAGAAGGGAGTTGGAAGTCCAAAGTCCTGATGTGGATATGATGGAGCGCAGGATGTGGAAATTCCTAGGTGCGGAAGAGGTGCATAACACTGTCTATGATGCTGCCTCAGAGATACTCAGAAGTGAAGAGGGAGGCAAGATGGAGAGTTGTCAAATTGAGGGTGCTATTAAGCAAGGAATTCTATCTAATGATCTGGAAGAAATGCTTAATCCCAGGGGCAATGTGGGAAAGATAGTGAAGAGCATTATGATATTTGAGACAATGGTGCCAAAGTCAATGGCTCTCAATCTAGGTGTCTCTGCCAAAGATCAAAGGCAGAATCCTCGCCCAGAAAGAACAATCCAGAGAGGTAAGAGATCATCAAGCCAAAGACCACAAATGCTGTGTGCACCTTGCTTCCACTTTGATGACAGTGTGCGCTGAAGGAAGGAGAGAACATCAGGAGAAGGAAGACTAATTAGAAGTAAAGGAATAGAGCTGGCGACTGGTGGTTCAGAGGAGAAGAAGTCGCTAAGGTTTTTGAAGGGGGCGAGCCCAGCTGACGCCGGCGGGGTGATTGCCTTTTTGTAATCTGCAGAGAGTTGTGTGTAAATCATTTTTTGAGATGATTGATGAGACTTGGAGGAAGAGTTTTTGAGGAAGGGAAAAGTGCGTACAGATCAAGTTACAACCTCTCTTATATTCTGGGAGAAAAAGGTTCTCCCAATGTAGCCTCACCATCTAGCTCAGTAGCCAACGAAAACTTTGGGATTGTCTATGAAAATCATATTGTAGCTGGACAAGATTAGCAGAGCGGACAAAGAACGTCGGGGTGATTTGTGTAAGTTATATTTCTTGTTAAATATCTGTCATATATGTCATGACCTTTCATCATTTCCATGCCTTTTCTATTATTTTCTGGTGTGTGCCACAGTTGGGCCACACTTTTCCAAGTTTCTGTACCACTGTGGCCTGAGTTTGGTTGTGTTTGGTTCTGGCTAGTATATAAACCTACTTCCTGTTTTGTACTCTAGTCTTGAGATCGTCAATCTCCCTCCTATACAACCTTTTCCTCGCCCTTGGTGTGTGTTTCTGAGTGAGAGATCGCCTGCCAGCAACCCCTCTTCATAGGATATGGTTGTTCTGGTGTGGTCGTAACAATATATAACCCTATTGTACCAAACTGTGACACGATAAACAGAACAAGTCATTAATATGTCACGCAAAATCTACATGAACAGTTAGTCTGAAAAGTACAGTACATTGTCCTATCTGCATAATATTTGTGTGTTGCTGAATAATATTTTATGTCCAAAATTCATTTGATTGCTGGAGGGGTGTAAAATAGATCACTTTTGGAAAATTGTGCTCTCTGGAACACAACCAGTCTATTAAAAGTGAGCAGACCATTGGAGATAAAGTATTTACTTAAAGCGCATGAACTATACAACTATTGTATGAGGATAATAAGTGATGCTTGAGCTAGAGCCTTATTAAGTGGGGATCTGTTACAGTGCTTTGGCCATGAGACCCCCTTCCCCAACATAGGCTACTATTATCTACTAAAGTAAGTTAGAATTGCTTACAATATATCCATGTTTATGTTGATAGTAAAGGCTGATCAAAGTGTCTACTGTCTTTTTTTCACCTTAAGTTCATCAGTGATGTGAAAGGACAGCTCTGTAAATCAAGCCAGTCCCCCTTCGAGGTTCATTGGGCTTGGGGGATAGTATACACTTATCTTGTTCAGCATGATTTGTGCGCAAAATAAATTAGACAAGTTCACAGTCTATTCAAGCCCTGCTATATTTGGCTCAAGGGCTCAGGATAGACAGGGGATGGTGTAAGGAGCATACATGCAGATATATTCTTTTTTCCTGTTCTCTGCTTTTTTTTCCCTTTCCCACTCCATTCATCTTCAGACACATCCTCTTCTATTTCTTACCTACTGTGGCGAACAAAAATAATGCAGGTGGCACTGTGGCCTCAAAAATGACTTGAGTTTTTTTCAGCGAGGGTCTTGATTATTGTACGGTCTTTTGTATGATATAATAGTAGTCTGTATGGAGTATCTACCGGGCAATGATATTCTGCCAATACCTGTACATGGGGTGATAAAATCGCGAATTTGATTAAATTGCCCGATTAAATTGTAATTTTAATAGCACATGAAAGACATAATATTTTCAAGCAAACAAAAGTTCTATCGGACACTTTGGTATGTATAGAGAGCAATTAAAGTCATAAACAGCCAGTGTCATAGCATGTACAATTATGGGGTCAGGGGACATTGTGTGGCATAAAGTGCAGGTCACAACATGGCCTCTTCTGAGCAGAAATAGAGGTTCTAATACTTTCTGAAGTAATTTACATAAAATTATGGTACAGTTGCTTTATAAATGAGCTCTTGGAATGAGATTCTGGGTCCATTTCTATGTAGAGTAGTACTATGCTGTAGCCTGCACTTTGTGCCACGCAATGTCCCCTGACCCCATAATTGTACAGGCTATAACACTGACTGTTTATGGCCTTTATCAGTTTCTCTATATCCCAAAGTTTCCCATAGAGCTTTGTTTTGCTTGAAAATATCATGTCTTTGATGTGCTATTAAAAATACAATTTAATCGGACAATTTAATCAAATTCGCGATTTTATCACCCCTTGTACAGGTATCAG